ACATTGAGACTCCTCCCACTCGCTTGCCACGCCCACTTATCATGTTTCTCAGCATTTTAAAGCCAAATTTATCTTTACTTTTCGCCTCTCAGAAACAACTTTAACCAATTTTCGCCTCTATTCAGCTCACAAATCCTTTCCCACTCTCTTCTCTTCATTCCCATTCATTCATCACACAACAAGAAAGCACTTTTATGGCCTTTCTCTCTCTCTCTCTCTCTCTCTCTCTTTGCTACCAAAATGTATCATGAAGAATTGTTAAATTTCGACAATCTTGCACACAATAGGCCAAAAGTACTAAATCTCACGTCAAATGGACGCAAAAATAGCACCATAAAAACAGCATAAACACTCACCCATTCCATAATCTTCAATTTGTCCGGATCCATATCTCTCGCAATTTCCTCTTTGCGCATTTCGTTGATTGAACGCGGCCCTTGGGAGCTCTTGCTGCCGAACGTGTAGCCTTGACTCCCCAGAATGTCAGCGAAAATGTCACCACTTCCCGGATTGCTCTTCGCCCCCTTCTGTGCGCCCGCATTCGGCGGCGTCTCGGCGAAGTGCGACCGGCTGTAGTCCGGCTTCTGCTCACCCGGACTCTTGGCCGTCTGATGGCTGGGCGTGGACGGCGCCCGCGGCGACGGAGTCGCAGCAAACTGGTGCGTCGGACTGGAGAATTGCGTCGATCGTGGACTGGGCGTTGTGCTCGTCTTTCCGCCGCCCCAATTCACATTCAAGCCACTCGCCAAGTTGCCCAGATCTGAGAATGGATCCGGCTTCTGTGGTGGCGCCGCTTGAGGCTCCTTCGGCGCTGCCGAGGCGGAATTGTTGGGCTGCAGAGGCATTGTGGGTGCCGTGAAGTTGCCCGCGAAGGGATCAAAAGTCTCCCCGCCATTGCTGGGCGATGATTTCTGCGGGAAATTTGCGTTGAAGTTCAAATTCAATCCATTCAAGTCCTCCGGCATTTGACTAGATTGCTGCTGATTCGTCTTAATTGAGCCAAACAAGTCATCCAGTCCATTGGCATTCGATGAAGCGTTCTGCGTGTTGCCCAACAGATCGGGAATAGGATTCTTCATGCCATTTGTGGGCGGCAGCAAATCCCCATCGGCATCGTGAGAGTCAAAACTGCCCAGAAGATCAAAACTGGCCTCCTGACGCACAGGCGGCGGCTCTTCTGCACTCTCTCTGCGCTCGCCCCTGGCCAAATTCAGCAGATCCACATTCTTAATGCTCGACAACTGCTCGGGCTCTTCCTCTTCAGTGTCCGACAATTCTACCGGCTCAATGTCAGGACGCTGTGGCATAGCTGGCGGCGGACGAGGCGGCGGCTGAGCCACAGCCGGCGGTGGAGCAGGACGCGGAGGAGCGCCTGGACCAGATTTCGGCTTGGAAATGAAATTATCCACCGTCTCTTCGTACTCCAGAGCATTGCTGAAGAGATTCAGCGGATCTCTGGCCGGCTTAGTTGTCATCCACGGCAAGGTGATTTGCGGCATTCTCTCCATGTCACCCACAAAGATGCTCAACGCCACATGGAACTTCATCGGCACGTGCTCCACATCGGGAACATCATCCAATTCCGCTTTGTCAAAGTGCAAAAGAGTCTCCTCTTCCGGTATGAAGCCAGTGTGGAGTTGGAATTGACATACTTTCAGGCCTTGTGGTCGTCCCATGCCCTTGAGGGCATTCCTGGCATGGAATACAGACACTGTGATGTCACCACAAACAGTCACATTCAGCGGAATGGACACCTTTCCCTCGGAAGCGTGATACAGACGCATCTTCTCGTACTCCTGCACCGTGGAGAAGACTACGCGATCATGGCAAGTCACCTCCACATACATTCGACACCCATCGCGGGCCTTCGTCATCCTGGGCACCGGTGAAACCGTGACAGAGACAAGAGTGACGGGCTTGAAGTGTGGAAAGTGCGGAGTGGTGCGCAGAATATCGCCCAAATAGTACAAATATCGCTGCTCCGACGGCTTCATATTCGGCGGCGTTCGCTTCACGGCAAATATCTGCATGGCATCTTCAGGCTCACGCACGAGACTCGCATAGATCAGCAGAGCACTCACCATTGTGGCCGCTGTGGCTCTGCCATTGTCTGTACTCTGAATAATCACCACACTCTTGGGATCTGCACTCAGGAATCCGTACATGTCCTCGGCAATTGAGTACATGGCGTGCAGAAGAGGCGCCTTGGGCGGCGCCGGCGAATACATAAAACTGCACTCCACCGTCCGAACAGGTGGCGGAAGTCGCGGACACGTTCGCGCACCCAAATTGTAGATGCTCATCTTGGCCAGCGAGTGTCGACTCTCCAAATACAGCTTCACGTCGTCGATGTTGTTCGTCTTGTAGGCAGATTCCAGGCCCTCCGACGGACACGGCATGACGACTATTCGTGATGTGATGTAGCTAATGTCCAGGTCTGTGCGTGCAATTGTCTGCTGCATCGTCTGCATCACCTTGGACGACGTGTCCTTCAGGTTCTTCAGGAAGCTTCCCGCGCCGCCGCGCAGCGACGAGAACAGCCCTCCGCCGCCGTGATGTTGATAAGGATCCGCCGGATTGACGGGCATTTGTGCTGGCTGCCGGGGAAGTTCGCTGGGACGCGGAGGCGCTGGACGATGCGGCGGAACGGGTGATGCTTGAGGTGGAGTCGGCCGCGGAGGCTGCGCTGGACGGTTGGGCGCATGAACAGGACTCGGATTCGGTGTTTCACTCGGAGGCGTGTGCAGAGGTTTGCCCTGCAGCCCCAACGGACCCTTCAGCGACCACTCCATCGACTCGGAAATAGCAGCTAATCTCTCCAGCACAGTGGAAATGTCGAATCTCTTATTGGGATCCACCTGGAAAAAGCCAAATAATAACATTTAGATGACAATCTTGCAAGAAAAGGGCAAAGAAGTTCTCACTTGAAGACATCCTTTGATGATATCGTGGAAGCAGACGTAGCGTGAGTCTCCGGGCAGCGTGTAGTTGGCATTGATGATCCTCAGCTTCGCGGAGTCCTCGAAGGGGTGCTTCTGGAAGCACAGACAGTAGAGGATACATCCCAGCGCCCACACGTCTGCCTTGGGGCCTATTTGATAGTTGGCCCAAGTGTCCAGCTGCTCTGGCGATCGATACATCGGCGTCGTCACCGTGGCCAGCTGATCCTCCAGGTTGTTCCGCTGCTGTGCCGACCACGACATGTCCGGCGTGTAGATGTCCGTGGTGGCGGACCCGAAGTCGCACAGCTTCAGCAGGCCGTCATTGGCCAGGAGGAAGTTCTCAATCTGCCCCCAATTAGTGGCCAATTAGAAACGCAGTTTCTCACTAGGATTACACAGGGGAATTACCTTTATATCTCTGTGGGTTATTGGTGGATGCTGCGAGTGCAGATGACTGACTGCACGTGCCGCTTGATAGAAGACACGGAGAACTGTGGGCGGTTCTAGAGCGCTGCCCAGACAATCGACCAGCGTGCCGCCTGAAATATTCCACACAACAAACACAATGAGAGTCAAAGGCGCGCTGATAAGCCAGCCCGCGAAAGCTGAGTGATAAATTATCCCCACACACCTTTGCACAACTCCGTGACCAAGAGATACTCCGCATTTCCCTGGGCGCTCTGCGTCCGGTCGATGAATGACGCCGCCACGAACGTGACGATGTTGGGATGCCCGGACAGCTGCTTGTGGATGTTGATCTCCTTGATGATGGTGTTGCACGCCTCCTTGTCGGCGCCAATGAGCTTCTTCAGGGCATACTCAGCGCCAGATTGAGTGTCCTGCGCCACATACACAAACGCGAATCCGCCTACGTGGGCAGAGAGACGAGCATTAGCACGCGATAAGGCATTCCCTGCCCTTCGGCAGAGTGTGCACTTGCGCCGAATTGGCCTCGAAACTGCCACAGAATCTCGCAAAGCTCGCAAGAGCTGTGATTTTTTCAGGCAAAAGCGCCGCAAATCTTTCGTCCTGAGCAAATTGATTTATGTCTCTCGTGCGGAGGCGGAGGAATCAAATAGCATGAAGGGTATCATCGTTGAAATAAGACACTCTCTCCTTCAGCTATTTCTGGGCAAAGTGGCAAAGAAAGAAAAAGAAAACTTCGCCCTGAAAAAAAGCCTCCATTGCAATCCGGAAGACAGACTTTTTTCCACAATGTTCGGGAGTCAAACAAAGCGTAATCGCATGATGGCCTTTGGCCAGGAAATAAACAACTGACACTCATGTGCGGGACTTCAATTGCCTTGTTAAAGCAAAAGTTATTCCAATTCATAAACACACGCTCACGAAATTGAGCAAGAGAGTCTTAAGAATGACCAGTGAATATGCGCTCTGGAGCTGCGGTCGAAGCCAGGAAAGAAAGTTCTGGCAGGGAATTTCCCAGCGGAAAACCCCTTGCCACTCTCCGCAGCCTCAATTGTGGCCACAAAGACCGATCAATGGTCACAAATTGAAGGGATTTGGAGGCGACATGAGGTAAACAAACGCCAATTAAAGGGCGTAAAGTGAAAATTGTGCAAGTGAAAATACGCTCACCTTCAGCGATCACTCGCTTTATTCGCAATTTCAGGGCGCCCACTTCCACCACTTGGCCCACAAACTCATTCTCCTGACCACCATTCGTCCCTGTGTTAAAGTATCCTATAGCTGACTTGAAGAATTCACTCATTTTCCCCACAAAGCCACGAAAACTCAGAAGCAATCACTCGCGCTATCCAACTTTCTTTTCCACAAAAACGCCATGTTCTGACGTCCCACGGCCAGCGCGTGGCAATTCACTACGCGTAAAATACCCGCGAGAGTCTCACGCATTTTTGTACAGTTTGCGAAGAGTGAATTTTACTGATAAATCGGCATCTTGCGAGCGGAGAAGAATGTATTCCATCTAAGCATTTCCCAGAATTATTCATTCATCCATTCAATTGATCCAAAATATTTTTCTACACTTTCACAGCGTGAATTTGCGACGTGTTTGTAAAAAGCAAGAAGTCGGAAAGTTCTCCGAAAGTGTGTGTCATTCATGGGATTGACCTGCTCCGGAAGCCCGTATCTCTCGAGGTGTGGTGGAAAATTGTGTGAAAGAGCCTGAGAAACAGCCCAATGGCTGCCACCCTGAAGCCCTACCTGACCGCCGGTGAGTGTGCCTTCGTGTCCAGGTCGAAATCCCTCCGCTGACTTGGCTTTCTTGCCTCCCGCACAGTTCGTCACACGCTGACGGCGGCGATGTGTCTGTCCAACTTCTCCTCCCAGGTCGTGGAGCGGCACAACAAGCCCGAGGTGGAGGTGAAGAGCAGCAAGGAGCTGCTGCTCACGCCCGTGGTGATCTCGCGGAACGAGAAGGAGCGCGTGCTGATTGAGACCAGCGTGAATTCCGTGCGCGTGAGCATCGCCGTGAAGCAGGCGGACGAGATCGAGAAGATCCTCTGCCACAAGTTCACGCGCTTCATGATGATGCGCGCGGAGAACTTCATCATCTTGCGCCGGAAGCCCATCGACGGCTACGACATCAGCTTCCTGATCACCAACTTCCACACTGAGCAGATGTACAAGCACAAGCTCGTGGACTTTGTCATCCACTTCATGGAGGAAATCGACAAGGAGATCAGCGAGATGAAGCTGGCCGTGAACGCCAGGGCGAGGATCTGCTCTGAGGAGTTCCTCAAGCGCTTCTAGACACACACACAGGCATTTCCTTCAACACCAGTTGTATTCCGCAATCTTTTGTATTGGTACTGTTCAGTTCTACACATAAATTATATCGAGAGACGAAAGAAAACCAGGGAAACACTTAAACATAAACTACTCATCGGGATAGAGTATGTCGTCCAGGAGCGCGAGCACCTTGCGCCGAAAGCCACTCATCTGTTTGTCCGTCATCTGCTCCATCTCGGGCATCAGACTCAGCAGGAAGAGCTTGCGCGGATTCTCTGTTTCGGGGGTGAATTTCCGCTTCTGCGACTTCACCTCGCTCAGGTTGATTGAGTAGGTTTCGTTCTCCGTGTCGATCTCCTGCATGATGCTGCGGATCAGCCGCTTCTTGTCCGTGGAGTCGCCGGGCGTGGTGGTGGAGGACTGCACGTAGGGCTCCTCCAGCACCACTTCGTACTCCTCGCAGTCGCGCTGCTCCTCGCTCGGATCCGGCTTCACTCGTCGGCCGCGCAGCACGCGCTTCTTCGCCGACTCCTCTTCCTCATCTGTGTTCTTGCTGTCCAGATTGTCCTCCTCGTCCGCGGCACTCTTCACCACCTGATACGGCACGGTCATCTTCACGAACGGCATGATGAACTTCATCTCGTCCATCAGATAGTATCGACACTTCAGCGTCTGTCCGTTCTGCTCCGCCTTCAGCTTCCGCAGGAACACCGTTCGCAGGTTCCGCCACTTGTCGCGGATGTTCTGGGCTGAAATGACAAGCACACATTGAACTCCTGCACCCTCCTCCAGGCAGTGGGAGAGCCTCACGATTGTCGCCCATCTCGTCGGCGATCTTCTTCCACACTTTCTCAATGAACTCCCTGTCCGAGTACTCAGACATCCCGAAGTCGTACAGGCAGGGATTCTGCTTCACCAGCCGCACGAGGCGCACGTTCTCCTGATGCTCTCTGTGCCTGACCATGATTCTACAGCGTCAAAACACCGCGAGGATATGCAAAATACACTTTGTTATTATTTTCCAAAGCGGACATCAAGAGTGCGGAATGACAAGGCGATGACAGGGCGGCAACTCCGGAAATTGTCGTCCGAAAGAGGGATAATTTTTGAACAGCAACGGTTGTGCGTGTTTCCTTCAATTTCTCCCTTTTCCGCTTTTCTCGACCATCAATGGATAAGTTAATGACTTTAGGAAGACTTCTTGTGTATGTGATTATTGATAATTGCGAAAATAGATACTTCTTTATTCAGAAATGCTTATTTTCAATGTCTTTCTTTCACATCCAAGTGATGGCAGCACTTGCGGACCCCATAAGAATCCTCTTGAAATTTTCATATGAAAAATTTCCAACGATCATGTGATTTTTTTTCACATCAATGTCTCTTATTAGATAAGATAACGAGTAGAATTCATTTTCTTAAAGTTAAAACATCATGATATTATATTAGAAAACTTTCTTCCCACATCTTCGTGTTGACAAAGACATTAGACACTTCCGCTGACTGGAGCGGAACATTCGCACACCGTCGAGGAACGTGGCAATAGTTGTTTGCGGGGTTTCGCAAGAAAAGTGGTGTCAATAATAAATAAAGAGGTTTTCTCGTGTGTGCAAGTGATATTGTAACGAAAGATGTGATTTCCCTGCAATAGGAGTGTGGAAAGTGTTGTATAAACAATCGCGACAATGTATTTCCCGGTTGGCTGGCCTAAAATACTCGATATCGCGGAAACGGCGAATGGTTGTCAATTGCTGAAGATTTGTTGTGACCGAGTTAAGATTCTCTTTGCCATTCTCACGGAAGACAGCCTGAGAATATGGTACACAAAGGTAATGTCCGCGAGATTCCCACGCCACGTAGAGATGATGAGTAATTGCGCCCCATTTCAGCCGTGCGTCCCAATTGTCTGCCATCGTCGGGATGCAAAATCGATAGAGAAACATGGCCGGAATATGCTGGTGGAGTGGAAGCCCGATTCCAGCATGCTCGTGATTGTGGTGAGTCCGGAAGTGCATTCCGCCTGGCCACGGCCCCAGAGTGACCCTCTTTTCCCCTGCTTGCAGACAGAGGACGGCACGCTGCTGCTCTTCAGCCTGGGAGTCGTCGACACGCCCAAGGGAATCTACAACCAGATCGACTCGCCGTTCCAGAACTTGCGCCGCGACAGCGCCGAGCTGTTCGTGAAGGAGACAATTCCCTCGCTCACGCTCACGCTGTCCCACGAAGTGGCACTCTTCGTACCGGTCACCTGCGTGTCCTGCGTCAGCATCTCCCAGATGATGGTCGCCACGGAGTCCGGAAAGGTGCTGCGCATCCGCTGGGATGGCGTGGAGGAGCGCGACTTCTCGCTTGACCTCAAGCGCATCCCCTTCAGTGTGAACCAGCAAGTTAGCTACGGTGAGTTAAAGGCCAGGAGAAGAAGAGAATCAACTTTCGCTCAGATCCAGGCCGAAAATCGATGAGAGCAGTGATTCTTGGCAGGAGAAATGCATGAATTTTGCAAAATCTACTCCAATTGGAACATTATCCGTTCCTAATAGGAAGTTTTCCTGGTGCTGCAGAGTAATTCAGAGAGTTTCATGGCTAATTTAGTGTATTTATCCTTTGCAGCTGTGCCAATTTTAGAGGATAAAGTTCACATAACTTCGATGGACTATTCGCCACTCGTGGGCGGTTTTGCCATCACACTCAACGATGGTCGAGCGGCTTTTCTCACGGCGAACAACCTCAAGTTTGACCCAAACGTACGTGAAATAATCTATTGTTCGATGTACATGAAAATGCCTTCATGAAGCTCATTGTTTTCTCTTGCAGCAAGTTCAAGGAATATGGGCTCAAAACATCGACGATGCGAGTTGCGCTACGATAAATCACAAATACCGCTTGATAGCGTTCGGGCGCAAGAAGTAATTTGTCCATGTCAACTAGTTGCTCGTCAGTTTGTCTCTAATTAATTTGTTTCTTGCAGTTCGCAGGCTGTTGTGTACACGATAGATGACTTAACTGGTGGCCTAGAATTGTCGCATGCTCTAATTCTGAGTGCCAAAGACTTTCCGGGCTCGCCTGGCGCCGTGCGGGAGATGAAATGGACTCCGGATGGATGTGCAGTGGTGCTTTCGTGGTGCAAAGGCGGGATTTCGTTGTGGAGCACTTTTGGGTCGACGCTCATGTGCTCCTTGGGTTGGGATTATGGACTGAATGTGGATCTGGCCAAGCACAATCCCCTGGACATCCAGTCGATGGACTGGTCAACGGAGGGCTATCAGTTGTTCATGGTGCGACACACGAATGCCCAGGAAGTGGACGGAGACAACGCATCGACGGCGGAGCCTTCGCGATCGCTGCTCGTGCTGGACTTTGTCAAGAGCTCAATGTCCGTGAATCCGTGCATGAGCTTCCACTCGCACCTGTTGCTGCAGGGCGACGACAAGCTGTACATGAATCAGGGCGAGAGTCTCCGCAATATTCACTACAACTCACGCAGCTACGGCACAGATCTGCGCACATTCGACTCGCCGTTCTACACGGGCTGCAAGCAGACCAACTTCTTCGCCACATCCTACAGCATCTGCACGACGAGTTACATAAACGATGGTGAGATCAAGCGTGTGGCCAATGATGATGCCATGTATCATTCGGATGACTATGAGCTGGGAAAATCACTGCAAGTCACCAGCATATTGTCGGAGAGCAAACACTGGATCGTTGTGCAACTTCCCACAGCTTATATGGCCAGCAATTGGCCAATTCGAGTGAGTTTCGCCATGATTAAGATAGGGAATATAATACATTGCATGCCGACAACATATAATTTGACGATTTAATTCATCTCTCTCTGTTTCTCTCCCGCCCCGAAAATACAGTACAGTGCAATCGACAAGAGCGGAGTGAATTTGGCTGTGGCCGGTCGACTGGGCTTCGCGCTCTACTCCCTCGGCACGCGCAAGTGGAAGCTGTTCGGCAATGAGACGCAGGAGAAGGACTTTGTCGTCACCGGGGGACTGCTGTGGTGGAATGAGTTCATCATCATGGGATGCTACAGCATGGTGGGCCACAGTGACGAGTTGCGACTGTATCCGAAGGACGCGAAGCTGGACAATCGCTTCGCGAAGATCATTCCCTCCAGTGCACCGGTGGTGCTGATCAATCTCTACAAGGATCAACTGATTGTCTTCACCAATGACGGCTTCGTCACGAGCTTCGCAATAACACGCCACGATGCCCAAACTGTGGATCTCACAACATTCCGTCTGTACGATATCAGAGGACTTTGCGTCCATCCGGCGTGCATTGTGTCAGTGACGATGACCAATTTGAAAAATGAAAGCATTCCGCGAGTCAATCAAGGTGAGAAATCCCTTAAAATGCTTGTTAGAATATCAACTCTATCAACTCTAGAATGTCAACTCTTGCCTCTGTCTAAAGGTTAAGAGAGGCAGAGAGACTGTGTTTGAACATTCTCTGCGTGATCTCAAGGAAATGATTGCCACAAAAATTTCAATTACACGCCTATATCTTGTATGATTTACCACATGACAAATTGGCTCGTGAAATTGGGCAAGAAGCAATCAGAGAAACGCTGATACAAATCATTTACAAACAAGATTTCCGAACGGATAAAGTCGTGCAGCACAATATGAAGCCCTACAACTGACCCAATTCCGTGAATACCTTTGCCATAATTACACTTTTCCTTTCGTTAAGCGCGAGCATTGCGCTTGAGGTGAGACACACTGCATTAGCGAGAGAGTGTTTTTGAGTTGTTGGAATGTTACTTCGCAGCTTCACTCTTGTCTTCAACGCGAAGCAATGTCGCGAAATCGTGAAACTGAGTGTGGAAAATGAGCAATTATATGGAGTTAAGCATGTTATTGAACTAATTTGGGTGTTTTTTTTTCAATTAAAGTACCTAAAAGTCAATTTATTATAGATTTCGTCTTATGAATTTTTGAAAAGCTTTTTATTTATTCTTTGAAATGTCTCAAAAATTGCAGTCAAACGCAGAAAACGCCTTTTCAGGAAATAATTTTTGATTTTCTGAATTATCCTTAAGTGTTTTTTACACTTTGAATGATTATTTCTCATATCTTTTAAATTCTTTTCACTTGTAAAGCATGAAAAGTTGATTTTTTAGAACTTGTTTGGATAAAATCAACTCGAAAACTATTAAAAATTGACTTTGGAAAGTAATATTTTCAGATTTTCCATTAATTTTGCCATATTTTAGTCAAAAATTCTAATAAATACAAATAAAATCAACTGAAATATTCACAAAATAATAAATACAGAGCAATATTTGCACTTTATCGGACGATTTGAAGGCGTTTTGAAGTAAATTTGGCAAATTTCGCAGCTTTAATAACGCTAAATTTTGATCTTTAGTCACATTGAGAAAAACTCTTGCAAAATGCCAATCTTGATATTCCATTTCAAGTTGAGACACTTTAAAATCTCAGCTCCTCATAAGCTAAACCTCGCAGATGCTTATCTTATGCATTTTGTGTCTGTTTGTGTCTTTCAGCGAGTCAACAATCTGAGACCCTGATCTTGAACGTTTCGGGGCGGCTGTTGATGGTGCAGAAGGAGAATAATGGGAATACATGTGAACATCTGGTGAGTTTGATATGTCCTTTTTTTATTTACGCTTTTCTCATTCGTATTTTTTTTTTATCATCAAGTATAAAAAAGAGAGTATTGTATTGGGATACAGAAGAAGAATAGATGGTAGAATGCTCGAAGGATTTGTCGATAGGCCTGAAGAGTGGGTAATGAGAGTGATTTATCACAAGTAGAACACAAGCTAGTGATCACATCTGCGGGGATGGCGCGCCTAGTAGTGGTGTCCGTGGTAGTCGTGGTGGTGGGGAACGTAGTGGTGCACGGCGTGTCCGACCTTCTTCACCGTGGCGTGGAATCCGGTGTGAGGATCCGCCGTGTAGTCGACGACGCGCTTGGTGCCATCGGGCTCGTACAGGGAGTAGGAGCCGGTGACGTGGTGTCCGTCGCTGTGCTCCCAGGCCTCCTTGTGGTCACCGGTGTGGGGATCCTTCACGGCGTAGCCGAATTTGTACTGGGCAGGAGCCTGCGAACGAGCAAACAACCGTGATTGTTATCCTGCAAATTCACCACACTCTGTGATCTTACGTGATGGTCCTCATGGTGATCGTAGTGATGATCGTATCCACCGTAGCCGCCGTGGTGATGATCCACGTGCTGGTTGAAGTGTGCGTAGCTCTCGGCGTGTCCTGGGAAGGCGCTCACAGCCACGGCGAGGAGGACTAAGCAGCAGATGACCTGCAAGAGAATTGTTTGAGCGTTCCTTCGACTTCCTCTTCTCTCAATGTAAATCCAGATTCTATTATCCACTAGAAGAGTTCTCTTCACCTGATAGGATTGCATTTTGGCAAGATTATTTTAACACAAGACTTTGCGCACGCTGGTGTGATTTAGTTGTGAACTATTCCGATGCGGACACTTGACTGTTTTGATGGAAACACGTACAAGTGCTTTTATACCTGTAAAGTCGGTGTTTTTCAACGTTTGGTTCCCAAACGGAGGAGAGTGAATTTTAACATACACCACATAGATTATGTCCGTTGTGCAGCAGCATAGAAAGTTTTGAAATACACTTGGCAATAAAATAATATATTGCGAGCGCGCGCGCACTCTCAGACAATAGTCCAGCCGTCCGTGGACTTATCGGAAGTTGTACAAATACATTCGATTGGGAGAGAGAATTGCTGGTGTGTTTTGGCACACACATTGCGCACAGACACTGTATTCTCTGTCTCATGCTGCTCTCTTTCTTATTAAATGATTTTAATTGAGTTCAAAAAAGTTGCATAAGACTTCTTGTGTGTGTTTTGGTCTCTGTTTGTTTGGCTTTTTGCCTTAACACACAATCCAAAGCCACACAATATCGATCGATTCCCAAGGAGACACATCCGATAAATGTAACACAACGCGACTTGTGGCCAATGGTTTTTCTTCGTCAGTTCATCCAGATCGGCTGCGGAGACACAATTCTTGAACTATATTAACAATAAGTTAACCCATTCCAGATTGACAGTGTCAGAAAATTAGTCCTTCATTTGCCAAATTCAATACATTTGATGTCATGCTTAAGTTTGCTTATTGTTCTATTGCCAAAATCAATCCTCACGTTTCTTATACAATTGTAATTCCACTTTGAAAGCTTGGAACGCTTTTGGGATATCCTTGAGTGCCCAAAAAAGATTCTTGTGAGGCTTTTATCCGAGACATCAACCAGAAATCAAGATTTCAAGATAACAAGAATCCTTGACTGTCTTGGAAAATTTGTACTTTTCAAAGGGTAACAACACCATAAACTTCCTAAGCTTTGACAATCATGAGTTAATGCAGTGTTTGCTCACGTAATATGCGGACAAACAGTGGCGCATGCAATTGTACAAAGTGTATTATCGCATTGACATCGAAGAAAGTCGCCCCTCAACATATATGACACCACGGAATATGATCATAGCGCGATTATGCTTCAGTGAGGCGTAAAGTGTGCACTGATCTACGGATTTGGGCACCACAGATATTGTGTGTACTTCATCTTCTCCACTTCATAACATGACACTCGATATGTAATTAATCGCTTTCCTCCTTCAATCGTTACATGGCAATGGAGAAAGAGAGACACACAAAGTTACAAAAATCTCTATTACATTTAATTGTTTTTCTGGCTTCTTTCCTTCTTTATTTTTTCGTTTGCCTCTTCATGGCATTGCATGTATCATTTGACTTGCATAAGTTCCATGGGCTGTATTTTAGTGGGTACCTTAATTATGCTCAGTGTGTGGTCACCTAATTAATTTTTTCTTCTCTCTATTCTGTGTCGAATTAGTTATTTTCGTTGATTTCTTAATAATATCTTATGAGTGGAAAAATGGCTAAAAATACCAAACAATGTGACATGCAAAAAGAAGTGTTTTGAGAGGCAAAAAGACTTTCTGTGGCACTTTTACATGATCTTGAGAGGTGTTTTATCAGTGCAATGCACCGAAATAAAAGTAAAGCTCAAAACATGGACAGAGAAACTGCGTGAGAATATTATGATTATCATGTTGAATAATGTTGTGAGTGAAAATTTTAGAGTTCCCAAAAATTATGTCACTGGCAGAAATAATGATTAACGATGGTCGTACTTGGGAGAAGAAGCATACTTTGTGACATAATTTCCATGTGAAAGCAACACACTTTGGCAGATTATTTGGTGAAGTTTATGGGAATTGTCCCACATTTTCTAAGGGTTGCGCGCAAACATCCTATGTCAAGGCATTATGCAATCCAGTGGATATTATTAGCATAATATGTAATATGTAAGTCAGTGTGTTATAATAATGATAAAAGACTAGTGAACCATATTTTTTCGTTTGGATGAATTGAAGCACGTGATTTTATGTACATATATATCGAGATACTTGATCGACAAATTGGCAATTTGTCGATATATTATTAATGCCGAGGCACAATTGCAATTTTACATGGCAGAGTTTGCTATTTTATGCATATATTGCATGCTGTGGAAGTGAATCAAATCATGATGCAGCAGCAAAAGTGGCGGCAATGCTGCAGAATGGTCAATTCTTGTGGGCAAATGAAGAGATTAATCATTCACACTCTGGGCATTGGAATGCATTTTATGGGGGATTAAAAGCTTGTTTCATTGAGAGACTTGTGTTTATATATTCTTGAGAAAGTGAGTCAATTTTAATGAGTCCGAAGGAGAATTGAGAAAGATTAACATAGGAAAAGTGAGGGTAAAAAAGCTCACAGCCATGGCTCAAGTGTTGTTGTGAAGGAAAAAAAAATTTAACACACTTATTACCCTATATATGGAATGTTTATTGGGGGATTTTACAGACTCCCAAGAATCTGTAAAGTCATTTCGAAGTGTGGGCATGAGCTTGTAGTATTTTCTGCTGGATTACAACGAAAATTATGTGCACAGAGAGAGAGAGAGAAAAAAATGATCTCTTGTAGACACAAAGTGAGATAATGATACATAAAGATAAAGTACAAGAGAATATGTAATTTGAAATTATGAAATTCCTCCTGGCCGAGAGAGAGACGCCAAATGCCTGATTTTATGGCCTCCAACGGAACCTTTCTTCTTGCAAGAGCGCCGCATGTGCGCGGGAGATTGCATAATGCCGGATAAGTGGAGGTGCAAGATATTGTGGTTATTGTATTTTAGAGGTTTATGGTTCACTTTGTGGTACTGCTGACCAAATTGCATTATGCTGTATAGACTCAAAAGAGGCCCTAATGGGTAACATAACACTTTCGCTGTGGAATGTTAATTGAGTGAATTCCACACCGCTTGTGTACATTTTCATCTGTGTAATATATTTATAATGGAATAATTGCTGTAAATTCATAATATATCATTAATTGATTGTCTTCTGCCAGACATCAACTTGCCTGGCATCGTGTGTTGAGTGCATTTGGCTGTCGGACTCACACAAGACGCACCTCAAGGAGTCTCTGTGGCTCTTCTGCGGCGGACACGGCATGCGAGTGTGGCTGCCTGTCTTCCCGCGGCGCGAAGGCGACTCTGGCCATCGGAGTCACAGGCACACATTCATGTCCAGAAGGATCATGCTCTCCTTCACGCTGCGTGTTTATCCACTGGGTGAGTGGCAAAAATCCCTTATTAAGCTGATATTTTAGCTTAAAAGTGCTGAGATTTTAGCAAACCTTGAGCAAAAAGTGCTAAGACGAAGTATGAAAACGGAATCAATAAGGATATCCAATTTCCTGCTGTTTTCTGGACCAAGGGACTTGCAAGACGTTCGAATTAATTGATCAAAACACGATTCCTCGATATTTTTCCCAGTTTTTTATGGGTCTCAGTCTTATAAAGAACAATAAACACCTGAAAATATTTATTTATTTCCTCTAAATGCTTTTAAACACAAGAATCTTTATGGTGAAAACACAGCATTTTGCTCATACCATCTCGGTTCGGTCCCGTCAGATTCCCTTCAGAATTTTGGTCTGCAGATCAACTTTTGGCGCCTTCACACAATCCGATTTTCTCCACAATGATGGCTCATTATGGACGAAATCAATTAATTTTTGAGTTTTTTCCACACTTAAATTCATTTCATTGACGATTTCCTCGATTTTCCGTATGAAATTTGTCTATTTTGACCATTTTGACAGCAAGCGCATTGTCAGACACGTCAAACTCAAATTCAGCGCGGGTTGCCCAACGTAAAATCTGCAGGCACACACTTGATATAAAAATGTTGTGAGCAGGAAGGAAAATACACGATTCGTGTGGGGAAGAAAGAGATGAACTAAAACAATTGTCCAATGACAAAAGCTACGTTTTCACCATTAATTTCTCAGCGCAAATTGTATTGATTTAATTGTATCGGTTCTCATACAAAAATGGCTTCTTGCAATTTTCTGGCAAGGTTTTGCATGATGCGACATCTATGTATTTAAGTACGCATCAGAACTTTGACTGGTCACCGCTAATATCGCTAGTTTTCTTACTAAATTTGCTCAGAATTAAGCAGAACAACGCTAAAACCTTAGCAGTTTTAATCTCAATTTTGAGATCTTAGAATTTTGTAAATTTTTATGTTTTCAACCCCTAATTTCCAGTGATCCTCTTCGAAGATGCAATAATTCTGGGCGTGGAGAATGACACAGTTCTGTACACGAGCGACTCTAGTCTTCACTTTTCCCTCCCATTTTGCGTACTTGAGAGAACGGTAATGATCCATAGCTGAGCACTGTTTTAATCTGATTTGTATTCACAAATGTGTCTTGTGCTTCTTGACTTTCCTTTTTTCTCCAGAGTCAAGTATATTTGCATCAGATACTCCGCCAATTGATTCGACGCAATCTCGGCTACAATGCCTGGGAGATTGCCCGCAGTTGTACAAATTTGCCATATTTTCCGCATTCTCTGGAACTACTCTTGCACGAAGTGAGTTGATGATTATCTATTGTGCAAATGGATGGAAAATTGACTGGGGAATTGAGTGTGCATTTATCATGCCTTAATTGCAGGTTCTCGAGGAGGAGGCCACGAGCAAGGAGCCCATTCCTGACGCCCTGCTGCCCAGTGTGTTGGAGTTCATACAAGAGTTTCCCGTCTATTTGCAGGTAAAGAAAATTTGGCGGGGGCTCATAAATATGAGATGCATTACGATTTTGGTAAATTATAGGCCTTCATACATTTTTAATGACGCTTGAAGGATTGCCAAAAGTTGTAATTTTCACACGAATAATTCGAGGCTATATTTTGATGGATTGTCCCAAAAATGGGCGCAAATTGGTGTGATTTTCTCAACCACAAATTGCACTTCTCTGTTTCCAGACTGTTGTTCAGTGTGCTCGCAAGACGGAAATTGCCCTCTGGCCGTATCTCTTTGCCACTGCTGGAAAGCCAAAAGATCTCTTTCAACAGTGTCTGGCATCGAAGCAACTCGAGACGGCGGCCAGTTATCTCATCATCCTGCAAGTGAGTCCCTTTTTGGCGCTTCACTGACTGCCAAATTGACCCATTTCATGGCCGTTTTGCTATTATTTGCGATATATTTCAACAAAATTACCACTCTTGTTCATTGAATTCACATTTTTTTTCTTTCTTTACGTAAAACCATAACGAAATGGTTGCAATGAATTTAATGATCTTCAAATTATTGTGTGTGTTTGTGTGTAAATCGTGGAGATCTACTTTTCTTGTTAATGCATCGTGCGCATGACCTTCAAGAAGAGAAGATATTTTTTTTTATGTAACCTTCATTGCCAATTATTTAATGTGAAATTTTATGAGTTATAATTTTTGAGTTATGCGTCAGGAAATGTGGTTGTTTTTTTGGCTCTTGTGTGGCTATTAATTTCGTAAAAATGTTAAAACTCTCGCATAATCTCAATAAGTGCGTAATTTATTTGTTTTTTAAAAGTGATTGCAAAAAATCCTCTCAAAATTTTCGATGCTTGTTTTGCAGCATTTGCAGTTTTGTGAATGATTATTTCATAAGATGGTCATAAATATTTCGCTTGGTTGAAAGTAGTAAAACTGTTTGTTGCAGAATTTAGAGCCGTCATCAATTAGTCGGCAATACGCGACTTTGCTGCTGGACACGGCCTTGGAGCAGAGTAAGTGGGAGTTGGCGCGAGATCTGGTGCGCTTCCTGCGAGCAATTGGTGAGTTTGCAGCCCAAAGAATGCGAAAAACACAGTCTTTGATGTGTTTTCTTCATCTCTGCAGATCCAAATGATGTGGAATCGCCGCGAACGTCATTCGTGATGGGCCAGAAGTTGGGCCTCAGCTCACCGACGACTCCCGTGAGTCCCAATGCGGAGGATTTGAGCCTGATTATGGGCTCAATGGCGCGCGGTCGAAGCTTCTCCACCACGATGAATCCCAAACAGCAGCCCGGAGAGCCGAATCTGAACACATCGCCGAACAGTACAAAGGAGAAGACGCCGCCGTCTTCGGTGACGGTGCAGAAGAGGAAGAAAAGCATGCCGCACACGCAGAAGGAGAAGGACTCGTCCACGGCGGAGGACTTCTTCATCGACGTGATCCTGCAGCGGCACGCCAGGCGATTGCTGCAGGAGCGGAAGCTGGAGGAGTTGGGCTACATGAGTGCTGCGCTGGACTTCCACTTGGTGGGCTGGTTGTCGCGTGAGAAGGACAGAGCGGCGCGCATTGAGGACTTCGTGGCGGCGCTGAAGCAACTACACGAGGATCTGGAGTGGCCAAAGCCGAGTCTGGAGTTGAAACTCAATCCCGATGCTGACAAGTCCAATCAGACGCAAGAGAGTCCGAGTTACTCGCTGCAATCGCTCAAGATTGAGACGAATTTGGGTGCTAGCGATTCGGGATACACAAGTCTTCCTGGCCAGCAGACGTCTCTGGAGATGCCCATGTCGTGCGATGAGGGACATCTGAAGGTGCATCGTCGCGACAGTGGCTCGAAGTTGCTCCTGAAGACCGCCACTGTGAGTGTGGAGGCGAAGCCGAGCGCCAGCAACAATAACGTCGAAGGGCGGAAGCCCAAATTGCCCAGCATTTCCGAGGCTGAGGCGAAATTAGTGCCAATGATGGAGAATATGAGCGTCACGTCGGAGCAGGTGTCGTTCTGGGGCGACGAGAACTCCAATGCCTTCACGCCGGACATCGAGCATCAGGCCTTTGCGAATCCACAGCTGCCCAGTGTTGAGGAGGAGCCAAAGCTCAAGACTGTGTCACACAAGCTGGAGGTGAAGATGCGGTATTTGCTGCAGATCTTCACTGAGGCGGGATGTCTGGAGTTTTCTCTCCTGCTGTCGATTCTGTTGCTGGACGCAGCATCGATTTGTCGCATCACAAATGCCGCCGTCCGGACGGGATCTCTGCAGCTCTGTCGACAGCTGCGCAACGGCCTGAAGGACATCATGCGATGGAGCTTCCAAGAGTGGTGAGAGATCATTTGCTTCTTCCAGTGATTTCCTAAGCTGACTTTGCTTCCTCTTTCAGTCTGGGCTACAGATCTTTCGCCATCACGCTTCAGCCGCAAATCTATCAACTGGACAAGTTTGTGCTGCAGAAGGAATCCATTCCGCCACTGCAGTTCGTCTCCTACAGTCCAACACAGAGCTTCCCAATGACTCAAATTCCCAGTTCTGACAAAGTCGATCCGGCAACAAAGAATGTGAGCATTTGAAGGGTGATTTTGTGAGGATTTCAGTCTGACTTTCGGTGTTTTTGCAGACTCAATCGTCAATTAAAGTGGATCACCAGACGTTCGATCACATGCTGGTGAAGAGCAACAGCGTGGACAGAAGCACAGCGGCGCAGACTGAGTCAATTAGCAGCGATCGTGAGGAATCCACTCAATCCAATCCAGCCAATTCTTCTGTGTTATCTTTCAACGATTTGCCAAAGCCTGAGAGTACTGGTTGTGTCCTAATGTAAATACAAAAATGCAGGAAATTGTGCATAATGTTTAGCAAAAAGTTCTCATTTATATCCTTTCTGTGTGCAATTTTGAGCAATATGTCATTCAATTGAATCCGTTTCTATGTTTAAGCTTCTCAGGAAATTGTGTTGAAGAGAAAAAAAAAATTAATGGAAAATTGTGTCTGTTTTCCTGATCAATCGAAAATATTTTTGCGAAAGATTTTTAAATAATGTGCGGAAGACTTTTTTCGAGCGATTTTCAGTGAAACAGTTTCCGTCCTTTTGCAGAAGAGAAAGAGAACGAAGAGAGAGAGCAAAGTAGCCAAATGATGATTGATTCCCTTGTTTAAATGTTGTCCTGACTGTGGCAGAAATACGTTGAGATTCAATAATGTAGCAATTTTGTGAGAGAACTTACAGAAGACATTCTTTGATAGGTTGGCAGAGAGAGAGTTGCGTTTTAGATGGAAATGAATTTGTTATCTACAATTAATTGGTTAGTGTTGACTTTGTAGAAGCGATAGCGAAGTGAATAATAAGATTTAACAAAGTTTTGTAGAGTAGAACTCTTATTTAAATATAATATTTGCAGAATGAGAAGAGAGAAATTTGGATAATTGCATAATTTATAGGAGATTTCTATAGAGAAAAAACATTGGTAATTTCATATTGACTAACATTCTTTGTTGTCTACATTGTAAATATCAAAATCTCAAGGTAAAATTCTATCCCTTCTCTTAAATAACAATACAAATTTGACTCACAGACATGATCTTTTCTTTTTCTTTGACTCGCGGTGTGAATTTGTGCATTTGCTGGACGAGGATTTTATGTACAGAAGCAGGACGCGGAATGCTTGAAGTTAAGCGGATCGCAATTTCGCCAGTTGGGCTTCAATATCGCGCTCAGTCGTTGCTCTGGAGGATTCGCCAATGGTGCCTGAGATTGCCGATGGAGCCTCTGACATCTTGCCGGACATTTCGATGCCAATCTCATCCAGAACCTTGTTGACAATCTGATCGGATTCCTCTTCGTCTCCAGATTCCGCCAAAATATCGTCCATCGTGTCGTTAACTGCAAAAAAGAAGACTTTCAGCACCAAAGAATCCGGACAATCTCTGCGCCATCAACTCACTCATCTCGTCCGTCATCTCCATCTTCATGTTCGCCTGCTGGAAGGCCCTCATGTCGCCGGCCAGCTTCTCCGGACGCATCACCTTGTTCATGTCGCCCATCGTCTTGGCCGTGGTCGCCATGGCGCCGGACAGAGCGATATTCGCGCCGATTGTCTTGTTCTGGAAGCCGACGCTGGTGATCTTGCTGTTGGCAGCGTACGTGCGATTCTTCTGCTTCCGCAGCTGGATGAGTTGCTTGGCCAGCAGAGTGCAGGCTTCCTTATTCCCCGCCTGAGCATTCTTCTTGATCTCCATCTCCAGCTTCTTCTCCTCCATTTCCAGCTTCTTTCTCTCCCGCTCAATGTCTCTCCCGGCCTTCCTCAGCGCCCTGTCATTCTCGCGCTGTTGCTCTGCAAGACAGATTTTTCACACGCAGAGATTCAAGATCAACCAATGACTCAAAACATGACTCATCTTCAGGAAAGAGATTTATTACCACCATGAAAAACGTGAAAAACTCACCTTTTACCGTTGGTTTCTTGCCAAATAAATTGTTGAACATTGTGAATGAACAGACAAGGCACTATTTTGTCGTACAAAAGTGTAAAATGAAGGATTTCTCAGGAAGATTCCTTCTAATCTTTAGTAAACAAACTTCAACAAACTCCCATTCGCTTCAGCAATTTTGACGGAAAAATGACAATTTCTCATAACCTCACTTTGGAGTGTCCCAAATCCACCCAAATTGTCCCACAATAGAGTTGTTGACCCCCCGCAGTTGATTCATTCATTCTGCGCTCCAGAAAATCACTGAAATCTACTTAAGATACAGTAATTAGCACGCTTTTTCTATCACAGAACGCACAGTCAAGATGCCGGTGAGTGAAACACAGTGAATTTGGCTGGATAAACTGAAAATTTCCCGGTGAATTTCACCTTGTTTGCGAGGGTGTGTCAATGGAGGCTCTCTTATCTCTCTCTCAGGCTTACCACTCACAATTGCGCGACTACTCCCAGTCCCTGGGCAACATGGCCCTGTTGCCACTGAGGACGCAACACAGGGGCCCCGCGCCGGGCACCAACAGTGAGCAGGACATCATTGATGAGGCGCTGTACTACTTCAAAGCCAACATCTTCTTCCGGACGTTCGAGATCAAGTCAGAGGTGGACCGGGTGTTGATCTACGTGACTCTCTACATCACGGAGTGCCTGAAGAAGCTGCAGAGGTGCTCGAACAAGAACCAGGGCCACCAGGAGATGTACTCGCTGGCCATTTCGAAGTTTGACATTCCGGGTGAGGCGGGCTTCCCGCTGAATTCCGTGTACGCGCGTCCGGCGACGAGCCAGGAGGCGGATCTGATGCGCCAGTACTTCCTCCAAATCCGCCAAGAGACTGGGCATCGCGTGTGCGAGAAGGTGTTCTGCGGGGACGACGGAAAGCCAAGTAAGTGGTGGTTGTGCTTCGCCAAGAAGAAATTCATGGACAAATCCCTGTCTGGTCCTGGCCAGTAGACACCACCACGGCCGAGGATGAGTTGCAAAGAGCATTTCAGTATGATATATATGATTTTATTGTCCTATAAGAGTTTTGCAATATACAGTGAATATAAATGTAAAGTAACAAAGTCGCAAGGCTTTTTTCCCTTGAATTTACACCTGAGTATCGACAGAAAGACAGTCACTCTGTCCGCCTCGAGAGTTACTCCCAGCTTTGGCTACCGCGTCATGAAGGAGCGGATCCAGCTCGTGAACTTGGCCGCGTCCGTGAACACCACGTACTCGCGCAGATCACACACGCCCGTCACGGGATGCTTGATGGCAATCGAGATCACGCCGCGCAACTGCCATCGGCCGTTCTCGTACATGATCAGGCCGCCGCCCGAGTCTCCCGTGCACGGCCCATTCACACCGTCCCGCCAGCCGCCGCAAATGGTGCGCGCCGACGTGAGTGTGGCGAAATCGTCGCGTGAGTTGATGCACTCCTGCGTGGACACAAGCGGGATTTGCGTCCTCTTGGGCAGGTACGTCACGAGGTTGCCCTTCTCGTCGCGTCCCCAGCCCACCACCACGCCCGTCTTCCCCACGAAGTGCTCCTCGCCCGTGGGCAGACTCCAGAGGCACACGGGCCGGATGTAGGCGCTGTACTCCACGCTCTCCTTCAGCACCAGCACGGCGATGTCGGCGTCGAAGGAGCCTCGCGGATCGCTCAGGAACTCCGGGTGGATATTCAGGTCCTGCACCTCGGAAATTGTGGCTCCTGCAGAGGAGAAAATCAATGTCAGAGAGGCTAAAATTTATTCAAATGCTTGTTTAATCTTCATCTCATAACGCTTGTCTTCATAACAACACCTTCACGAAGTGTTTTAACACTTGACTCGCTGCGATCGCTAAATTGATTATTTCGTCGAGGATTGGAGCAAGAAAATAGTGAAAGATGTTATCGAGGCACAGAAAAAAGTCCATTTCTGTTTTTCCCCAACTAATTTCAAGAAGCGAAGAAGCATCGCTGGTATTCCAGTTCTGCGTGCTAATTGTGCTAAATTTAGAATAATCAGAATGTTGTGGAAACATTCGACGACATTTACTTCTCATCTGAATTGGCTACTAAATCATTAGCAGTCCAATCAATCAATCACTCGTCAAAGTTGCACAGAGAGATGAAAGATAAACCCAATCGTCATCGCGCATTGCAATCTGAATCACTTGATTTAGTGCAAACATTCCCAACTCACCGTCTTCTTTGAGTCTCCTCAGATCGTGCTTCCCCACGAAGACAATCACATCGGCCGCCTCGTAGTTTGTGCCGCGGCCATCCATGAAGCAATGAGCCGCGCTCACGATCACGTTGTGCGACACGAGAGTGCCGCCGCAGACGAAGGAGAATTGGGCGCCTTTGTACACGTGAATGGCCACGAGCCACGGCCAGGAGCCTTTGGGGAACTCCTCGCCGCCGAATATCAGGGGCGTGATGGTGAAGCGGCTCTCAATCTTGCCGCATACGCCGACGCCGTCGTCTCCATAGCGGTTGACGGGCGTGTGGGCGGGATTCGCGGCGGGCAGGAATGGATTTGACGGCCTCGATGGTCGCTGCGTCGGCGGCGGCGGCGGTGGAGCCTGCGTGTGGGGCTCCTGGTAGGGCGGATAGTAGGGCGCTTGTGTGGAAGTCTGACTCTGCTGAGGGATGAAATTGTTGCCGCCGTAGGGATTGTAGGCGTCGTTCTGGCCGAAGAACGGATTCGAGTAGTTCTGGTAGTCATTGTAGTAGTTGTCCTGCTGAGGATAAGAGCCACCGCCGCCGGGTCGGGCTGGATAGTCATCGTAAGGCTCGTTCGTGAGCCTCGTCGTGAGCGTGTGATCCAGGCGAATGTTGGTAACGTAAGAGCCTCTGTTGGGGAATCTTGAGCGATCTCCTTGGCAGATCACGTTGCCATTGTATGTGATCGACACGAGGCGCGGAACGGGATTTGAGATTGGAAACTTGACGCGATATCGCACCGGGAGGCTCTTCTTCAGGCGATCCAAAGCCACTTCTTGCGCGTCACGCAGCTCCAAAGCACCCACATAACTCTAGAGAGAAGAAAAGACACAATTTAGCCAATAATAAGTGACATCAGCGCTGTCGAAAATGCGCACTAAATTCACAATTTATTATATTTATTTCTTTGAGATGAACTTTAAGCATGAATGGGAAAATACGTCACTCGTCCGTGATTCTTTTACACTGACGAATGCACTCTTGAATTGGTGACAATCGCGGAAATTCTACGCGTGCAGTGATTCACGTCAGAAGAAAGAGCTGAAGGGAAGTTCCAACAGCTGAAGAAGCTGATGAATGAAAGCTTCTTGGTAAATACAGTGTTAATTCTTGAATGATCATGTCTTGATCATCTTGATACTTGAATTTTCTGCGAACTGTTCTAAAATTAGCCCATCTTCAGGATATGAATTGTGGCATCATTTTCATGTTCAACCGTCGCGCAAAATACAAGCAGAAAAAACGTGCCAAGCCTTCGCGGTGATTTTTTCTTCCACCCATAAACACAACACGATGTGAAAAGTTTTGCTTATTTTTTCGCCAATGATCGCGAAGCTGCCATCGTCGGTCAGATAAGATCACTTAATCGAAAAGCAAAGTGCAATTTTGCACGAGAAAACGCAGCGATGAAGAACTGTCTTCAAACACCAATTGCGGGAATCCCCAAGAGAAAACATGAGCTTTATTAGCACTTTCAAAGACGGCGTGTGAATGCCACAGACGCCGCTGTTGATTCTTCGCGGCTTCTCTCGAGTGCGTCACTGTATTGAGACTGTGACGGCGGGGGAAAAAAGCGTTTGGTGACGCTTTTGGCACGCTTCTGACGATCTCTGGGAGGGACACCAATCATTCCGGTATCGTTTTCGCGCCAACTGGTCGGCGCTGATGGTATTTTGGCAATAAATGCGTCTCTCTGCGCTTCTTTATGAACATATTTTGTCATAGAGAAGCGTGGGGCAGATGTGTATTACAAGCTATAAAAGGCGCGAAGACATTCAATATATGTGTTAATTTGCTCAGTTGATCACACTGCTGGATCTAGAGTGGCTCAAGTGAGAAAAGAGCGATCCTTCTCTCAAGGAAGCTAAAAATGTTGATTTAATAGCAACTGAGCAAGAAAAACCGCCAATTTTTGAGCAACTCAAGGAAATTTTAATGCTCTTTTAGGGCATAAAAGCTGGTCATTATGTCTTAATTCATGACTTTTCGTTTGGAACTCTTTTAACCCCACAATTAAGTAGAAAAATGACTTAAAAAATCTGTGCTCAGATTAATTTGCTCAGATCATCGCTAGAAATCTTATTGGAATAACTCGGTAACACAATGTGCTTTGAAGCACAATAAATTTTCACTGTTTTCTCTTTGATTGGGGCAATTGAAATTCCTTCCACTGGAGTTCTGGGAAAACCCCGCCAAAGTGTGGTGTTAAATTTCGGGGCTCAGTGGCCCCCGCGCTCCCCTATGCCTAGGAATCGCGTTCACAAAGTGGGGAAAAGAGAGAAGATGGAAAGATGGGAAACTGGTTCTGGGGAAAATGAGGAATGCCAGAGTGCGACAGAATCGAAAAGCTACCGATGGCAACTGCACAGGAACGGTGAGGAAGACGTGGAGCTCGAGTTTGGTGCCGATGGGCGGCGCGGGCACCTCCAGGGCGCCCTCAGCCTCGTATCCGTTGTGCTGATACTGGAAGAGATTCGGACAGGGTGAGCTGCCTTGAGTCCTGACCACGGGAAGCGCACAAATCACCACAAGGAAAATGTCCACTTGCACGCGAAGGCGTTTGAGTGATGTGATCATCTTGTCTCTAATGGAATTTAATTGATTGTGCTTTTGAATCACAGGGAATTTTTCGCTTCAGCCACAAAGTGTCTTCTCTTTCTATTCATAGTTTCTGTCACGGCACTGAATTGATGATTAATAACGAAACACGGGGAATATATTTTGCCACGGACTGATCCGCGATGCGTCGCACAGCCGGAAAATGGTGTCTCGAGCGGGCAGAAGTCCATGCGCAGCCGCCGGAGGTGCAGAAATCACTGATGAGAACTTGTCCAGTTGGTGCGTGACGAGTGTCTGGAAGTGGAGAAGGTGACAGTGGGGGAAATACTAATGACAATCTCCTCTTCTTCCAAGAGACACTCAAACATCGCCTGGTCGCATGCCACAACCACGATCACACCTCGGGCTTTATATACTTCTGTGCCTGTGGAAGCGATATTGCTTTGCTAATATGCGGCACATTTCGACATTGTCTGATAAAGTCTTTGAAAAAATATTAACACAAAGCCAATCGATAGTATTTGAGTGTATTTCCTGAGCTGAGAAGTTTCCTGACTGATTCTCGTATTGGCCTCACTTTTGTGATCGGAAAGAAAAGCATCGTTGTGAAAATAGGTTGAGAGGAAGTGTAAATCATAAAAATCATAAAACTGAATGAATAAATTTCTTCTAGGAGTCCTAAATCTTTGATGGAAAATTTAAAATCATTTCTAAATAAGAAAATTGACCAGGAAATGAATGTAAAGGAGTTTCACATTTGCTTCTTTCTGGATTCAAGTTATCGACAGTGAATTTTCACTAAATTGTAGCATAATTTTAAGGGAAAAATAGTTAAATTTGACAGTCTGAAGACTAATTACTTAATATTAATCCATGTTAGTCTTATTTTTTCCCTGAAAATGTGTTAAAAACAAGTTAATTGCACGCAATTCTTATCGATAAGACTCGGTAAGTGTCGATAACTTTAATCACTTCAACTTTAAGTATGATAATGCAGTAAAGAAGTATTGCAAATTCCTAAAAATCCAATTACAATTGTTCACTGTGTTTTGGTTAGTGAAATTCTTCAATGTTTCTTACAACTTCAGTTCATCTCACCGACTTTGTCATATTCCCGAATGCGTGCAGAAATCATTGAAGCTCACAAGCTGATCTGCATTGCTTCCACTCGTGTGTTTTTGCTTGGATAGCGCGGATTTTCTATGAAAACTTGTAGCACTTCTTTTTGCGATCATCGCAATATTTCTCAAATCAAATTTCCAACATTGCTTTTTGTCCCAAAACGGAATTGCTAAATTTGGCAGAAAATGATGGGGTTCGTCACCTAAGCGCGCGTTGAAGTCTTTCTCTCCGAAATTCCACTTCACACTCCGGGACATCAATTGAGGTTTTTGCAAACAGCGCGCGTCAATCGTGTCAAGAGAGATGATCCCAAAACACTCGCAGAGAGTTTAATACTTAATCAAAAAAAAATTTATTCCTTCTAAGAGATTGTCTTTGTATCGACGTGACTTGAGGATGGCCGCGGCCGCTATAAGAACGACCTGATCCAATCTGAGTATTTGGCCACATCCGTGAACACCACGTATTCCTTGAGATTGCACGAGCTGGTGAGCATGTCCGAGAGGGAGGCCGACACGATGCCGCGCAGCGTCCAGCGCCCGTTCACATCGAAGATCAGCCCTCCGCCGGAGTCGCCGTTGCACGGGCCCTCGGAGCCGTTCCGCCAGCCGCCGCAGAAGGTGCGGTCCGTGGTGATCTTGGAGAAGGCCTCGTTGCTGCGCAGGCACGTGGCGTCCGACACCACGGGCACCTCGGCCTTCTTGGGCTCCGGCGTGTTCACGTTGCCGTGCTCGTCGCGGCCCCAGCCCACCACCACGCCCACGCGCCCCACGATCGCGTCCTGCGTCTGCGGCCCGCTCCACAGGCACACGGGCCGGATGAACTGCGTGAACTCCACCTGGCGCGCGATCACCACCACCGAGATGTCCGAGTCGATCTTGTGGGCGCTCATGTACTGCGGATGGTTGTTGATGCTCTCCGGATAGACGATTTGCGAGCCTGCCGAGAGAGAGAAATTCTTCAGGTGAAATTTGCCATCTGTGCCATGTTTACACACAGAATTTACTGCTATTCTCTTTCGCTCACACACAAAAATTGCCCTCTTCTTGGGCCTATTTATAAGATCACCCCATGAGAATGTAATCAATATTATACCGGAAAAATGTCACATTAAATTGATTCTCATTATAAGCCATAGTTGGAAACCCCAGGAAATTTTTGCGATAGATTCTTTTTTTTTCTAGTTCACCTGGTGTTGAATATTAAGTCTCTCTATCTATACAGAGATTGATCCAAAGAGACTCGTTTTGTATGAATACATCAACATGATGATTACAACTTTAATGAAGTGCTGGCGAATTTCCCCAAAAATAACTTTGTTGGCCCTCTCGACTGTTGTGGAAAGTTCACATGCCGAACCGTTTTGTTTTTGCAAGCAAAACCCTTCAGCTTCAACTTCAATGGTAAAATTGACAAGCGACAATTCTCCAGTGCTCCGATACTTAAGTGCCTTTGGAATTCCCCGCGATATCGGTCAACAAAACAGTGAATCACGCAACTTGAGAGAGTGTGTGCGTTTGTGTGGTAATTCTCTCACCTTCTTCCTGGGGCCTCTTGAGATTGTACTGCCCGAGGATGAGGACGACGTTCTCCGTCTTCAGCTTCTGGCCATTGCGGTCGGCGAAGCAGTGCGCCGCTCCAATGACCACTTTTTGGGAAATCAGCGTGGCACCGCACTGGAAGGCCAGCGTGTGCTCCTTGTACACGTGCACAGCCACGAGCCAGGGCCAGGTTCCTCGCTGGAGCGCCGTTCCGCCCACAATGAGCGGCGTGAACGTGGCCAGAGGATCTGGTTTCCCGCACACGACCGAAGAACTGCCACTGCGAAAGAATTTCATACAGTTTAAATAGGTTTCAACTCAGGAAAGCGCTTAGAAAAGGATAGAATAAACTGTGAGCCGAAATTAGCGAAAGTTGCTCTAATTTCCCACCTTTAAACCCGAAACACTAGAAAACCCATTTGCAAAGTGAAGTTGAAGTGCAGACATTAGCATTTGGGCATTTCCCAGTCGCGTGCCACTTCAGTTCATTCATCTTTTCGCGCTCTGGGCGGGCCTTTCGAGTGGGCGTGGCACTCACCTGTCTTTGTTATCAATGGACGACGGTGTGTTTTGAGGTCGTGGCCTCTGTGGAGGCTGTGTCGGTCGTGTGGGTCTTGGCTGTGGCTGAGGAATCGGCTGCGGCGCCTGTTGATGGTGATGGTGTTGCTGCTGCGGCGGCTGCTGCACTTCCGGTGAGGAGAATTGGGAATTGTCTCCGCCAAGCTGGAAAGGACCCAGCGAGACGTCTGAGAAGGGCAGCTGACTGCCCAATCCGAAGTCTAGACCGCCGAGATCTAGGCCCGCATTGATGCCCGCCTGGTTTTGGTTGTAGTTGGGCTGTTGGTTTTGGCTGTAGCTGGGACGAGTCTGGCTCAGGTGCACCGGTCCTCCTTGTGGCTTGAAGGTGTACTGCAGTCGGATCTTCGTCGTGAACTCGTACTGTGTGGCTGCGGGGGGAGAGAAGGCAGTCGGTTGAGAGGGGAACGGGGAGGCTGGACAGGGGATTTCTCACTGTATTCCGCTCGGCAGATCACATTCTCGTTCACCGTGATCGAGGACACCTCGGGCAAGGGATTCTGGATGGGGAAGCGCACCTCGAAGTTCAGCGGCTGGTTGCTGTATATCCGATTGGCGATCTCGCTGGGCTGGCCCAGGATCTTCACCTCGCCCACGTAGGAGGACGTGAGCTGCGTGCCCACGGACAGCGTGACGAACAGCATGATGTCCTCGCCGACGGGCGGGTTGGCGATTCTGCCGATGCCGATCCACTCGCCGGAGCCGCCATCGAACTGGTAGCGAAATGTGGAGGGACACGGCGTGCTGGGCACTTCCTGGCCAGATGAACTTGATGTGGCGGCAGTGAGGAAGATAGCAAAGCACCACAGTGAGTTCATAGCGATCTCCAGTGCGAATTTCACGAGTGTCTCTAAATGGCTGTGCTTGTGGTTGAAATGCGGAATATTTGTCTCTCTATCCAAAATGTACAACGAGCTATTCTTCCACACTTCTTTGTGGGGAGCACAGAAGCACTTGAGAAGAGGAAAAACCTGTTATCCACTTGAGACTTGCGACGCAGCTCGGCACTGCGGAGGGGCACTCAGAAAAGCATGCTCACGGCCGGAGCGACTGGAGCAGACTAATTGGGTATTTTGGGAGGAAGCGAAATCTCTTGGGTCATGCTTCTGGTGTCCACCACCTCTCCACACCTCCTGATTCGGACCGACACGCGCACGGGGAAGACCACAGTTCCGAAAGCCAAGGCGAGAGACCAACACGAGCGTGCGACGCGATCACCACGGCGACTGAACACACTCGCGCTGTGACGCAGTCGTGGTGATCGCGCTGGCCAGGTAGGACAACTTTCCGGAATGCAAAAGAAGCATCTTCGCGATGTGGTGGGAGCAGCAGTGGCCAGAGATGGATTGGGCTGCACTCCAGGCGGCGATCTGGTATTTCGCGCCATTTGCACTCAATCATCATCGCGCTCTTCGGCCAACGGATTCTCTCCCAGTGACAGAGTTGATGGCGATTGTGCATGAAGTTATCAAAGTTCATAGTGATCAAATGATCAGGTGTGATCGATTTAGGGGACAGTGAGTGTACTCCGAAGAGTACATTTGCATAGACAAATATTGAAGTGGATTTCTCTTTGTTCCGCTGCTTTCAAGGAACTTCCTGGACTTCCTTTGACATCATCTTTGTAATCTTTACATAAGATAATATTCCTTCTGTGTTTCAAATTACTCTCAAACCGCCTGGCCTTCCCCTATGGCTAATTTGCTATGAATGCGGCGTAAAATGATTGTTTTGCCCCGCCTTCCGTAAAGCAACGCTAGCAAACTATAATTAATAAATGTCGTGCACAAATACTTACCAGAGATTCCAATACTGGAACATAAACAGATTCCAGCATAAATCCATTCTTCAGGATTTTCCACAAATGCAATTGGAAAATCTGCTCTCGCTGCTGATGAATTCACGTGGGGAAAATGCTTTCGTTCAAGGGGGGAAAAAACGTGAGTTTCCAAAGCGCTGAAATTATATTGACTGAAAACATCCAAAGAGGCTAGACAAAAAGAGTTACGATGATCACATTTGAATACTTGTTCGGCAGCTACGTAAGTGCGAAATGTGACATTTGCCAGCTGAGGATGATGAAGAGAGGGCCCCCAAGACAGATAAGAGCGTTTGCTATTCTGAGAAATAGTTTATTCATACAGAAAATAAAATAAATAAAATCACAAAATGACTTTCTTTAGACAATTTCTGCTCAACACTCGACCAATTTGTTAAGGGAAAATCTCTTTTTTTCTCTCTCTCTTTCTATCGTGGAAGAGAAATGGAGGGAAGTTTCGCCACCTACAAATTCCATTGTAATTAATATTTGTGGAAGTAATTAAAATGATATTTGTCGTTCACTTAGTTATTACACAAGCGCACTCGCTGGACAAGTGGCTGTTGAGTCTTCTTGCTGGGAGGAATTGGAATGTCTTAGGCACACTCGGGGGACACTTTGAGCAGCCTCGTGCCCCCGCTGCGCGGCCCCGGCGGCGGGGAGTTGCTCCCCGTGAGGATGCTCGATTCGCGCGCGTCGATCTCGGCGCCGCTCTGGCTCTGTCGCTTCGTCCTGGGCGGCGGCACTGGCACGGACTCCACGGAGGTGAGGTGAGACGGTGCGGCAGGCGCCTTCGTGCGCTGCCACCGCATGAGGTGCTTGATCCTCTGGCCGTGATAGTGATACAGATACACCACCGCCAGGCAGCACAGCACCAGCAGGAGCGACACGATGGCAATGAGGGCGCCAATGTATTTGGGGCCCTCGGGCAGTGGCTCGTCGGCAGCTCCTGACGGCGGGAGGCGCGTGGCCTCTGAGATCTTGGTCTTGGGCGTCGTCTTCGTGCCCGGTCGGATGGGGCGCAGCGACGGCGGCGGCGCTCCGTAGCCGATGCTGATGTCCGCGCACGCCCGGAACTGCTCCTGCGGACCACAGCCCACGGTGCCCGTGCCGTTCTCGCACATGCCCCAGTTGTTTCCCGCCACGTAAATCCACTGAAGAAGGCAGCTCTCGCACTTCAAGTCTGCCGAGAGGGAAAAAAGCCCGCGCAATTAGTTCTGCATACTCTCAGGCGCTCAGCTCTCTCAAACCTCTTAATCTTAAGATTTATCGAGAAGCTCTGGCTTGGCTATGGATTCATAAGACTAATTCAGAGTGTTTAGAGTGTATCTGAGTGATATTCTTGACAAGAAGGAAACGTAAATTTCAGGAGACAAGGCTTGAAAAGCAAAATGACCAAAAGTAAAGTAACGGTGCCAAAAATCTTGGGAAGAAGTTGAGAAAGAATGGCTCTTTGTCCAGCTCGCGAGGAACATGAGGAATGACAAAGTCTTCCATTCATCGTGACATAATAGGCAATTATTGGATTTGAAATATATTCACCTTCTGGCAGTCTAGCGCGGATCTCATAGACTCTGCTTCCATTCCTGGGATAGAAGCGCGTGGCGGGATCGTCGATGTTCAGCACAGCTGGCGAACCGCTGAGAATCTCCAGGACGTTCTCGTCCAGGCAGTCTTGCTTGCCGGCCGCATCGGGACACAGTCTGAACTCGAAGAAGCCCCAGTGACTGGCGGTGAGTTCGATGCGAATGAGGAAATCCGAGCCGGGATTGTAGCGTCTCACGATGACGCCCTGGCCGTACTTTCCGCCCAGCTCGTTGTCGCGCGGCTCTGGCAGATCGTAGGCATCGCCGCAGACGCCGCACTTGCCGTCGTTGCGCTGCCACTGGCGCGAGAAGCCGCCGCAGAAGAGTTCGTGGTCGTTGTAATTGGGCGGCGTGTTGAATCCGTATCGCCAGGCGGACGCTCGACTCGGCGGCTCAATCATGCGCCCATGTCCGGCGCCCAGCGTCACCAGGCCGGCGAGGACGCTGAGTGCGATGATGCCTCTGAGCATGGCCTGCAAGACAGCCCAGGAAGGGAAGGGTGTTAGTCAATTGCATTGTGTGAAGCGGAGAGTGAAATTGCGTCACACGTTGCGCCGCACTTCCTGGAGGATTTCTTTCTCTATAGTTGCGCGTCTTGAGACGCTCCCAATTTTCCCTCCTTTTTCTTCTTCTTCGATGCCTGACCAACATAAGACTTTCTCAGCATCGCTCTGGTGGGATTCAATTGAATGGCATTGCGTGAATCTTCCCATTCATCAAAGTGAAACTCCTCTGGGTAACTTTCTCATTTTCTTCCCATCAGATTCACTTTTCTGCCCTCTTCTGACTCGCGGAAGGCTCAAGAATATTCGTCTGAGCGCACAGCAATTTGGCGTGCTATTGCGCCAATCGCTTAATTATAATCAAGAGGCACGACTCGACGATCGTGACCATCTGGGACTGTTTGGTGCCACTTTTTCGTGGCTAGACAATGAGAGATCTCGGCTCTCTGCAGACTCTGGGAGGCCTTGAGTGCTTTTCATGGGAAATTTTGGGGTGTTTTGTGAAATAATTCACTGAAATATCTCTTTCGAGATTTGCAAAAGCTTTTCCGCTGACTAATGGCGCGTTCCTTTTTCCACATATGAACAACTTCACACGATCATAAATTCCCTCTCTAGGCTAGTGAATCAATTTTGGCGTCTTGTATAACCGCACAATCGCCTGGTGTAAACATGTTATGCTCGAGGATTGAATGTCGAGAGAAGTCACATGATTTTTGGGCAGAACGAACGGAAATTTGGAAGAAATTGCGCGTCACACAATCGTGTTTCGCGGGTGAATTATTCATGCTTCTGGGGATTGAAGATGAAAATAAGAGTGATCGCTTCGGAGCTCATTTGCATTTATTGGCTCCACTGAGCATCGTGTCTTTTCTCTCGCCGCCGCCACCGCCTGAAGATGATGGTGTTTAGGATCATTGTGTTTTTTATATAAAAATCTCATTATCTGCAGCAGCGAGGCGCTTTGCATGGGAATAGGGTTAAATGTAGAAGACAAAGAGAGTTTTCTCCAGCTTAGAAAATAACAACCCACCGCAATGAAACATATCTCCTTTCTTGGGGGGGAGATGGAAATGAATTGTGAGAACTTTTCGCGCCATTCTCTGACTCACTGCGTTGCTTTTCTTGCACGCGCGCGCAAAACCAAAAAAAACATGAGTCAGAGACTTTAAATGGTGGAAAATCGTAGAGATTTCCTTCGAGTTAATGAAACCGTTAAGGTCACAGTTGTTTTTCCTTCAGCAAATTATCACTGATGAGATTCGTAATGGTAGAAAAATGTGGTTCAAAGATTGAAACTATTTTCGCTATATATAAAATAAACCCTTCAAAATTTCCCCCTAAAAATGATTACAAAACATTTACTTTCCAACTTTCGACTCTTTGCTCACAAATTCATTGAACAACGACTGTCTATAATCACGATAATCACTGAACAATTTCATTGGAATCTCTTGGCGGGAAAAGCCATCGCGTTTCAACGCGAAAAGGCACTTCTTTCACAGCAAAAAACTTTCATAGGTGGTCGTGATTGATGAATATTAAAATGGCTGTTGTCTTTATAATTAGAGGGAGCAAATTATTCGCCCAATTTGCACAAAATGTCTTCATTTCAATGAAATTCAAATGAGTCTCATTTCCATTCACATCTCAGTTTAATTCGCTCCTTCTTCAGCTCTTTGTTTCATCTTCTGGCGAATGGAAAAGAAAATACAGCAAAAAAATCCCGCGAGTGCGTATCATTTGAGAACAGTTTAATTGATTGCTGAACTCACTATGAAATCAAATGGAAAATAAAATCAACATTCAACAAAGTGTTATAAATTTTCACTGATTCATCATCTCTTGCGATGCTAATCAAGTATTTCTGCACAGCCTCAAATTTTTTCCATTCACGCAACTTGTGGGAGATAAAAAGAAGAGAGAGAGAAAAAACTTTCAATTGCATACAAAATTTTCACTGCCACTTTCAGTTCCCGCGGGCATTGAAAATGGCACCTCTCATAGCTGCTGATGGACAGTGATTTAGGTGTGAACACAGTGGAATTCATTAGTAACAGAGCGCGCTGAGGTAAAAAGTGCCAAATATTTACCATATTTCCTCTTAACCGCGCGAGTCTTGAGGAAACAGCAAAAAAGACGGAATGAATTTCACTCGCATTAGTATCTTTGGCTATGGCAGGACAAGAAACACTTCGCTAAGAGGCATTTCTTTAGAGGAAGTGCGAGATACATTTCAATAAGTCAACCGAAAAATTGCCAAAATAAACACACTTCAGCTGACAATTGGCGGAAATGGACGCGCAATTGTAATTGAAATATCTTCGCGGTATAATAAGAGGAAGAAAACAACGTCGAAGAAAGCTCAAAATTGCGAATGACTGAAAACGAGATCATTTCGGAAATGCAAATACATTTCAGCACAATGAATTGAATTGCAAATAGCGAGTGAGAGAATCGGATTTTCGAGCGTGTTTCGCACTGACCCTGATGTCCGCTGCACCGCGAACTCCAGCCATCGGAGACACAAATGGTCAGCGAGATGGTGAACGAGAATGGAGCCGGAAATGATTGACTCGGAACAGCCAAGAATCAGAGTCTGACTCACACTCTTCCACGAAAATTCTCAATCATCTTTGGCAACACAGATTTTCCTGCTTTTGCCCGCCAATCAGCAAAATATTCTAATTCGAAATTAATCAGCCCATGAATCAGGCCACGAATAAGCTGAGAAACTAAACTGCTGAAAATAATGGCAATTTTCTCAAAAATAAATATAATTGTGAAATACAAATTCAAAAAATCGTGAAAGCAATTTTGAAAAATTGCCGTTTCGACCTGCAAATATTTTCGTCTCGTCCAATTTGTGGGTCATTTCGTGGTGAATGAAGTGAATTAATTCTATAGCAAATATTTATGACTTCAATAAAGGTGTGAGTTAAATAAAAAAAACCACAAGCTTTGATTAATATTGAAGTTAATGACGCAAATACTGCACAAACATTGATAAGCGAAGGAATGCAAATTTCATAGCTTTTATCTTCTTTAACTGCTCTAAATTTCCGGTAAAATTAACACTTAAAAATCGCCTTTCATTCTTCCAGTTCGAACTGAAGATTCCCAAAGTGCACAAAGTGAAGGCTTATTCAGTTCACCTCAATTGGATTTCTTATAACGTTGAACTTCAGTCAGAAGGAAGCAATTATGAGAATTCAATTGAAGGCGACAACTTCGTGGCCTCGATTTTCGTGTGCAGAATACTTAAGCGCATCCACAATCTTCTTCCTCCTACTTTTTTGTTGTTCTCTTCTCTCATTACAATCTTGTCTCCAATTTGGGCATCAGCCGTGATTTCTCCGCAGCAGACTTTTGCCACCTACAGGATTAATTGGGTCATTGGCCGAGGTTACGAGGCTGACCGTTCTCAAGAAAAGTAAAGACAAACGCTGGGCCGAAACACAAGCACAAATTGTGTTTACAGTCGCTGACTTTAGTCACTTTTGCGGGTGTTCACGCTCTTTGTGCGAAAGATTGACTCTCTTCAAGGGGGAGAAAATGCAGCCAGAAGTGGTGTACAGCTCAGCAGAAGTCTTGGGAAGTGGAAGTGTTGAAAAACCCACAATATTTCTTTCCTGAGTGCTTTTTTTACCAACAAATCATCTCAATTCTTTAAATTTCATTAAATTTTTGCGTAGAAATAATCACAATAATTATTTTTCTAGGTTATGTAACGAATCAAGGACAGATTTAGAGAACAATTCGCATTCTAGCGCATCGATTCACTAGTTATTGACAGAATTTGCATCATTTGCATATTAAGAAACATTGCAAATTATGCTGAGATCAAACATAACCTCAAACATTGTGATTTAGACTTGAAAAATGATTGCTTAGAAAACTTTCAAGCCGATTTTGACTTTGAATCAACAACTTTGAGTTCATTGGCAAATCAAAATATTTGATTTTGTGATCTAGAAAGCTTTTAAGTGGAGTTATTAAAGATTTCTTAGTGATATTTTGAGGTTATGGTCGGAAAAGATGCCCTTAAATGATGTTTTAAGTGAATTCTTACAGAAATATTGGCAGATTATCTTCCCCTTGACTTTTCTGGCGTCATTCTCTGTTTTTTTTTGTGAAATCTCTAATAATTATTTACCTTCTCATGAATCACATAAAGTAGAAACTTTCGTCGCTGAATTATATTTTCAAAAATATATTTTGCTTTACATTTTTCATGAAATCCGCGCGAGAGACGAGAGAGTAATTTTTTAATTGTTTAAGATTGTGAGGAAAGAAGCTGGGAAAAGACGGAAGTGAGGCACATTTACCCTTCGCATAAAACATCGGAATAGAGTTGTTAGCACTTTTGCATGCTTTATTAAATATAATGCAATGGCGCTGGCGTGGGGTGGCAATTAAGCAATTAATTAAATCAGCTGGAGAGATACGAATGAAGTCTGGAAAGCGCATGTGAGGAATGGAAATGATGGGGAGAAATATGACATAAAATCACGGAATGTTTGTCTTTCTCCTGGACTTCTTTAGCATTTGCTAATGGAGAAATCACGCAATCTGTCAATTCTTCCAATTACTTTTATGATCCCCATTCAATTGGTCTTCAATAAGATGGAATTTAACACAATGCAATTAGCGGGGGGATTTTTATGCGAATGATATATCTACTTTTATACAGTAGAATAAATTACCGTGCAATTCTCCCATGCAATTGACAAATACCTTCTTAATTGATTCCCACCTTTTCGAGCCTTTTGACCGTGAAAACTTCCGAATTTTCGCAATTTAGACACACAGAATGATGGATGGAAATGTGACCCAAATTTCTGTGCGCGCGCTCTTCTCGCGCCTGTGAATTGATGGCACACGACAAGAGTCTCTTTGGGGCATTGTGCGATCGCCGGAGGGAGAAAGTTCCTGGTCGCACATTTTCCTCGCGATTTTGTGAACACACGCGGGAGAAATTTCCACTTCACTTGACCGACTGTTTCTGCCCAACAGTCTTTTGAGTGTTACACAAGAGCGCCACTAAAAAAAAAGAATCCTCAAAGCTTGAAATTCTCTCTCCACTCAACACAGTGATAATTCATGGCGATTATGCTGGCGATATTGTGGTTTGGCAATTAATAAAAATTGCGGCACAAGTCGTGGCACGTACAAGACAGAGAGAGTGTCGCGAAGACGAGCTGATAACTTCACGTGTGTGACTCGAAATACAAACCCAAAGCTGGGTGTCTTTGCAAGAGAAGAAAAGTGGAACGCCTCAACATCACTCAACAATTGCATTGTCGCAAGCAATTTGTGGCTCTACTTGGAAGTTGAGGCACAATTGGAGTCTTGATAAATTCTCAGTAACTAATTAAATAATAATATTTCGTGTTTTTTTTTCACCAACATATGTTTATTTTGAATGTTAGCATTGAAAACGTTTTGCTTCCCCTTAAAGGTTACGTTGCATGCAACGGTTTTCTGATTGCAATTAGATTTAATTCAAAATTCATGTTTTCTCACAAAAAACTGCTTATCAAGGCTGTGGATTTATTAAAAAAAAATTGGTTTTGCAGGTTTTGCATATCAATTTAGATTAGATTTATTAAAAATTTCGATTGGCAAAGATTAGAAAGAGTCTTGAAAAATTGATCAAGGCTAAGAAAATCTGCTCTTTCAGCTCAATTTCAATATCTGGCAATGTTCTGAGAAGAAAGTCAGAGTGAAAAGCATTAATTTCATCGCCACTCTTTTGCATTAACACGCTTTTCGTGCGTTTGCTCGTTGAAATTTTCACTCAAAACCTCACGAAATGTGGCAAAAAGAAGGCGGACACTGAAACGGGAGAATTTTTAGAGGTTTTCCGTTTGAATTGGCATTTCTTGGGAAAGAACTGGCTTTTCTGTTGACTACTTTGTCGTCTTGACGTCGACAGACTCTCTCTTTTGCCTCGTTTCTTCGCTATAAACTTATCGTTCAAGTTCATCGTCGTGCGATCATCTCGTTTCCTCCGTCGATTGCAGAAAAAAAGAAGAAGACGATTTGTTTACAAAGATACTGTGAATGTCGTCGTGTTCATTCAATATCGAGATTGTGTTGTTGTGAATTTGCGAAAATAATGGGTGATTTATCCAATTTCTAAAGTGATCCACTTGGACGACGCTCTTAATCCACCATTTACTCTAATCTCTTCACTCTATTGACTGCTGCTCGGCACGCACAAGGGAATTATTTAATTAATTATTATTTAACAAAAGGTGCACAAGTTTTTTATTCCACACTTTATCAACCACATTGTAGCCACAGCCAAGCCTTCTCGCAAATGGCAAAAATGTGTGTGGTGATAGTGCAGAAAAAGGTGCAGAAGAAAATTCCTGCGGTTGCCTTAATAATAATGCCTTTCATTATAAAATCCACAGAATTTTCTCTCTATTTCTTCTACTATGTTTTTCCATCTTCTTTGGCTTCTCTCGCTCTCTATTGATCTCTTTCGTCTTTGGGGGGCGCAGAACAATGCCCGGATGGAGAATATGTAATTCAATTCGATGCTACAGAGAAGAAGAATGCAACAAAAGAAAGGGCAAAAGGTATCAAACCGGAATGATTGCACTTCCTTGGAGGGCTTTGAGTGTCTCACAAAATGCGCACAGAAAATGCACAAATAGGGGGACTTTTAGAGAGGCTTTGCAAGTGGAAAAATACCTTTTTTATGAACTCAATTGGGTGTGTGTGTATTTATCCAAAGCTGGGGAGAAGGTTGTTCTTGTACGGTCACAGCAGCGAGTTTTGTGCGCCTCTCTGGCTGACCAATTTAATCCATAATCACCGCAAAACCTCCACAGAAATTACTCAACGCACACACGGACTTTAAGCGCTACAAAAAAGTTCTGATTGCACCACTTGAGGAGGTGAGATTGTGTTCTTTCACTTCTGCCACTCTCGGCGGCCTCGATGGAACTGTCTCATCATAGACATCACGAGAGAGAGGCTGCCCTGACTGTGCCTCACAACTCGCCCCGCCACAAAAGGCGCCAAAATGACTTCTTTCGCGCTCACGTTGCTCAGTTCCACTTCCCTCATCCACACATCAGGTGGCGTGGTAATCGCTAAGCGGACAAACTCCGTGTTTGTTTTGACTTTTCTGGCATTTCACGCATTTCTTGATTTCGCAAAATTGTGGCTCAGTAAAATCCAATGGCAGATCGTCTAACGCAACTTCAGGACACCATCAACCTGGTAACTTACACAGCATTTGTAGGATCTACGAGAATTGCGTAAAACTCCTGTATTTCCAGCAAGCGGATCATTTCTGCAACAGCATCGGAATCCTCCAGCAATATGCGCCTCCCAGTCGCTTCTCGGGCTCCCAGACGCCGCAGCAGAACCAGCAGGAGGACTACGCCCAGCTCTTCTCCACCCTGATCAGCCGCTGCGCCAAGGACATCGACACCCTGATAGAATCCCTGCCGAACGAGGACTGCGGTCAGGAGCTGCAAGTGCAGAGCCTGAAGCGGCTGGAAGTGGAGAACCAGGAGACAGCCGAGCGCCTGGAAGAGGTGGTGAAGCGAGGAGAAGCCCTGCTGGAGAAGATCCAATCGGCCCTCAGCGATATCGCGCAAGCTCAACTCGACATGCAGCACTGATAAATCTCAAAGGGATTTTTATTATTATTTTCTTAAAATCTGTTTCTCTGAAGAAATTAACTTATATATATATATATATATTCTACAATGAATCTTAACTAGGAAGATAAAATTTTTACACAAAGCCACGGATCATAACCGAATTCATCATCAAATAATAGCAAAAATTATTCACGTAAATGTTGACCTTAGAAATTAGTAAATTTACACGAAAAGAAAGAATTCTACTCCGAACAGCTGTTTAATTGAGAGTTCCTCGGCATCCTTGAGCGCCACAGAGACAGGGAATCTTCTCATCCTCCAGCGGAAACTTGTAGTCATACGTAATCTCCTCATTGATCCCAATCGGCTGCTTCGAGTAGATGACAATCTTCTTCTCCGACTCTATCGTGATGACTTTGGCATAGCAATTGGGCTGCAAAAGAAGGGCAGAAATCAATGCAAAAAAATCCCAGAAACTCCTGAACAAGAAGAAGATACTCACATTGCAACTGTGATTGATGAATCTCGCCAAATTGCCACACTTTGTTGCATCAATGATCGTCTCCATGTCGATCCGGAAGAGATAACTGCTGCCAATGCCGATCGCCTCGTACTTGTTCTCCCGCAGATCCGCCACCACGGGCCTCACCATCTGTCCCACATACTCGATCACCATCTCGTCGGCCGCTATCGGCTCCAGCGCGAACAATCCCCAGTCATGGATCTGCGACTTGGCGAAGCGCAGGTGTTTCTTCCTGAACTTCAGCTGATTGAACTTCAGCAACTCCGACTCTGTGCTGGCGCCGAAAGCCGTCAGCAGCCGTCGCTGGTTGGATCGCGCCTCCCTCGAGATTCCCTGCATCTTCGCCACCAGCACCTTGCTGGCCGTGTCACCGGCCACGCCGCCCACCGTCGTGCCCTCCGCCTTGATATGCGTCATCTTGTGCTTCTGCTTCTCACGCACATCCACCTTATAGTAGCCCTCCGTGCGCGCCGATCCCGTCACGTGCGGCTTCAGGTCGTCCACGTCGCGCTTCCGCTTCTTCGGCGACTGTGGCGTCCACGTCCTGTCCGTGACACAGTGCTCCACCCAATGCGTGGCATTCAGCCAGTAACTGTTGGCGTCATCCTGCAGCAGAGCCTCATAGCTGCGCCGCAGGTATTCGCTGTCCTCGGCATCGATGCCCTTCATCAGGAACTCATACAGCAGCAGCAGCTCTCCGTGCGTGTCCCTCTTGGCGTACTTCATCTGCGGCACGAACGGTGTGATCTTCACCTGCTTCTTCGCCGCCACCGGCTCCTTCTTCGTCGCCTTCTGCACAGGCTCCTTCTTGGCCTTCGTCGTCGGCGGCGGTACTTTCGTCACCACCGCGGGCTGTGCAGCGGCAGCTGGCATCCCAGCACTCGTTGTGTAGCCATGATCGTGCGCCAGCATCTCCGACGTGCTCTTCAGGGCATTCGCTGTCATTTGCTGTTGCGTGGGCGGCGAGGAGGATGATGGCGAGGCCGACGGTGGCAGTGAATAGCAATGATCCAGCGCCACTTGACTCGCCTGACTCGCTTGACTGGATCCACCATCCGAAGACGATGGCGAGGATTTTGTCTGCACACCAGACTTCGACAGTGGCTTGGCAGCTTCCTGATCCTTGACGAACTTCTCGAACGACTGAATATATCCATTCACATCCTTCGACACCTTCCTCTTCTTCGCCGACGACTCCTTCGTCTCCTCCGACGTCACCTTCTTCCGCTTCTTGCTGGCCACATCGGACATCTTGTCCTTCATGTACTTCGCTAGCGGATCAGAATTGTCAAACAACTTGGCGCCCGGCGTCGGTGGGGGTTTCGTGAGAATCGGCGTCTCCGGATCCATTGGACTGAACGGCACTGGAACACTTTCCTTCATCGGCTCCTCCATCTTCTTCTTCTTCTCCTGCTCCGCCAGCTCCTCTTCGCGCTTCCTCTTCTGCTCCTCCTCGAACTCCCTCTCAATCTGCTCCATATACTCCGTGTTGCGACGCCTCTTCTCCTGATACTCTCTCTCCTCCTCCGAATCACTGTACAATCTGTCCAGACTCAGTGTCGAAATCTTCGGCTTCTCCACAGCCATCAACTTCGCCACCTCATCCCTTCCCGGCGTTCGAGGGACTTTGGAGTCCTCCTCCTCATCATCCTTGTGCTTCTGTCCCGTCTGTACAATTGCCTTCTTCGCCATCGGAGTCTTTCGCGCCTTTCGCCGCTTCACACTCTCAGACTCCGTCTCCTCTTCCGTCTCCGTGTCCGAATACACACCCTTCATCTTGCCACTCCCAATGCGCCCAGCCACAGACTCCACCACCTTCGTCGGCGAAATCTCCTCGTCATCCGTGTCAAAGTCCGAGTAGATTCGCTTCTCGTTGTCCCTCTTCTGCGGCACTCGCCTCTCATTCACCTCCGATGCCGACGAGTAGACAGAACTCGTGTCAGATTCACTGCCACTGCTCCTGTCCTCGCTGGACGTGGTGAAGAAGCTGGATGTGCTGCCCTTGCGCTTCCTCACGCGCTCACGCTGCTGCACCGCCGGATGACTGTATGAGATCTTTGACTTGTGCTGCACATCCTCCTTCTCCGTGTCCGAACCCTGCACCATGTCCTCCTGATCACTCCAGCAGTGCTTCCTGCTATCCTCATCGTCATGACGCACCGGCGACGCCTTCTTCCGCCGAAAGCTGGGCATCTTGGGAATGGTGGCGCGCAAGCCCAAGCCAAAGTTTGCCGTGTAATTGCTCAAATCGAGGTTCTCATTGTTATTGTTCAGCAATTGATTGATGTCCGGCGCCTTCTTCTCCGGCCTGATCTGATTGGCCTCACCCAGTGGCATCACAGTGGTGCTGCTGACTTCCTGAATCTTCGTCGTCTTGTTGCGCTCCTGCTCATCCCACCACGATTCGAAGCGCTTGTAGGCCGTATTCTCAATCATCTTCTTGTTGAAGTCCTTCTTCAGGATCTGCTTCAGCTCCGCCGTCACCTGATCCACCACCGCCGATATCATGCTGGCGTGCGGATCAGCTGAATCCTTGGGCGGCTCCACCTGCACCTCCTGACGCATGTGATAGTAGCCCGACGCTGAGTTCATCATGAAGCCCGAGATGTAGGGATTCATGTAGTGATACGACTCGTACTCCGATGAATATTGATAGTAAGGATTTGCACCGGCCGGATAGAGGTACGCGGATGTGGGATGAAACTCCTGCTTCACCGGCACAGACACCGCCACGTCCAGCGGCAATGGCAGATCCTCCTCAATCTTCGCCTCTGTCGATGACAGCGACGACAGGGACATCTGATCGTCATCCTTCTCCACTTTGTTCGGCGGCAACGGACTGTACGTTCCCTTCTCCAGCAGCACCTCATCGTCACTGGACGATATGTCACTGGCGCCCTCATCCAGTGACAACTTCTTCGCCGCTCTCTCCAGCTTCCGCAGCGCCTTCCTGGAGAATATTCTCGCCTCCTTGAATGCCTCCAGCGAGAGGAAAGGACTCGGCGGCGTTCCCGGCGGACTCTCTTCGTCACACATCTCCTCCACCTTCACCTCCGTCGCCGCAGTGACATCCACAGCCACAGGATCAGAGATCTCGCCCTCCTCCTTCACCTTGCCACTCTCACCCTCACTCTCGCTGCTGTCGGCGAACTGCAGGAACGCCGGCACGGCCTTGTCTTTGAACATCATGGCAATTCGAGTGTCGAGATCCAGAGTCGAATTCTCCTTGTCATCCGCCGCGGCTGCACTCTGTCGCTTCTCCTCCTTCTTGCTCTTCCTCTTTGGCTTCTCCTCCGGCGGCGGCGGTGCCGGCGTTGCCTCGGCGTCCCAGTCTTCCTCCTCCGGTGGCGGCGGAGCCGCACTGGGAGCCGGCGTCCACGCGGCGCCCATGTGCCACACAGAAGCCGTGCCAACGGTCGCGTACTGTCCGTACGCGTGGGATTGCGCCGCCGAGGCGTACGCCGTCGCCACATAGGGATACATCGGGTCGTAGTAGGAATGGCCGCCGTACATCATGTCCGCCGCCGGCATGGCCGCGCCATAGCCATCAATAGACGCCGAATATTCCCTGTCCGATCGACTGTACGCATAATTCTCGATGCTGGAACTCCTCTGGCGCTCACGATGCCGCCGATTCTTCCCCTTGCGCTCCGCCCTGTCGCGCTCGCGCATGTGTTCGCGCTCCATCAAGTGCTCATACTCCCGCTCGCGCTCGTACTCTCGCTCCCGGTCGCGCTTCTTCCGCGAGAAGCGCATAAATGACTTTTCGCCGTCCGTCACCACTTCTCGCGAAGAGCTGGAGGCTGAGGAGTGATGATATCTATGGTGTTTTCGCTCCTTCTCCCATCGACGACTCTCCTTTTTATCGCTATACTTATCCTTATCGCGCCTGCACGGACAAAAAGACACAAATCTTCACATTAGCAAGACATTCTAAGGATTTATCACTGAAATTCACTCACCTATCACTCTCATAATCCCGACTGTGTGACGAATAGTGATCATGCTCTCGCATCTTCTCCTTCTGATGGCCATCCAAGCTCTCGGCATCCCAATCCCCGTGCACATCGTCCGATCTCGTGTTCTCATCCACGGATGGCACAGTTGACGGCGCCGAAGGAATCGAAGCGTTCTTCTTCTCACTGGTGGCATTCTCCAGCAGCCTTTTGCACTCATCGCCGAACGCATCGTGAAACACACACAGCACCTTTCCCATCACAGACGTCCCATTGAGACGCTCAATGCACGTCCGGGCGGATTTCACATTCTCAAAGACAATTCTGGCCAGGCCAAGATGTTTGTTCGTCTGCGGATGATAGTAAATGTGCATCTCATCGGCCGGGCCGCACTTGTGGATCATGTCGGCCAGGAAGGTTCTGTCTATATTGTCATTGAGATTTGTTATTGTGATCTCCACCGCCGGCGGCTCTCCCACGTAGTTCTGATCGATCCGAAATCTGTAACCATGACAGAGATTTCATTGTTACGCATGCACGCAAACACACACACACACAAGGCGTCCTACCGCGGCACAGGCAGATCCAGTTCCACTCGCGCCCGGAGCTTGGCCAGAGGATTGCGCGGATCGCGCGGAATAATGGGAGGCTGCGTCGTGTCTCCGGGCACCACGCCGTCGTAGCGATAGACCTTCGTGGCGCCCTTCTGCAGGAACGGATCCACCAGCAGTTTGTAATTGCGTGGGGCCTTGTGGCCCGGCGGCGCAGGGCACTTCTCAATCGCTCCATTCATTTTCCCAGCGAGCCCTGGAAATGGTAAACATAACCTATCAAATTGTTTGACATTGAACTGAGGAAAATCCCGTAAAACCAGGAATTTTCTCACTCTGCACACTCTGGTGGCGATATTACCTCACTTGGGGGTGACTTTCCTTCCGGATGAGGCTGGAAATTGGTGAAATTCACGGAAAATTGTCAAACTTCTTCGCCATCCACCTAAACGCTTCCCTGCTCAAATATCCAGCCTCTCCGGGCCAACTTCCATCTCCACACCAAGCTACACCACCCAGAACAGCGTCCGCCGATGGAATTGCAGCGAAAATCACGGGAATCTAGATGTTTTCGTCAATTATTGCAAAAGACAATAATCACACAACTCGTCTCTCAGCTCACTCGATTGCGAATGACGGCAATCGAGGCAAACAAGAGTGAGCGAGACGGAAAGGCAATATGGACGGCATGGTGGCATCCGATCTCCTCCCACACGAGTGGAAAAGTCCCTCTGCCAAGCAAAAGTCCGGTGCATTAACACCTTCTGCGACTCTCCAGAAGCCCTCCTCATAATTGCCAGGCAAACAATATGCGATAGAAGGTGGAAAATGAGGTAAAAGTCTGCAGCTTTTGTCTTCATTTTTTTACGTGCGACGAAATCAAACTCACAGCATGGCCACTGACAGCATGTGGGCTAGGTGCCGTGTCAGCGCGCCACCTAGAGTCACAATGCGCATTTCGCGCGGGAAGCGTGGATTTCTGAGGTTGTTTTGCTTGGCTGTGTTTACATTTTTGATGGGCGATGGAAGACTCTGAGCCTCTGGACCAAATTGGGTATGAGAGTGGTGAGGATGAGCAGCCAATAACTGCGCAGAAAGTGCTGGAGATTCTGGAGAAGGCTTGGCTGAACGAGCGACTCTCGCCGATAATTCTGCCACACCAGACGGAAATGCTGGATCTCATGCTGAGTCAGCTGGCGTACATGGAAGAGAGAATAAAGCAATTGGACAAGAATGACTTCCGCTCTGTGGCACATCGGATGGAGCTGGAGAGGATTCGGTACATCATTGCGAGCTACTTGCGCTGCAGACTCAGCAAGATTGAGACATTCACGCAGGCCATCATAAAGGACGAGGAATCTCGGAGTCAAGCGGAGAAGAGACTGTCCGAGGAGGAAACAGTCTTTGCCAGGGAATACCTGAGCAACATGGAGACACACTTCCAGCAGCTTGTCCTTCGGCACATGCCGCGCAGCTTCCCGGACGATCCGCGGAGGAGAATTGTGCAGCCCAACTTGAACAGTCACGTCTTCATCCGGGCGGCGGAGAATGTGGATTCTGTGGTGCTGCGAGACGACGAGGAGGAAGTGGATCTGGAGCAGGGATCTCAGCACATTGTGCCGTTCAACTTGGTGGCTGATCTCGTGGTGAAGGGGAAAGTGGACTTGATATGAATCCTTACCATTTATTGTGCCTTACATGTATAGATTAGACTCTGATGTCTTGATATTGATGCTGCTGTTCTCATTGCATTGCAGTCCCAATTTCTCAAGAATCCTCACGAGAGGCGCAATTGTCTGGGAATCCAATCTCAGTGCCTCGATGTAGAGAACATAGCAAGGCGCTGGCAGATCATGGAATTTCCTCCATGACGCCACACCTGCGGCCACTCCAGTGATCAAATTGGGCTCCTTGAGAGACTGAATCTCAGGGAACACCGAATTGATGCCCCGCACAAAGGCTGCGCTGTCGGGATCGTCTTCCTTGGAGCCTCTCTCGCCTCTATGCATGGAAATCGGCTGAATAGAGATACACGTGACTTGAGGAGTCTTCTCAATGAAGGGCTTCAGCAGTTCGGTTATTGATCCGTAGTAGTTGAGGTTTTTCTCCTCAGACAAGCAAATCAGGCATCCCAGATGCTGCAAATGATACAGCGACACACTTCCGGACTTCAATCTCGCTATGGGATTCGCATCCTTGAGAAGCAACAGCTTCATCAGTTCCTCCACTTTGTATCCCTCAATGACAATACAAGATGTCACATCTTCCGGACAAATAACATCCTTTTCCTCAGCATTCCATTCCGGCCTACAAGAAATGCGCTGTTAGAAACGCTCTCAGGAGTATATTTCACCACTTACAGCTTGAATTCCTCATTATCCGCCAGATCATCGTAGTCATCCCAGAATGCTCGTGACACAGGCTCTAGAATTTCACCAAAATCCACTTCCATTTTGCCGGTTTTCCCAAAGAAAATGCGATTTCTCCGCAATTGTATGAAACTGCAAATTCACAACACAATCATAACCTCACTTTAGTGTGGCGAATTGAGCAAACTGAGCAAGTTTGTTGTGAAAACCAAAATAAAGTGGAAAATGGCATTTTTCATCAGGAACTCCCAAAAGGATCGCCTCCACTTCCTCTCCAGGCAGTCTTCGGATGTTCTGGTGGAGTTTTGCAAATTGGGACTTGAGTATCTGAGTAGTGGACCAAATGAGAAGAAATACGCCAATGCAGCTCGTGAGAAAAATTAATTATCAATTTTGAGGGATTCTTGAGGGAAATGAACTGTTTTTCCTACAGGAAAATTGTCTACGACGCCGGAGGATGGAGAAATACAGCCAGAGAGTCTTGTGGAGTGTCTGGTGTCATTTCTGATCAACTGTGTGGCGTTTAATGTATGTTTTAATTTCTTTGTGTTTGAGAATTTGCTCCTAATTGGTTGGTTTTTCAGGTGTCTGAAGGGGATTTTGAGGAGCTTGAGAGACTGAACTTCACTCCTGAACAGGTGGCAATTCTCTGGCAGTTTGTCACCAACAAGAAGCAGTATGTGAGGAGTCTTTTGCGCAGTCGACGCAGTCAAGAGTACAGATTCCGCGATCTGGAGTGGCGTCTGGAAGCCAGAGTGGCCAGCAGATCTGATCTGTCTCAGGCCACGCCACTGATCACGATGAAATTCCACCTGGATCACGAGACAATTGACGAGCACAAGGAGAATCTGCTGGAGAATCCAACAGAATCATCAAGTCGCAAGCAAGTTGTCATGAGCACAGATCCGTGCAATCTCACTCACATGATTTCCACTCTCGAATCTGCGCTTCAGCAGTCAAAGACACATCGGACGAGGAACTTCGTGAAGGTTTTCCAGCAGCAATCGTGAGTAGGTTTACACCTTAAACTCCTTCAACCTCTTCAATCCCTTCAACTAGGGATTAAGATTGTCCGCAACTGCATTGCAATCGTTGTATGCAATTCTTTGCCCACAGTTAAGCGCGTCAGGGAAAGTCTCTCGCCTGATGGACATCTGGCCATTGTCTGCCCTCGTGGAGTGTGATGAGAATCTCCCCCAAGCAACATCCACTAACGAACTTCATCCTGTCCGAGGGCGGAATCATTCCTGAAGTCAATTTCGATGGTTTTCCACTGATTGAATTATTACTTTGTTGTTCTGTGCAGATTTTATACATTCTGTTCCTTGTTGAATAAATCATTCTCCAGGTGAATAAAGAGATATCTACAGAAGAATTGATATAATTTGGTGGCAAAGAGAGAGATAAAGATCAGAATTACAGCTGATGATGATGATTTCAGCCAATAATAATAACACAAAATGGTTAAATTTAAAATTGCTACATTGTGTGTTTATTGTGAAACTTTTTTCTTTTATATAATTATTACCTTCCGCTCAATGGCTTTACATAGACTGCGACTTTTCTTGTGTGTTACTTTCTGGGAAAACAAACAATTTTCCAACTGGAAGAAAAACAGACGAATATTCGAAGACTGTGAGAAGCAGAGTTTTTCTTTTCCTAACACAATAATTTAGTGTACAAAAACATTAGTTGGTTTTTATCCATAAGTATTTACACAGTAAAAATAAAAATAATACTGAGCTGTAGAGCTGTTATATTTGAAGTTTCAACGGGAAAAGAGAATTCCCAGTGAAAAATGGCCAGAATTGTCCTTAATTTATATCCAGATAATTTTTGCATTTCACACAATTTTAAGGAGGAATAATAAAAAATCCTGCTTGTTAACAATGCAAGGCACTTTGATATCTGGTTCTTTTTCTTTACCTCTTCTTCTTCCTCTTCAAACTACACCGAAAAGAATATTTAATGAAAAAAAGTTGCCAAAATTCTTTTCAAACCACATTTGTGGACAAAAAATTTTTTACACTTAAAAAACCCATAAATTCTCAGCAAGTATTCCTAAAATTTAAATACATTACGCACTTTCTTGTTTTTATTTTCTTTTACATTGTAAAAAAGACGACAAAAACTTCTACCTATGAAAATAATTTTTCACTTTTTTGATTTCTTTTTGTGTTTCTTTTTTTTGTCACGAGCGGACGAAATTAGAATCTCAACATATGATTTTTTGTTTCTTTATATTCGCCCGCACAATATAAATTATATATTCTAATTTCCTCTCATTTTTTTCAATCGTAAATTTCCCATTTTTTCTCCACATGTTAAAAAATAAATATTCTCTCCATTATTATTGCAGGCAGTCCTTAAAAATTTCTACACATCCTTTCCTTCTTTCTCTGCACAAAAGAATATCCTTTTAAACTCTCTCTCTCTCTTATTTTTGTTGTATAAAGTTGTGCTTCAAAATTTCTTCATTGTCGCGCGATTAAAACGTTGTTTTTTTTGTTAACAATCTAGAAAAAGAGACATTTTTGCTTTTCTCTTCCCTTTTTGTCTCGTTAAATTTACTAAATATATATATATTCACTTAAGCACTACTCAAATGGCTTCACGAGACCCATAACTTTGCCATCAAAAAGCGGCAGGATCTCAGAGTCAGACACAATCTCCTCCTGAATGACTGGATTCTCAGGATCTTCACATGCAGTCTTGAAAAAGAACCTGAGAAAAAAGAGAGAGAATTTTCAATGCAAATCAAAGCGACAAAGAGAGCAGAAAAAACCCACCTAAAGTTGCCCTTCTTCGGCAAATACTCCTTGAATTGCTTGAGCGTGGGCTGCAGTCCGGGGATCTTCGTCCTGTAGGGAAACTCCTCGTCACAGAATGAGAACACAACTATCGTATAGTCGTGCGCCTTCAGATGATGATGAGACGGATGAGACGAGAGCGGCGGCGCCGTCGCGTGTTGTGAGTATCTTCGAGATCGACTGCAAGGAAATCTCCTCATTTAGCAAATCCCTTCAATATACAAAAGAGGGCAAGAGGGAAATACCTTTTGCTCTCATCCTGGAGTCTTCTGCTCGCCTCCTCCAGTTGACTCGTCGTCATCGTGGCCGAATCCATGCCTATCGATCGCGGGATGTTTCGAGAACTGCTGCAAAAACACACACACAAGCAAAACATTAGTTCACAAATTGCGCCACAAGCAATCTTCTTCACTCACCTTTGGTCCTTCTTCATGGTCAAATCCCCGGAGAAGAGACTGCTGATGCCACTGTCCGTGTACATCGATGGCCACTTATTGCCGAGAGAACGCCGACTAGAACTCGCTTCTGGCATTGATCGTGAGTGTCTCATTGACATGTGATCCGCACTGCTCATCATCGGCGTCACACCGAAGCCCGGATTGATTTCCAATCCGCGCCGACGTAGCGCCATCGGATCCGGAGACTTTGTGCCAGGCGAGCGATTGGGTGTGTCAGACCAAACTCTCTGCACGTGCTGATCGAGGATCGCCTGATCGCTGTCGTCCTCCACCGGCAACTTCTCCCGGATTGCGTCCCGCAGTTCAGCCTGAAAGGACAGCGCTCGCTCGTTCGAGGCGTCACTCTAGATGGGAAGAAGAAAGAAGTCTCTTGGTCAGGAAAAGCAACTCATTCATTCTCAAATGTGTGTCAAATGTGATTTCGTGATTTTTATTCAAACTTTGATTTTTTTCTCCACAAATTCCCGCTAGAGGGCAGCAGTTTTAGGGCATATAGAAGTTACGATTGTATTTCATAAACCAATCTAAAACACAATTTGAACAATTGTTTATTAAATGTTGAATAACTTTTAAGAGTATTAAATAAAGAGCCAAATTTGCCATTGGGAAATACAACAAAAACTTCAACATGTCTTTTAAACTTAATCAGCTGATTAGCTAATGATTAAACCCAATTTTTGATATACGAAAAGCTTCATTTTGTGCCCAAAAATCCTTCTCTTCCGGCCAGGATCACGCTAGGAAGTCATAAAGTGTGAAAATGCGTGGAAAGAGAGAAAATTAAGCAAATTGGCGATATTATTAGCGTCCCTCACGCCAACTTTACCGCTCCCTGGCGGCGATATGCCGAGAAAATAATCTTAATATTAGTGCAAATTCTGAGTCAATTTTTGATCATTTTACAACTCCAAGACTAGAAAATGCAGTAAAGATTCAATTCTAGAGATTGTCAAAATCACTGACCTCTTGCATCTTCTTCACGAAGAGCTCCTCAGAGTCTTGCTTCTTCTTGATGGCCTCCAATTTGGGGATGAGCGCCAATATCAGTTCCTCCGGCTTCATGGCGATGTGCTTTTTGCTCATGGCATGTTGAGCTGTCCTTGGAATTATCTGCACAAATCCGTTCAAAATCAGTATTCTTATCATTTATCTGGCAATTTCTTCACTCACCGCTAATGAGTCCACCTCCTTATTCGTTAGAGCCTTTTGCCTAATCGCCCGATTCTCCATTGACGTCTGTCGCCGTTGGGAATAGGACCTGCCATCCCTGGAAAGACAGAAAGAACACACACACACTTGCTTATTCCGCCAGCTTGATCAATCACAGCACCAACAATTGGGCCGATTGACTTTCCACAAAACACGCCAAAGAAACCAGCTTGAAAAAATCAGTCAAAAGTCACTTACTTTGCCGTCGACATCGATGCTGTGTCTGAGTCCGTTTGACCAGAGCTGAAGCTCTGGATTTCTGAGTCTTGCAGCGACACAGGGTAGAATGCATCGCAATTGTTGGTGTACGAGCGATATCCAAATGCTCTGCATGCATTAATTGGCGCGTTCAAGTGCCCAGAGAAAGTCACGGGAGTTTGGCAAAAGAAAGGAATTCAAAAAGGATGGGAAAAGTGTGTTTTTTTGTTGTTGTTGTTGTTGTGCCGAGGATTTGAGCGCATGCGATATTTAATTACAAAAATATAATAAAATATAAGCCACACACGCAATAAATTAACGATTGGGAATTGAAAAATGAGGGAATTTGCCAAAAAAAGAGGAAAGAAAAACAATAAAAAAATTAATAATCCAATAAATAAATTTTGAATAACAAAATAATAATAATAAATAAACGTGACTCCAGGAAAATTAATGTAAATTTAGGGTGCAAAACAATTTCTCTCTCTCTTTCTCTTCAATGCTATTCTCAAAACTCTCTTTTTTATATGAATTTGGGATGTAAAAAGAAGCTAAAGACATTCAAGGGAGTCACAAGTTAAGGCTGTTAAGGAGAAACTCACCCAGACGGACGAATCTCGAGGCGACGCTTCTCTGTGGCCAACAGAGCGTCCCTGGTCAGTCTCATCGGCACATCAGCCGCCGTGCCGCCGCCCATTTGCGATCCGCCGGCCACTGACGCCTCACTCAGCGTCAATTCGCTGTCCTCGTGCAGTGTTGGCAGCGTGAAACTCCTCGTGAGTTGCTCAGATTCGCCAGAACTGCTGGAAGCTGAGGGCATTTGCGGAGCGCCAGCACTCATCATCGCCCTCACGTGCTCCAGATAGATTTCCGACTTGAGGAAGCGCAGATATGTCGACTCATTGATGGCACGCTCGACATCCTTCTGCATCTGATCATAGATATTGGCACTCAATTGCGTCTGACTGTGACGCGCCGCCTTCACCACACTCTCCACATTCTCTGGGATCTTCAGCGGGCTCTTTCGCAGAAATCTACACCACACAGCAATCGAATTAAGGCCATAAAATCCAACATTATCTATTGGCTAAGGAAATGCGTCAATATTACCGATAAATTGCAATTATCAGTCGTTTGATCTTGTCCGGATCCGTCTGCTTCTTCAGCCCCTCGCAGGCGAAGTAGAAGTTGAGACGATCCGCATGAATCCCACCTTCAGTCTCCACATAACGCTGGAACAGCTGAACGCCGTCGCTGTCCTCAAGGAGGCTCGAAAGTGTTCGCGCCCATTTCGAATACGGCGGTGACGATGATGATTCCTGTCCCGGAACGCCTTCAATCATCTGCCAAGAGGAAGCCAAGAGAGCTGTAATTCCGCGCTCTCCCAAAGGGGGTGAAAACTCACCTTGTGAGGTCGACTCTCGCCACCAAGAACCGGAGGTCTGGGTCCGCTGCATTCGTAGCCATCAAACTTCTCATTAGAGGGTAAACTCATACCCTTAATCGTTTATATGCTTAACTAATTTGTGAGTATAATTCATGCAAAATGTAACTCTCACGAAGCTCCAAAATATTATTCACACTTATCAATCCTTCATTTGCCAGAAAAGAAGAACTTCTTCAGCAATTATCTCTCACAATTTCTTCATAAAATCCTTCATAAACACACGATGGACGCTTCTTTTGTGTTGTGTTGTTTTTTGTTGGAAGCTATAAATTTGCACTAAGTATTTTCTCCTCAGAAGGCATTCGAACAAGGCCTGAAAAGAAAAATCAAGTTTTTTCCTTTATGCAAAAGAGAGTAATTTCAATGCGAGCGAGAGAGCAGAAAAGTGGGATGAGAAGACGCCGACAGCCATGAATGCGATTCGCCACTCCTATTGGCTGTGCGGAGCACCAATGGCACCAGAGGCGACTTCACTCATCTCCCAAACATCATATAAACCCAGAAGGGTGAGTGGAATTCAGGCATTGCACTGAGAAATATCACGGGAAAATTTGTCTTTCTTGCTTAATATTGCGACAGAAAATGGTTTTTAAAAATAGTGTTTTGGATGGTGAAATAAAGATAACCCGAAGAAAAGGAAAAGAAGAGTGATTTTCAGTGATTCTTGAACTAAACAGCAAAATAGTGATGAAATTAATCTCGGTTTTATGTGAATAAAACACTGAAGAACTGAATTTAACGCCAAGTTTCAATCAGTTGTGAAATTTATATTCCAATAAATCTCTAAAGCAAATAATTACATTGATTTTATTAATCCTTTTAACACACAAATGAAAGAATAGCTTTTGTCTTATTTTGCCAAAAGCGAAAATTCGGAGAAATTCAAGGTTGAAAATTTGCAGAAGCGATAAAACGACAATTTACTGAAACGTTTGATTAAATTGACACTAAAAAATATATGATTTATCAATTATGAATATTTCTACTTATTCATTTGTAGCATTTTGAGGAAAAAACCTTTGATTTCATCAATAAATCTCAGCAAATTGATGTGAAGATTTTAAGCAGGATTATTTTGATTGTTTTCTGCTTTTTACGAACACCAAAGAAATCTTTAATGATTATTTTTCGACCCCATTTTTTGATATTATTAGTAAACTGTAGGATTTAAAAATTCACATTATTTCGGGTATGAAATTAAATTCATCCTTGAATAGAAATTTGATCTGCCTCGAGTGGTTTCCTCTCTTCAAAATGCCCATCAGAAATTTACGCTCAAGAGCACAATTTCAATTATATTTACCTTCAACGGCGAAAGAGAATTATGAAAAATATGAAGGGATAATTTTGATGGCTCAACAATGAAGAGAATTTGGCATTTTCAGGTAGAGCACAAAAACACACACGATAATATTCCTTAAACTCTCAATAAACCAGTCTTAGAGAAAATTTTATGATGAATTTCTGATAGATTTCCTCTCTTAACACTTTTTTTTCACAGAGCCGATAAGAAATACGTTCGAACTATGCGTCGGTTGAATACCAAATGAGGGCAAACTTGAGGGTGGTTTGATTCTGGGTCCGCCTGTTCTGAGCATCATCGCCAGTCAATGAATGTTTCCACTGAGAATTTTGCCCAAAACATCTCGTCAAAGACAGGAAATTCAATAATAAGCAAATTTGCAACATTTCCAGGATAATTCTGAGTGAAAATACAATTAAAATATCTCTATTTTTCCACAATTACGTAATGAATTTGGAAGTTTAAACATATTGTCAGTCCTTTTGCGCATGTCTTTTCCCTCTCTGTCTCTTCCTTTCTCCCGTGAATAGGGAATATTTTGAGAAGAGATTTGCCATGATGATGTGGGGAAAAGAACCAAAATTAAAGAACTAGAGACATAAAGGCGCACAGCGTTGGAGAAAAGATTGATTCACTTGTGAATCATCAAGGAATGCAATAAAATAAAGACATTTATCACACAGTTATTTGATTTTAGACATTTTGTGCACTTTCTTTGCACTGTTTAATTCCTCTTTCAGGAGTTTAAAGCTTCAATGTAGTCAGAATCTAGTCAGTTTCCATTGTGATTGATCTCAACAGCTGTGAATTTTAGAGCGAAGGACGCGGAAAAGGAGTGAATTAAAAGGGTCTCCATTAGAGACGCCATAAGGGAAGCTTATTTACATTCAGCGGCAAGCGAAGTGGGTTGTGCATCATCAGAAAATGCTTCAAAATGGACGTACGCACAGTAAATTAACGAGGGGTTGCATTGAAGGCTCTCCTTAGCAGCGCCCTTGTATGAAAATGAAAATAATAATGCTGTTTTCCTGCCTTTCCCTCTCTTTTCCGCCGTGAATCCCTGAAATTTAGTTGAGATTTTGCCATTGCTGACGCAGAAATCGATAAAAATGTAATCAGAAACCGAGACGCTATTGAGAAATCATAAGAAAGAATGATTCTGTGCTCAACAATAGAAATTCGTCAGAGGATTTAGTCTAGTCTTCTTTCCTCCACTCATCCGAAGATAATTCAGTGAAAATCCCCGGGAGAAGAGAAACTCCTCTGCCTGTGTGTCAATCGACTTTTGGGCACAGCGAAAGAAAGTCAGCAATAAAATGTGTTGTAATCCCTTTTTCGCCAAAATTATCTACCCCAGGACAGTCCACAGGGTGGGAATTATGGTTGATGAGGATTAAAAAGTCAACTTCAATCACCATAAATATTTGTGTAGAACAATTACGAGAGATTGCCCAGGTAATAACCGGCAAATGCAAGACAATTTAACGCATATCGGCCGACTCTTTGACCCACAACTTTCTTTTACAACTCCATTTTTACAGCCTTATCGGCTGCCTTTGCTCTTGCCGACACAAGTTGCCCACAGTTTTGGGAATGTGAGCATTCTTGCCTCGGCACTTTGTCAGTGCAGAAATGCACATGTTTTGAGCACATTTGAGGAAAATACTGAATTTACAGTCATTTTATCTTTTCCACAAGCTCCGAAGGGATGAAACATGACTTCTAGAACATGAGACTAATTTGAGATGAATCTAAATTAACCCCTTATTGTCTGAATTAAGACTCTTCAGCAAGACAGAGTCAAGTGACGCTTTTGTAAGAATCTTCGAAGGGGGAATAAAAACAACACAAAGAGGGAAAGATAATTATTAAATGAAAATTTATGCTGAAAGTCAATTTGGGTGAATATTTATCAATGATTTATCATTAAAAACCAACTGATTTTTCTCTACAAAATAGCAAGAAATTCAGTGAAAATAAATATTGAGTGATTTGAACGATTTGAATATCAAAGAATTGTGGATTTTCATCCCCAAAAGGGGTTGGAATAGAGGCAAAGAGAATCAGCAATTTAATATCATGCATTCTCTGAAGACGTTCGTGCGGAAAATATGCCACAAATTCCCTCAGAAAGGGTGTGATTTTTCTCCGCCATTCAATGCGCTAGGAAAAATCACAATTGAAGGGAGGAAAATAGACACAAAAAAAGCAAACTCACCTGATAAATTCAATTAAAATGTGATGTCAAGGGGTCTTCACTGTGAATCGTATCCTTCTGGTTCGTCTTCTTATTCCTAATCTTCATCCTCTTCCGGGTAACTCAAACAGCCGGAATTCGAAGTACGGTTCCGATGGACATTTTAATGAGATTTGCAATGTGGAAGCAACAATTAACAGCGTCAAATTGCCAGAATGCTCGTGGTGGTGACGGAGATTTCATATCGAACGGGATCTCCTGGAAGAAGTCAACGAGAAAAGGCACATTAAGTCTTTGCTTCACAGCTTCCGGACTCGCTTTCCTTTCCCCATCATCGCGACACACGCGTTGTCGATGTGTGCGTCGCTCGGAAGGAAGCTGTCGGAATGTTCGCCTTTCCACGGCGAATCCCCACAAAACCCCCATTGGGTGTGCTGATATCTCTTCATCACTCCCCAAATATGGGAAATGGAGGTAAATTTGTGGACTTTTAGGGGTAAAAATGCCCGAAATGCTGGGAAAAATATCGCCTTGACACACCACACACATACAATCTGCTCGCAATCTTGGCGAGATTTTTCTCCTCGTTGTCCTCAATTGTCCACTCACCTTGCACTGGGGCGTTCTAACTAGCAACAAACATCGGCACTTCGAGAAACAATTTATGTAAAATTCTAACAGATACAATAAGAAAAATAATGAAATAAGAGAAAAGAAAATATTCCTAAAATTAGGTTATTTTTCTTTGACAAAACTGTTATACTGAAGCAACACCAGCGCCTCTGGCGACTGGGATGGCAGTTCGCCGCGCGGTATTTCTAACGCTTGAAAAATTAAAATGCCAAGAAACCGTTGAAACAGACATTGAGGAATTAATCGGCGAAGGTCAGAATGAATCATAAAAATTATGCTGTTTTTGGTGAAAGAGAAAATATCTTGCATAAAAATTGCATGAGTGATTTCTCTGTACATTCCAAAAGCCACAGACGACTATAAATAGTTAATAATTGTCTCGTGAGTGCGTTGCTAAACTTTAAACTTTGCTCCAATTCAGGGGTAAAGACATTGATCTAACAATACCACGCGTCTCGATGGAGATTGCGATGTGTTTCACCTGACAAAGAGGCGATGGAAGCCCACCACCTGACCTGAGGGAAGGAATTGCATGGGGGAAAGGAGTAAAAGTCTCGCGCACGCTCTTCGTGGGCTCATTTTGCGTGAGTTTGTTGTTGAGTGTTGATTTCCATGGTGTTTGTTCAGTGACTGGGAGAGCCTCTATCTGTCTAGTTGGAATATTTCACGCAGAACTGCCACAAGCTGAGGGTGTTTCCGGAGAAGATGGCCGCAATCATTGGAGGTGGAAGTGATGGCTTGGTGAGTGATCGCGGGAAGTGCGCGAAGATTCTTGAGCCTTCTTAACTTGAGGATTTGTCTCGGCAGCTCAAATCCATGGACGCCAATCGGTATGCCACGAAGAAGACCATCGCGCAGGGAATGCTGGACATTGCCCTGCTCACTGCGAACGCCAGCCAGCTGAAATACATCCTGCAAGTGGGCGAGAAGCACGAATTCTACACTCTCATGCTCACGCTGATCTCCATCTCCATCTGCCTGCAGGTAAGTTTCTATTTGCTCATTGTCCGCGCGACACGGATAAAGTGATTGATTTTCCCATCCCGTTGCATTTCGTTCTCTCTCACTCACGAGAGGCTTTGTGTGTTTTTGAAATATTCATGCAAATTGGGGCTAAAGCACTCCTCACACTTAACCGATAAACCATGCTGTGCATAAAACTATAACAATCCCGCCCACAGGTCGGAATGGGAGTCCTTAGCCTTTCGTTCAATTTGTTGCGTGATTGCAAGCTCCATATTCCGGATTACCAGAAATCGACGAACTATATTAACCATCTGGCAACTTGCATAGCTTTCATTGTCACCGTCGTGAATTTGCTCATTTCTGCATTCAGTCCCACCGGCTCTGGAAATTACTATTTCCGCTCTGCAGATGCTGCAGATCGAAAATGAATATGAAAACAGCGTGTTTTATGGACTCTTTTCCGCGAGAAATTGTACAGTGATTTTCCGTGTTTGTTTTAATGTTAATGTTGAGAAGAAATAGCTGCTGAGATGAGGAATTGTCACACAATGATTTCAAGAGTTATCATACATTTTATATTATTGACCAAGGGGGAGATAATATGCCCTAAACCTGTACACCGCTTCCTAACACTTCCAGCACTTGAATTCTTTAGATTTTTTGCACATTGATTCTCAAATTATTATGAATCTCTTCAGTTTCCATCCGATATTTCTGTAAGAATCCACTTAAAACAGCTTTTTTGGGTGTTTGTCCGACCATAATCTCAAAATATCACTGAGAGATCTTTAAAGACTCCGTTTGGAAGCTTTCTAGATCAGAAAATCAACTCTTTTGATTTGTCAATAGACTCAGAATTGCTGATTTAGAGACAAAATCGTCTAGAAAGTTTTCTAAATCAACATTTCCCAAGTTAAAATTCCCTTTTTAAGGTTACGTTCAATTATAGCACAATTTAGTGTTTCTTTGCATTAAAGGTTCAGAAAATCAATGTTTATTGTATGCAAATGCTTAATTCTGTCAATTACTAGCGAAGTGATATGCTAGAAAGCGAATTATTCCCTATATCTGTCCTTGATTCGTTACATAACCTAGAAAAGGGATTATTATAATTCTTTCTAACGTAAAAATCAAGAGAAACCCAAATAAAATCAGGAAAGAAACCCCTCAGGAAAGGAATATTGTAGATTTTTAAGCACTTCCTGATATTTTTTTTGAGTTGTACACCACTTCTGACCATATTATCTCCCCCTTGAAAGTGACATTCTCACTTCTTTTGCGAATAACCATTGACTTTACGTTTGACTCTCTTAAGCTGACGACTCAAGGATGATGTGTCTGTCTGTTCTTGCAGATGATCGTTGGCATTTTATTCATTGTAATAGGCAGCTTAAACATAAATCGCCACAAAGATCAAAATGCCGCAGTGATTCTAAACGACGTGATTCTGATACTAATCTTTGTCATATCAATTGATAATGTTATCATATCGGGCTTCGGCATTGAACACTCATCTCAACCGCTCAGATTGTTGCATGACGAAGAGACCAAGAGGTTGCTGTAGACAGACGAAAGAGATAAAAGAAGAAGTGTAAAATGGTAGATTTTATAGACCGTAGAAGAACGCGTGAATCATCCCGAAAAATTATTATATATTCTGTTCTCTCTCGCTTGTAAAGCCATTTAGATCTTAGATGATTTCCTTTTACACTGAAAGTCTCTCAACTGCTCTCTGATGCTAACAATTAATCTATCTTAGGTGTCGGCAGCGGTAATAGCTCTTGTATTATTAACATTTTTTCGTAATGGTGAATGTCATCAAAAATTCGCATCAGCTCTTAATCAAATATTGCTGGGCTGTGTTCTCGGTGCGATGTTTTGTGATGTTGTCAAGATGAACTTCGGCCTCGATCCCGCCATTCCCGCGCCGCCGCCTCCCGATCACATTCCCATCAACATTCCCGCCTGATTCACACCAATTCTGCACACTTCCTTCCGTTTCTCTCACAGATTGCACAATGTTTGGTTGCCATTTTCCTCGGTTCGATCAACATCAACAAAGAGACGCACCACAAGAGAGCCAATTTGGCCCAAAATATCGTTCTCGGACTCAATGCTATAACAGTTTGCGCCAATATTATGATCAATTCACTGGAGGTGAAAACAATGTCAGATCCAAAGTTAATAACCGAGCAAATTGATCAAAACTGAGTGATATTTCCCGCACAGATACTCGAAAAAAAACAAACCTCTTGTTGAAATAAATGAAGGAAATCTATTTGCAATTGTGTAATTAAATGTGAAATAAAGTTTTATAAGAGATTTTAGCAAAATTGCAGACTTCATTTTTGGCATCACAGGCGCTCGAGCGATTTAATTTATTAATTCCTGTTTGAACTTCGCGTTGTTCTCTTCACCTGTCCACTGCTGATCTCTTCCTTCTTCTCCACCTTCGGCTGTCGTTCTTTCTTCACTGGCAATTTGGACTTTCTCTCCTTCCCCTTCACCACTTTCTTGCCGCTATCATTTGGCGAACACATCTCGAGACGCTCCTCAAACATCGTCTTCCCCTTCGTCGTTGCCTGATTGCTGTTCATTAAGTGCTTCACCGAGAGAATTTGCAGCTCAAAACCTTGATAAAGGGCTGTTCGATGACTCCTCATGGATTCACTGATTTGCTGGAGCTTCAGGAACTCTTTCAGTGCACTCTGAGGCGTCTTCAGTTGCGCCAAGGCGCTGGCAAAGAAGGCTCTTGTCTTCAGTTCATATGGCTGAACGGGCTGAAGTGTTCCATTCGCCTTCGCGACGCTTTGATGAATGTCTCGCACTCTGTCGTATTGCCGCTCAATGAAGAGCATCCACATGAAGAAGAGATTCATCTGACACGAAACATCCTCTGTCTTGTACTGCAAGCACAGAAGACACTCACAATCCTTCTTGTGATGGGAGAAAAACGCACAGGCGGATTGAATATCATGCCACGGAGTTTCCATCTGAAAAAGCAGACAATAAAGGTGAGATTAAATTATAGACAAGAAGAGACATTAAACTTACCACACTATTTAACGTTGCATTTTCCTGTTTTTGCCACGATTCCAACCATTCACAATTGCCAAGTTTGTCTAGTTGAAGGATTGCCATGTAATAGAACAACTTTGATTTGCATTGCTGCACTTTTTCCTCCGCCAGATCAATCTTGGCCGACAGCAGCAGAATGTCCGCCACTTGGAGCATCATTCCACTGCCCAGGAACCACTTCAGCATCATCAGCACGTACGAATTGATGCCATTACAGTCGAATCTCAACACGCTGTAGTCCACAAGCTCACGCACGACTTCCAGCGGCAGCATGAATGTGATCTCTCTGGACACTCTGCTCACGCCCGATCGCAACTCCCTGATGATGTCTTCCATGAAGCTCACGTGCGACACATCACACTGCCGGCCGTACTTGATCGTCATCAGATATGTGACGGCCAGGAAGAAGACATGCAAGTGTTTCGTGCTGTTGGCGCTGCGAATCGTCGAATGCGCCTTTTGCAAGTACTCGCACGCCACGACAATTCTCCCCTTGGCGGCGCAATACAATGCATAATACACGAAGCAAGTGATAATTGAGCCTTGGTATTTCTTCTCCTGCTCGTGTATGTTTTCCATGTCACTTTGGATTAATGTTGAATGCTTTTCCATCATCAGATTTATGTTGTTGTTGTCACTGGACATTTCCACTTCGAAGATTTGCCAATAGAATAGAATATTAGAGAGTGCAATGATGAGGAATTCTTTGTTGTCAATTGCTGAGGAAATATTGTACATTATGTGATAAATCTTGACGGCATTTCTCACCAAACCGTGCATCTTTGCCTGAAAAGCCAAAGTCTTCAGGATCTTGAGAATGCTGGTAACTTGACGATGCTTCTCAGGTGATTGCTTAGCAAATGTCTCGAAACACAGAACTGAATTACTTATGCGATGAATGACATTTTTCTCCTCCTTCCCATTGATTTTCTCCAATATATTCCACTCTTGGCGTATCAATTGCTCCTCCGTGACTGTTTCACGCTCAAACAGGGACTTTTTCTCTGTGAAAGCGACTAAAAAGTTCGCATAGTGGAGAAAAGCTTCATGCAGACACTTATCCGGATAATCTTTCTCCTTGGCAATTGAAGTGGAGAGATTGCTGAACATCTCCTTAAAATCCTCCAACAGATGCTCAGGCAGGAAGATGAGAGCTTCAGTGAGTGTTCTGGGATTCTTTGTGATCTTCAGGAGTTTCCGCATTGCACACAAGTAGAGAGATTTCGATCCAAGCGTCTCGTAAGACGCTATTTGTGCCAGCAACAATTCACACGCATCGAAATCCACCTTGTCGCCGTACCACTTGAAGCTCTCATCCTCAATCACGTCCACCAGATTCGTCGGTGCCATTTCACGGAATTCATACAGGTTGTAGTGAATGTACTTCTTGATGTGCTTCGACATGTCCTCGAAGCTCAACTTCTCATGCTGCGTGGTGTGCAGGAATTTGAGCACAACCGCGTTGAGCGCCTGTCGCATGTCCGGATGTTCAACGGTGTAGAACTGGAAGAGGAAGTTGAGGATATTCTGCTGATACCAGCGATCAATGTTGAACACTTTAAGATTCTCCATGAGCAGCTGCATCACTCTCACAACATATTGCTGCACATTCTTCTGCTTCACCACGAGAAATGTGTTGTAAATTGAGCGCAGAGAATTCAGAGCAATTGCATCTCTTTCTGGACACTTTAGGCGTCCGATGATGTAGAAATTGTGCTTTATGAAACCAATGATGGCCTCAAATACGATTGTTGGAATATCATCAGCTTGATTGTTGGCGTGCGCGAAGAGATTAAATGCGACTGAAATCAGTGTGACAATGCAGTGTTTCTTGGTGTTCGTATTGCAGGATTTGCAGAAGATTTTCCCATTTTCCGTGCTCATAGAAATCATGGTGTTTATTGAGCGTATCAGTTCCACTGAGGCGGAAATCGATAGCATCTTCGTGAGTCTCTCGCTGTGCTTCTCAAGAATCAACGCCGTGGCGGCAAAAGTCTCAACGACCACAGATTCCTTCGTGCTGCCGCTCAACAACTCGACAATGTCCCGATATTTCCTACACACATTCTCCACATCCTGATCCTGTCTCTTGACCAGGACACTGCTCAACGCTTGCAGAGTCTCAATGCAACTGTCTTCTAAATTGACCTTTGACTTGCTCTTGGGCCAAATGTGAAGTAATTTGCTGCTCAATTTGAGCTCAGAATTCTCATTCTTCAACTCAAATGACATGAAAATCTCCCACAAGTCCGTTATCACGAAGAACAACTCCTTATCGCGCTGGTTTTCTGCAAACAACTCCATCATTTCCAACACATTGGCCAGGAAAGCAGATCCAGCGCTTTCATCGATGCTCATCAAGTTCTGACTGAAGAGATATTTTCTGTCGAAGACAAGCTTGAGACTCTCCACGAACTGAGCAAAGTCCTTCCGGGACACGACGTGCCGGAGAAGCTCAGAGAAGTTCTCCAGAATCGCCCGTGAATGGGAGGAATCCGAGAGGCTTTGCTTCCGATTGAGCCAATTGCAAACCACCGCCATGTATTTGGTCAAATCCAGCAGCATCTTGAAGTGTTCCTGGGAAATCTCTGATTCCTTGATACACATGGCAGGCGTTATTGTCATCAAACTCGGCCAGAGGTCCTAAAAAATTAAAAACAAGGATTAATTTTTCAGCGCTTCAAAACAAAGTTTGCAGAATTTGCCTTGAATTTGTACAAAGCCATAACATAATTCCACAAATGCTTTATTGCCGTCCACTTTTTCTCCTTCAAAGTCTCCACAGCCCATGACGCCAGATCCGTGAACACTTCAACGTGCTTCTGATGCTTAAGAATATGCGTGGTGAGGAAAATCAGGATGTTTTTCACACAACTTTCCACATTCTTGTTGCTCTTCGTGAACACTTTGATTTCATCACATTTGGCATTACAGGCAGTTCTAATGTCCCCTTTCTCAACACTCGCACACCACTCTGCTAGTAATGCAGTAAAGTTGACTCTCGAACCCATTTCACTATCCTCATGCGTGCACTTGCAGGGAAATCCGAGGAAATTCACACCAAACAACTTTTCACAGATGCGGCGTTTCTTCTCGAATTCACGTTTGATTTTGACGTCTGTGTCTTTCGGACACCAGTCGCCATCAGCGCTGTTGTCGCTTTCATATAACCCGGTTGGAGAAGTCACAATTCTGCACGTTTTGCACAAATAGTCCAAAAAAGAATCCCAAAAGCATAATTTTCACCTATTTCCATTCTTAAGGGATCGAGAATTTTTTTTTTTAGTCAAATCTCCATTAATAACAAGTCGTGAAGGTTATTCACTGAATTCTTTTGCTCACTTTCGCCTCAGGACGAGTAGCAATTCGTCAGCGTTCGCGTGCGTTGAGTGCTGTCAGCCGGGCGCGATTCTGTTTTCCGTGCGCCTCAGAGGCAGAGTGTCAATCTCCGCGAGTTTTATTCAGCATTTCTTACATTTTCCGCATTTTTTCGTTTAGTGTTTAATTAATTTGTAGATTAACCCACCATGGAGCCCTACGATGTGATTGTCAACCAGCCGGTGGTGATCGACAACGTGAGTACGCGGCCGAAGTGTGCAATGTTGGCTGTTTTCACATGACATCACCCACCAAAGTGGGAGTCACACCTTCTCGCCGCTTTTTCCCCCATATTTCCCCCAATTTCCACCCTCAATCGCCCCCGAGAGTCTCACAGGAGATGATGTTCTTTGCAGGGATCGGGAATGATAAAGGCCGGCTTCGCGGGGGAGCAAATTCCCAAGTGCATTTTCCCCAACTAGTGAGTTTCTTCCGGACAGCGCGATGATGACGAGTTTCATTGCTTTTTTCTTGCCTCTCTTCCGCAGCATCGGCCGGCCGAAGCACGTGAGAGTGATGGCTGGGGCGCTGGAGGGTGATCTGTTCGTGGGGCCCAAGGCGGAGGAGCACAGAGGCTTGCTCAGCATACGTTATCCGATGGAGCACGGCATTGTGACTGATTGGAATGACATGGAGAGGATTTGGACGTACATTTACAGCAAAGTAAGGCCACAAAGTCCCTCTAATCACACTTAATTGATATGCCTCGTGTGTCTCAGGATCAATTGGCCACATTCTCAGAGGAGCATCCGGTTCTCCTCACGGAAGCGCCACTGAATCCCCGGCGAAATCGCGAAAAGGCAGCTGAAATCTTCTTCGAGACATTCAACGTTCCGGCTCTGTTTGTCTCCATGCAAGCAGTTCTCAGTTTGTAAGGCTGTCTTTCTGTGAGGCGCTTGCAAAATCCTGGCTAAAGTTGCTCTTCTGTTCCGTAGATACGCTACAGGTCGCGTGACAGGAGTGGTTCTGGATGCTGGAGACGGAGTGACTCACGCTGTGCCCATTTACGAGGGCTTCGCAATGCCGCACAGCATCATGAGAGTGGACATTGCCGGCAGGGATGTGACGAGACACTTGCGAGCGCTGATAAGGAAGGAGGGCTTCAATTTCCGCACAACAGCAGAGTTTGAGATTGTGAAGGCGATCAAGGAGAAAGCCTGCTATTTGGCCACGAATCCGCAGAAGGAGGAGACCATTGAGACGGAGAAAATACTCTACACTCTCCCTGATGGAAATACCATCGATGTGAGTGACTTTAAGAGATTCTTTGGGATCTTCAGCAATGAAAATCTTGAAACTTGTGTTTTTCAGATCGGCCCCGCACGATTCCGAGCGCCTGAAGTCCTGTTCAGGCCTGATCTCCTAGGCGAGGAGTGCGAAGGCATCCACGAAGTGCTTATGTACTCAATACAGAAGTCCGACATGGACCTGCGGAAGATGCTGTATCAGAATATCGTTCTCTCCGGAGGTTCGACGCTCTTCCGTGGCTTTGGCGATAGACTGTTGTCGGAAATTAAGAAACACGTGTCGAAAGACATGAAAATCAGGGTGAGAATAACCAGAAGTAACTCACTTTAGAGCATATATTGAAGGTCCTTTTCGTTTGCAGATTGCCGCGCCGCAGGAACGTCTCTACGCCACTTGGATGGGCGGCTCTATTCTGGCCTCTCTGGACACCTTCAAGAAGATGTGGATCTCCAAGCGAGAGTTCGACGAGGAAGGCCAGAGAGCAATACATCGCAAGACCTTTTAATTTATATCCTCAATTTTGCAATAGTTATTGAAATCTTTATTGTCATTATTAAATGCACAATTCATAAATTATTTTTGTCGCTTTTCAAATCATGGTCGTGTAATTTTACTCCTTGCTAAGTATAAAATACAATTAAAACATAATGTAAACTAAAAAACAAAAATATTATCGCCTGTCTTGAGGAGAAAAACAACTGAATTATATTTTGCATCATTTGAAGTGAAAGAGAGAAAAAAGTTAAACAATTTTCCGTGTTCCGGCGATGAAAAACAATGAAGAGCGCAAAGTTTGTAAAAGACGCATATTCTCATGTTTATAGATTAACTATAAGTGAATAATTGTGCTTTTTATATTACCTACAATTTATTTATAAAAACCAATATAACATGAATATAGAAAGTTCATAAATATCTCGGAGGAATATTTGCTGATGTGCTTTTGTTGCTGCTAAGGCGCGACAGTCGTTGATGTTTGAATCTCTCCGGCGGCGATATTTATCATCGACTCGCCGTGATTCGCCTTTGTTTTCATTTCCGTCCAAGAATGCTCATAAAGTGGCCGCAGTCTTGATTTATCCCCCGTTTCTCCCCTTGATACCATGGAAAACTCCCCAAAAGCACCACCAGGATTGCAGGCGCTCTTCAAGGAGTGCCACCGAGTGTATCCCGACCAGAAGAATCCGCTGCAAGTGAGCACAATCCTCAAATACTGGCTCGGCGGCAATGACGTCCTCGATTACATTTCACTGTACGACCACAAAGGCGATCCTGCCAGGGAAATCCCTCCTCACTGGCACTACGTGGCCTTCGGCTTGTCCGGTGAGTGGATCAACTTCCCCCAAAACGAACTCTAAATCACGAGAAAATCTCCCTGCAGATTTGCACGGCGACGGAAGAGTTCACATTCCTGAGCCTACGCTGGATCTGGAATTCCGTTCAGGAATGGGCTTCGAGTTGACATTTCGTCTCCTGAAAAGCAGCGATCCCAACCAGGGCCCACCAACGTGGCCAGCCAACCTGTTGCAGGACTTGGCGCGGTATGTCTTCAATTCCGGGAATCGCTTCTGCGTGGGCGACAACATTCCCTGGCCGAAGAAGTCCCTGGACAGCAGCAACTCCAAGATTAGTCACATGCTCATTGCCGAGGACGCTGAACTGAGGCGCACCGAGACGCCGTTCGGATGGGTGGATTTCTGCCAAATTGTCGGCGTGACGAGTGAAGAACTGGATCGAGCGTCGCGTTGGAATGGCAAAGGCGTCCTCAATCTTCTCAGAAACAATGTCACGTAAGGAAAAGTGAGAAAGGACTTCATTGAGATCATAATACAAGGTAAATACATTTCAGCACTGGCGGTGAATTCCTCATAACGGACATGAAGAGAGATAAGAGTGTGTTTGAGCTGTTTCCGGAGACTCTTCGTGAGCTCGAGGAAGATCTGGAGAGAGAAGGATCAGACTTAGTGGGTGTGAATGCTGAATTTATCTTTAAGGAGTTTGCGGGGGTGAGAAAAATACCACAAAGCGCTTTGTTTGACAGCAGAATCTCTAATTTTGTCTCTTGCGAGCAGTTCTCTATCAAGGAGGAAGTCGAGACTGAGGAACAGAGTGAGGATCCCACGATGAGCGTGAGCAGGGAGTTCGTGGCCATGAAGGCTGAGGAGTATTCGCCCTTCTCCACCTCCATGAGCACCAGCAATTCGCTCAGCATGAGCGGACCGATTGACTCGAAGCCCATGACGGGCCACACGGTGTCCCTCAGCGGACTCGAGCTCACCCTCGCGCCGTACGCGGCCAAATTCCTGGTGCTGGCCATAAAGGATCGCATCAGACACGGTCGCCACTTCACATTCAAGAGCCAAAATCTCGCCGTGACATTTGTGGCGGAATCCGTGACCGGAGCGATGGTGAATCGCCGCAATCCGTACGTGGTGATTGGCTACTGGATGCAGCTTCTCATCCCCGACGACCTCGTGCCACGCATGCTGACATCCTTTGAAGGCATCACCGAGAATTCCGACCACCTCAATCTCCCCACGACATTCGAATTCCTCGACAAGGGCCTGAAAATCATCATCGACAACATCGCCAAGCCGCGTCTGACTGAATCGAAAAACTCCCTGCCATGAAATTGTGCCTTTCATTTACTTAAAATATCATCATGTACTAAAAAGCCACCTTTTTATCTCGTCCGCAAATTTTCCTCTCCCTCCCCATGAAGAATTTAATATTAGAGGTATTATATTATATATATATACGAGAGAGTGAATAACACATTTTCTTTGATGGCGCGCACGAAACTTCCTCAATTTTCTCATCATCTTCTTATTACATTTTATCTGAAATTAATTCATCATTTAGGCCAACATCAATCACCCGACGATGAGGCGAGCGAGGCCTTCCGTGGGTGAGACACAAGTGCCACCGTTTTGTTGTGTTTTGCGTGTTTTTGGCCCTCTAATCGCGCACCCGAGAGATTCGCCCAACCCCAGCCAATATGCCGACAGAGAGAGAAAGAGAGAGAGAGAGAGCATTTATTAAGCGGCACATAAAAAGCATTCCGTTCTTCTCAAAGAGCCAAAACCTCTGCCGAGGGTGGGTTGAGTGGGGCGAGGGCGACGCTAAATTTGTCAAGAGTATAAAGTGGGGCGAAAAAGTTGGGCCAGAGACGATGACAGAGGGTGGATGATGAGATCAACTCTCATATACATTTTTGCCGTGTCAAGTAATGCCTTAACAATAAAGATATCCACAGACATAGTCGGAGTTTGATGGATTTAACCCTTACAAGACGATAAGAAATTGAGTCATCTTGAGATTACAGAGTTTTTTCCGCTCTTAACACTTCACAGACTTTATTCCACGTCTTATTCCACGTTTTATTTGTGTTTATTTATTTTTTTTTTAGGTTTGTACGGTGGATTTTTTGGTTATAGTTTATTATTTTCATTAATTTTTGGGATAATTTGTCAAATGTCTTTAGAATTGAGGTTTATTTTATGGAACCAAAGTTTTTTTGGTAGTTTTTCTATTATGTCCGTAATGTATTTTTCTTTCACAAATTGTTTACAGGGTTAATTCTATTAAATTTTTGATATAAAGTTGAAAAACAAGGAAAAGAGTGGTTTTAAGAAGAACCAGACACTTTAGTTATAGTGTTCAATTCCGTTTTCTCAACAGGGAAGCACACAAGCTGTGCATGTCAATCAATGTGGGCGGGGCTTGCGAATGGGAGGGGCTTAGACAGTATTCTGTCTCACAGAGAAAAACGACATTGAAATTTTACTCGACGTCTCTGTATATATGTGTTTTTTTCACTCATTTACCATGTTGTGTGTCAAATCTGTGTCTAATAAAAGTCACATCACCAGGGCAGACGAGAGGCGAACAGGGGTGGAAGTGATATGTCAGACAGAAGGACCATTATTATCCTCTTAAAACCCCGTCTGTTATTAGATAATTTTTGTGCACAATAAAATGTTCCGCGTCACTTGGCGAAGAGAGACAGACAAATTGAGGTGGAATTACACAATTACAACACTTTCTCAATCCTCAACATCGGTCCAGATTGAAGATGAATGCCTGTGTAGAATGTGAGATTTTGGCCCGAGAATTGAGAAGAGCTGAATATTTATTAGGGGTGGTGGTAATGAGGGTGGAAAAAGAGCTGCGTTTCGTGCGAAATTCAATGATTTGATTCTTAATGTGTGCCCCGCTTTCGGCTCTTTTTTCTCCAAACACCGATTGTGTATACACAAGAGGGACAGATCTTGACTGGAGCGGGCGAGAGGGATGAAAAAAGCAGTTAAAGTGGGTGGAATGATTGGGTGGGATGATGTAGCTGTGGAATGCTTGGTATTTCAATTAATCCCTCCGGAATCGAGCGAGAGCAAGAGAGAGAGAGAACGACCGACGGTGCTCTCTTTATGTTGCCAACTAAACTATGTTACAGTATTTTTCTGCACATGTACATAACACTCAAGAGTACATTTCAATTCTATGGCCAGAGGAGGACTCAGACACCAATTAGAGTCATTTGTCACTTCATTTACCTGCCACGGGATTAATGAAATTTTCCATCAATTAACTCGTCCAGATGCTAATTTTTCCCACCCACGATTAACGTTGCTTTCGAAAAGGTAAAAGTCACAACTTAACAGACAAGAAGATTATCTTCAGATCTCACTGTTGAATCCCTGTTTTGCTTTATTTGGCAGACTTTCGAAACATTTCTCTTCTAATTGCCATAACAATGCGACTCTGCATCAACAATCCCTGCAAACTCGCACACAACTTTGATCTCCGCAACATGAATCTCTAATCCGCCCTCGTCTGGTCTCGTCATAGAGCAATTTGGCGAAGGAGAATTTCCGTGCGCATTTCTCTAAAATGCATTTTCCACGCTGAACAGTTTGATCTGCTGTCTTACTGTTTTTTCTTCACTGGAACCTTAGAAAAATCTGTCCCAACATTCATCACTGGCTGATTAGAAGACATAAAACACTCTTTTTCAAATTAACCCGCTCAATTTAGTCCCCTTGATTGAAAAAAAAGCAACAATATCAACCCCTTTGCGTTCAGCGGAGGAAAATGGTGCAGAAGATATCATTAGAGGAATTTAATTGCCACTGAGAAATGTCGTGAATTGAGAGGGATGGAATCAAAAAGTGATACATATTAAAAATCCATGTCCTCACGACTTAACACGTGTTCCGCACCCCTTAACAATTCCCCCGGGATTCAGCGATAAATCCATTTCACGCAGTTCCGCCAAAACAGGCTCATGATTAAATTTTGGGGTGCAACATTTGACTTTCTCCACCCTCGCCAATGTTGCACAGCGTGTACAATTGAAAATATGATGATTCGTCAGGGTAATTTTGCCGGTTTTTCTGTACTGAAGGGTGGCAAACAAAAATATTTGTGCAATGGTGGAAAAATCAACAAAAGGTAATGCGTGATAAATTTCATAACGAGATAAATGACAAATTACCCCTAAATGAGCACGTGGCCACAATTAATATTCATTCACCCGCAGGGAAATTACTTGTACGCATTTAAGACATCATTAGATTGCTTTCCATTTCACCCAGCGCCGCTCACCTTCCCCGCCTTTCCCGGGGGGGGTTGCTTGGTTGGTTCTGTGTGTGACGACAGAAGGAGAAAGTGAGACACTGGCGAAAGGAATTTTGATCATGCCAGTAATTTACCAAATCTTCTTACCTGTCACTCTGTCAACATACTCTATGTGTTCACTTTCTCCCAAAACAATTCACCCCCACACAAACAAACACTCATCTCAGCCCCCCCAATTCGAGGCGGGCCTCGAGAATACACAAGAAGCTGAAGCACCCCCTCAACAATCACTCCAAACTCTCAAGCACACACACGATTCACCGCAAGATTGTATTAATATCGGGCATTGGAGACTATTTGTTGCCATCTAACAATGCTATTTATCCATCCACACGATTAGACACGCTTAATATGTCATCCCTGGAAAAATCCAGTCCTCGTTATTATCCCAAAATCCTCTGTTTTGCTCCTCCTCTGTTGTCCACCCAGTCCAAGTCCAGCAAAACTACAAATGCGCTTCAGAGGACAAAGGATTAAATTGCGATTGTCCCTGGAAACTCAGCGCATTTAATTGGCGACTCTGTGAGCGTTAATTAAACAAATGTATTTTTCACGGTTATCATCTACCTCTGGCCAAATGGATTCACTCTTGTGTCCATTGCACAACCGAAAGCCGATTAAAATGCCAGTTTTGCAACATCACAGACAAAATCCACCCACATGAAGTTTTCCCTCCAAATCTATTCTTTTCCACTCCCCCCCGAAAATTAAACACATTCTCAAAGGGACCAGAAATTCATAAAGCACCGCCGCCACTTGAAAATACTCTCCAAACTTCATGTGATTTTTGGATCACTCTGTTGGCTCTCAAATTGTTTATTAATTTCCCAACCTCGGAAAATGGCATTTTGGCCAGAAATGAATAAACGTCGAGAGTTGCAAATATCAACATTTTCGGCAAATTATAATTCAAATATTAATTAAAAGACCAAACGCGAGTGGACTTCGCGGTGTGTTGAGGATTTTCTCAATATCCTTTTAATCCTTTCCTTAGTCGACTTTTAAGGGGTTGAGATAATCATTATTGGCAGAAAATTTTCATAATTGCAGTTGGAAATCTTACAAATTATAAGCAAAATGTACAGGAAAAGTGTGAAAAGTTGCTTTTATGGAATTTTTACGATCAAAAGCCGACTTTTTGTACTTAATATCGTGAGTTCGTCTATTAATTTTCCATATTACAGTTAATATTTCAACAACTAAGCAATGAAATCAACTGCCAAGTAAAGAAAATTATTGGAATTTTATCTCTTTCAACGAAATCGACCTTTTTACGCGGTCAATTGTATTCCAAACTCTTTTCCTGGGATAAGAGGTCCTTCTGGTCATTACACACCCCAAATTAATTTAAAATTCATTAAGAATCCAAAACATATTTAAGTTGGACGATTGATTGCTGCTTTGGTTCAGTTTTGATACCACAAAGAAATGAAGGATTACGCCGAATGTCTTCAAACTTGGCATGATAAATCCTCATTAATGAGGGAAAATTGGTGGAAAAATTCAAACCCCCGTTTGGCCTTATTTGATTCGGAGTCACTGTAATCAATATAATGGAAATTGAAGTCTTTAACTTCAAATCGCTTTAGTGAAGAATGTCAATTTTTTATTTTTAATAGCTGAATTGCAATATTTCTCCTCCCTTTTCGCAATCTCTAGAGTTTAATGTTGCGACAGTGAAATGAATTGCAATACAATTTCACTGTATTGTCAGCGCATTCGTCGGAAATCACGTAATTTAATCATCCCTTTGCCCACATCTGAAAATATTGAAATATCAATGCTATTGTTATGCACATCAATCATAAAGTCCCAAATTAAATTTGTCACATTTAATTAGAGATGATTAGTAATTTTGTGCATTGCTTTTTCGGTGAAATCATTCAAATAACATTCAAAACCACAAACTATCAGTGAAAACTCCGCAATTCTATCATTGCAACCACATTGTTTTCCTCTTTGTGGCATTTCTGTATATTGCAAATTTTACTTAATTGGCTCAGTTTTTCCGATACTTCGAGGGGTTGGAGATAAAAGCAGAAAGTGAAGACAAAGTTTATTGTCGGCTTTTTTTGTCCTGACTGAGAATTCGCACGGCGAAGAGACAAAGAATTCTATGTGAGCCACCTTATGAGCATGAAGGAGAGATAATGAAATAATTTCCAAGCCAGAATTTACACCAGAGTCGCACTCATTCACACTCAGTCTTCGTGGCGAAATTGCTCGCGTCCAGGGAGAGAGAGAATCTCAAATGAGACACTCTGGGATGAATAGATTGTATCGCTTTTATGTTAATTTTCTCAGCAAGAGATATTAGAGTTAATGGAAAATTCCACACTGTCGAGGCGAACGCGTTAATGAAAAGCATTTCGCGATGTTTCCACCCATAATGGAAAATTAAATTTTCCAATAGATAACATAAAAGACCAGCGCCAGAGAGACTCCCAACGATGAAGATATGCTTTTGTCGAACGTGAATTTATATAATCTGCAGCCAGAGAGCGAGCGGGGCAAATATTGGGCGAAGGGTGGGCGGTTTTTCCGCTATGGAACTCGCCAACATTGTGTGGCAGCATAATTTCCATGGCTGGGAGAACTTTTTAGATGAGACAATTGATGCAAAATTCACCGTGCATTTTCGTCCTTCGAAGGAATGATGAAATATTGAATTTTTTTCTTTATTTATTTATTCGCCTCGTGCAAAGGCACACTTTTATTAATATAATAAAATACTACAAAACCATCCTCAAACACACAGAGTGTATTTGTGGTGATGAGCAGAAACTTTTATCCTCTCTCTTTCGCCCCATTCGCAACAACGCATGCGTTCAAATTTGGCCTTTTTCCCACCCGGGAAGGGAGAAAATCCACCAAAGAGGAAGGATATGGAAAAATTCCGGGAAATGTAGGCGTGTTCAGAGCAATTTTGAATTGTTTATTCTTCATTCGCGTTCCATAACGCATTCATCAGACCATGGAAAAGTGGAAAAGTGGCGCGCGGGTGGGAGAAAAACATCTCAATCCGCCATCATCATTTAGTATGATGTGGTTTTACCATTCCACAAGTATTTTTCCACCCACAAAATCCCAAGATTGGGGCTTGTAAAAAGGGGTTGCGCGCAAGAGGAAAGACACACGGCGGAAGAGTGCGGAAGACTTCAAAAGGAAAATATATATCTCACGAGTGCAAGATGAGCAACAATTCAATCTTTTCCTCCTCATTCAGCATTCCATTATTCCATATTGCATTTTCCCTTTTCGCTGATGGATTGAAAAAGCTTTTTCTCGCTGCAAAGCGTGCATCAGAATGTGCTAAATTACTTGCAAATCCGCGTTCTGCATTTAGCATTTTATTTTTGCCATGCAATCTCTCTCACAGCGCACAATTTCGCCATGATATTGCCAATCCTTTTGATTACTCAACTATGAACAAAAATTTTAATAATATCCCGAAAAATCTTTCCTGCCATCGCGCATCGCTATATTGAATAGAGAGAGAGAGAGAGAGATTTTTCCGATTTTTCAGTTCGGTGCATTTCTTCCTTCTATCAACGCTGCAAATTTTCATGCCGCAGAACAATATTTTTATTAATATTCTACGTCAAAAAAGGACCCACGAACGACAGTGTGTGTGTGTGTAGAAAAAAATCCTCTCAACCCAAACAATTTGCCATGCACGCGAGCATCGGAAGCGCGCGCGCTCCTCGAAAATACACGATGATGATGGAATGGCGAAAAGAGAAAAGTTGGAAACAAATAAAAATCAGCTTTTTGCGTTCCGCTTTGGCTGGGGCAAAAAGGCGCGCCTGGAGGAAAGTTTTGAGGTGGTATTTTTAATTTTTCCTCATAAATATTCCATGCGGCAAAAGGCAAGCGCACGAAAATATTCATAGAAAACCAAACAACACTCGATTTTTCATTACAGAAATATTTTATGAAAATACTTTCATCATCGCACAAAACCACCCCCGCCGAAAAAGCCCACCTTTTCCACCCAAAACACACACACACAACACTCCATTTATCTTCCACAAATGGAATTCCAATTCCAACCATTAATTTCGCTCCTTTTTCCTTTAGCCGCCAGATATTTAGATTAACTTTTTGTACTTGTGCGCATCAAAAAGCCGTCCATTCTTTCAAATATCTCATGTGGCTTTTTGATAAAAGGAGAAAATGTGTTTTTGCTCTCTTATTAAAATTCTCTTTTGCACTGAATTTTCATCATCATCATCAACAACATTTTCTGCTGTTGTATATGTATGAACAAAGGCGAAATTTAATTTGATCTTGAATATTGGACGCTCCATCCGAAATTGCAGAAGCAAAATATGCGCTTGTGCCAATTTCATGAGAAAATAGTGAAAATAGTCTAAAAACTGGGTGAAAAAGAACAATTCCCACTCAAACGAAGAATGTTAAAAATGTGTTATATTAGTTTAAAACAGTCTTTTATATTCTGAGTAACACAAGTTGGGCTTAAAATGGCGATTATGTTAGAAATTTCACCGTTTGTGATATTTTCAATGCTGGTTAACACATGTTAAGTCATTGTGTAATCTTAAAACAACCTTCAGAGGTTATTTTAATGTGTCAAAAGTATAGTGACAGATCAAAAACTGTTAAAACGTTGTAAAAATGGATGAATCTGTGATTGTGGCGCTAATTTTCAAACATGATCATGAAATATATTTGCTGTAAATTATTTTTATTGTGAATTTACTAATTATTTACTTGTATTTTAACATCTTTTTGGCAAATCTTTCTCTTCTTCTCTAACACAATTTGCAATCGCTTAAAATCCATTAATACTCTTTTAGCGAAAATAGCAAGAGTAGTTTTTCCTTATTGATTTCGAATGTTAATCTTTTACATCTTTGAAATTTAACATTCATCAGTTTGAGTGGGAATCGCTCCACAAATCGCCGTTTTGTCCAAGAAAATTTTTATTTTGGTCATTTTGTGCCCGAAATCTCATGTTTCTAAGTCAAAATTTTGCTTAAAATCCAAATTGAAGTTTGATTATAAATAAATTTCGACAGAAAATCGTCCATAAGTAGAAATTGCTGGAAGCTGAACATCGTTCGTTTGAGTAAAAACCCATAAAAATGATTCTGTATGAAGATGAATTGACTCTCGTTATAGAATTCTAGATTTAACACTCAACAAAAACCACATTTTCAAACTGGAGAATTTGCAAAGCTAATTGAAAGAAAAAGCATAAATTATTGACGCTTATTTTGGTCGACCATAATTAAATTGAATTCATTCACCACAATAAAATCAGTTTGGGGTTTTCCTACTTTCATCTGCCGTGCGCTTTTCCAACCGCTCTCCCCAAATTTTCTCCCTCGAATCCTTTGTTACTCTCGGATGGTAAATACAGCGGAAGCACACAGAGCTTTTATGATACCTCATCTCTCACCACGACCCTTCATTGAGATTGGGGTGGAAAAGGGGCGGAGTCTCGTGTCTATATCACTCGCCAGAGTTGGATTCTGTCTCTCAGCGGGTGTTTTTCTCTTTTTTTCTGTTCAATTGGAGTTCGAAATGGGAGTTTGAGGGTCAAAATTGGCAAATTCAGTGGAGTTTTTGTGGGTTTTCGAGGGTAATTTTTTGAAGAAAGTGTGGAACTCTCGGGAAAATCGTGCTTGTCTCTGTGTTGGGAAAGCGACAGGGGAAATTGTGTTGGCCATTGTGGAGATGCGCACTCAGAATGGGGATGTCAATGATGGCACACACTACCATGTTAAATCAAGACCATCTTCGCTCCCCATTTTATAATAAAGGGGGTATATTAGCGTAATAATTATTGAGCACACCACGTATTCCGTCACTGGCTTCCGTCGCGACAACACCATCTCTTGGCCTGGGCGTCAGAGAACGTCCTCGGGATTTCCACACCACACACTTCTGCAGAGCCAGACAAATCATTCCGTGTGTGAGCTTGGCCAGGAGCGAACGTGTGTCTTGTGGCTCTGGCTATTAAAAGAGTTGATTTTCTGTGAAGTGTATCTTCGCCACTCTTTCCCAAAACTCTTAAATGACTTCAAAGTTAATAAGATATTCGACTGTGTTCCTGTTCTTATTATTATTCCAACTCTAAATCCAACAGCAACATTGTGCTTATAAGCCCAGAACATTTTTCGGGTGCTCCATAATTGATATAAATTATGATAATTCCTCTTGCTCTTTTGTCACATTATTTCATGATTATAAGGTGAGGAGAATTATCTTACATTTCATAGATAGTTGCATCGGTAAATTGTGCTGTGAAGGTGTTGAAGTTAATTTCACAGAGTTTTCCCTCTTCGAAAAAAGCCACCAAAAACGACCCAAAAACCATTGTCTCAAATTCTTCTACAACACCAGCAAACAAGAGTGGCAATAGAGACCTTCAGTTTTAGAAATAAGCAGTGACAAAGTGGGTGTTTGTGAATTGTGAGGGTGAACCGAAGCTATTTGGATGTGCATCTTCAGGAAGGCGGAACGACTGAGGCAAATTTTGTAAAGATTTTCTCTCTTTTTACCCACACACAAAGCAAGAGGAAAAACACCCAGAAAAAGAAAAGAACTCACCGCAAAGCCACCGAAGAGACACGCAGAATAGTTAGATAAATAGTTATAGTGAAAAGAGACAAAAGGAAGTCTCAACAGCAGCAGAAAAAAAATTAATATACAAGGTATATTAAAATACCACCACCATTCGCGCAAACAATAGTTTCGAATGCGGGTAAATTAATATGTGTTTACCTAATATCGCAGTTTTATTGTAATTACAATTCAGTGTTTGTCGTTGCACTTGTATCGTGTTTCGGGGAGTTGAAATAGTGAAGCGCCAAGCTTGAAAGTGGTCAGGAATACATCCGCCCGAAGACATCCAGTGCTTCAAAGGGAAGCTGTACAGAGATTTTTCTTTTTTGTGAAAAGGAAACCCGAGTAAGAATCGCTCTGTGATCATCATCAAGTGGACAATTGCGCGCCCCGTAAATGCATTTACGGTAAAGTGATTAAGTATGGTTGTTAAATGAGAAGCAAAGAAAATTGAGTAACTAAATCCAAAGCGACACTCTTTTTCTGGGGCCTCCTCAATAGCGCCAACTTATGGTGGTTGGTGTAGTCGCGTTACATTGATTACCGTGCGCGCGGGTGCATTCTAGAGCCCACACAGAAGAGAGGCACAGAAGCACGCAGAAAGTGTTGGTGTGAACTCACAAGAAATGATTCATCCGTCGACAAAATACCCGTCAAATCCTCTATCGCACTTCCTGTCCGGCGTCTCCACGCCCGGCCCCATCGCCAGCCACCATCATCCACCCGTGCAGACCCTGAGTGATCTCGAGAATGGCCACAACACACCCCTCGAGGTGGTGAACGGCAGCATTGGCAAGTCCTTCACCATTGCCGCAATCTTGGGCTTGAAGAAGAATGCCGCAGCTGCCGCTGCTGCGGCCGCAGACAACAACAATCGCTCCTTCGAGGACGTCATGAATCTCTCGCTCAACCACAACATGTCCAGCGACAGCTCGAAGAGTGTTGGCCACTTTGCCGACAACCAGAGATTGATCAGTCTCGGCGCGAGCAATCTGCCCCGACTTCCGGGCATCTCGACACTCTCGCCGCACTACGCGCATCACCCACCGTCTGCCCTGCAGAGTCTCCAGCAACTGCACCAGCAGCACTCGTCATCAGCAGCCAATCACCTCAACTTCCACCAGCGCGAGCGGAACAGAAGCGGTAAGAAGTTTATCGTGCAGATCAATGAAATCGTTCGTTCATGCAATTTTTGCATAAACTGTTGATATGATTTAGCTGAAAATTTCAGCGTGCTCGAAAATCTGCTCACAAAAGTGCTTATTTGAGGTCAAAATATTAGCATAACTAGCGATGCTGAGAAAAGCGCATTTACCTGCTCGATATCTAAGCAGGAAGTGGACGGAACAGGCGATAAATTTGCTCAATATTGTAGTCAAATATGCTTTAGTTCCTTACTTTGACTCAGCAGTAAATCAGCTGAAAAATATGCCGATTTTAGGTCAATGTGTTCACTGGGATATAAAGTCTCTCACAGATCATTTGAACTGGAGAAATTTGTGACTTTTATCCTCAAAATTCCTACTGGAAATTAGGCTTAGAATTTATTTTCAAGCCGCATTACTTCTAATTTCCTCTTTTTCGCTCACATTCTAGAGCACAGTGTGTCGAAAAAGTCCTCGATGAAGAGCAAAAGAGTGCGAACGATCTTCACTCCGGAACAATTGGAGCGACTTGAGGCGGAATTCGAGAGGCAGCAGTACATGGTGGGACCTGAGCGGCTGTATCTGGCACACACTCTTCAGCTCACAGAAGCCCAGGTCAGAGAGAGAGAGAGTGCCAAATGGACCGGCAGAAGGGACGCTAAAGACATATTCTTTGTTCCCCCAAAACACAGGTGAAGGTCTGGTTCCAGAATCGACGGATAAAGTGGAGGAAGCACCATCTGGAGCTGACACAGCAACGACTGGCCATCCTGCGACAGAGTCAAATGACTGCTTCCGGTGCTGCAGCGATCAGCAATGCCCTGCCGTCCGTGGAGACGGACTTGGGCACCTGCAGCGACTCCATGGAGGCCACGAGTGGCCAGGAGGACAACTGAGATATGACTGGCGGAGCCACAAACCAAAGTACAGGGAGTTTCATCACACTAGCGTTTGAATGTACATAAGAAAAAATCACTTGTAAATATTTCTAACTCACCATTAAATGAAAGAAATGATGTGGAAGTTGGGCGTGACTTAATCGTTCTCCTCAATCTCTTCGGTATCTGCATTCTGCAGAGTGAACTTCAGTGCGAAATCCTCCTCGACATCCGCCATCCGGAGAAAATCCTTGTTTGTGCAGCCAACATAGGGACATCTGCAAATACAGCCGTGTTTCTTAGACTCTAGAAAACTGGATTAAATGGGGAGAATCGCTTGCCTGACTCTTGGATTCATCTTGATCACATTCATCAAACTGTCCTTGTCATAGACGTGATTGCATTTCCTGTTCCTCACTGGATGAACTAGAGATTTCTTCGTGAAAGGATCAGTTCTCTGGATATCTCCCGTGACTGTCATGCCCTCATCCGAAGTGGTCGTAGGCAAAACTGGAAGGAGAGAAGCAAATAAAGCCGGAACATTAAGAAATCCTTCACAATTTTACCCTTTTTATCAAAATTCTCCAAGAATCTCTCAAATTCACGAACTCTTCTGGTGTCCGACGTATCGACGGTAATCTTCTCGACCGCCTTGAGGAACTCCTGGAAGAAAAAACATCCCTTTAATCGTGGAATTGATAAGAGATTGCTTTCCGGATACCTCTTTGAAGACAGTTGAAGATTGGTGTGTCTTTGTCTTGTCGAGGCACTTCATGATCTCTTCACCCTCAAGCTCACAAGCGGCCATCCTGCTGATCATGACGCGAGACTTTTCCTTCATCATTGAAACTGGGAAGAAATCGAAGAAATCATTGAATTTTGTGATTTTAAGGTAAGACAACATAACCACAATCAAAGTTTTACCAAAATCCTCGTCATCCTCGATATTGAACATGGCAAATTCCAATGTTCTCACGATGCTATTGGTCACTTTATCCGCTGCCAGACTGATTTCGTCCATCCTGCGAATGATTTTGGAGCAGAAATGAGGATTTGTAGATTTTCCAAGACAGCACTTTGCGCGATTAGCGGGAAATTGTGGACGTCACGCAATTCACCTCTTGCCCCTCTTTTGTCGCAAATTCCCCACTTTAGCACAGTTTGTCGCGATGTGCCGCACGCGGCGCTGGCGGCGTAGTACAGTCGTCTAGCATAGATGGGGCTGGCTGAGATGTTGTGTTTCTCTAAAATATAAATACTTTTTCGCGAAGAAATGTATTTGACCAGCAGTTGTGCGATATGCGAAGAATGTGCTAGTTCGTCTGATGTGATTCCCGCGATCGTGCAGTCCCACCAGAGCGCTGAGGTGGCTTTTTCCTCGCGGTAGAGGGGAAGTGTCGCAGTGTCACAAGTCGCGATTATTGTCAAAGTGCGCCTCGTATTTTAAAGGTGGAAGAAAAATGGCTCGACGAGGAATTTCACAACATTTTCCCAGCCCGTGAGCCATGGTGCACGGCGTAGAGAGTGCAGTGAGTGGGTGAGAACAGCGAGGGACTGCAGTGTTCTGTGATAAGTGTGTGGAATTAGTGGCACAAGGTCGGGCGCACGGGGGCTCCAGAAGGGCGGATATTGTCGTGTGCAAAAGTGTGATTCATCCCGGACTAAATCGCACCCAACATGTCCAATCGCATCAGATCCGTCTTGTCCGTGAACCTGGACGCAGCCACATTGGCCAACGATCCGCTCCGGGAGCTCTTTGAGGCCTGCAAGACGGGCGACATTGTCACGGTGAAGAAGCTCATCACGCCCCAGACAGTCAATGCTCGGGACACGGTGAGAGCGCCCCATTCCACTGTCCAGACTCCCTGAGTAACTCCCGACGTTTTCCCTTCTTCCAGGCTGGCCGGAAGTCCACACCACTCCACTTTGCAGCTGGTGAGTGTGTTCAAAATCAATAACTGTGGGCGCAATTATGCCTTCGGCTTCGCGTTCCGCATAATTAACAAGGTTGATAAGAGAAGAACGACTGCCCGAAACTCCCTCAAACACCACAGCAGCTCGTATCTAAATCCCCCTGGCCAGAATGTCGAGAGTATCAGTATGGGAAGTGCGACAAGAGTTGACCAACAAGTTGATTATTCAGCGAACGTGACTCAAATTTGGGTCAATTTATTAAAACGCAGCAAATTAATTCACTGCAAGTAACTGAAAATTAAACCTGCAACACTTGGAAAGCAAAAGCATGGCTTTCCCGGGCAAATGCTAATTTCTCAGCTCTCTAAATCAACGTTTCCGCCGTGTTGCGATTTCCCTGGAAGAGTTTCGCTCTTGAAAAATTTGAAAAATTCTCTCTTATCGCAATCTCACGGCGCTTTGTGTCATTGAGACGATTGAGAATTTGGAAATATGTGAAATTAATGATTCGAGGACTAATTAGAGCCCGTAAAAATAGTAGTAAAATTGTGCAAGAAGGCCAAAGATGGCTAAATTGGGAGAGATGTTCAATCTTTTGTCTTGCAGAACGAATTATTATGAGGTGTTTTTACACACACAGAAAAGAAGAAAAAAGAGAGAAATAATTGCGGCAAAGCTGCTCACTTATGACTGAAGTTCTGATGCAATTTGAAGTAATTGATTGAGAGGGAAAAATAGGGTAGTTTTGGGCTCTGATTAGTGTTAAATTGCAGCGGTTTTGAGAAGATTCTTACATAAAGTTTGCCACAATTGCAATATCTGTGAATGTTTCAATGCTGGGCTTTGATGTCTGGTTGTTGTTTTTTTAATTAATCGTCTTCTGTTGAGTCAAAACTATTAACACAACTTACCTGGGCATTATTCCCTGCCTCTAATTGTCTTTCGCCATCTATAAAATCCATAACATTGAGCTCATGGTCAATGTGTGTCGGTCCGGAGTGTCTTTTCCTTTGTGCGCGCCCAGCGAGAATGGGCGTGAGAGAGTGAGAAATTCACTGAGCGCGCGCGATTGAATTTAGAGGAATTTTTTCACAAAAATCGCGTTTTTTTTCTCAGCGTGTGTGAAATATTGCATCACATGGCGAATTTGCAATTAAAGATAGGAGAAGAAGAAGGTAGAAATTGTGATACGAAAAATTGACTCACAAGCAGAGAGTGAAGCACTTCTGCAGCCTAATAATATTGTAGCGAAAGTGTTGAATAAAGGCGATTTCCCTCTTTCTTCAGAGCCCCGCCAATTGACGCACGGTTACAGCATTATATGAAAAAGAAAAACTGTACAATATAATCTGCGGAAGATTTATGATATGTGGAGGAGGAAGAGATTTTTGGCTAATTTTCCTTCACTCGCTGCATTTCTTATTGTCAGGCCATTGACATCCGACGGTGTGTTTGTGTGTGATTAATTCATTATGCATGCGATGATCATTGATGATTTGATTTTAGGGAATCCAATTTCGTGTGCGATTCACACCCATAAGTTTGATTTGCTGGCAGCAAATTTCTCGCACGATTACATGACTGGAATATAGGGAATCCCAGTGTTTTTTTTTTCTTGAAGGAATGAGAGAGAAAAAAGAGTGGAATGTAAACAGACATAAATTGAAATTATTTACACTGAGTGAAATTCCTGCAGCTGTTGAAATTTCATGTGCAGACCTAAATTTTGTGTTGTGTCTCAAGAGACACAAAATTCAGAAGCTGAAAGGGGGCAAAAAAATGACTTTTAAGACTGTTTTACTGTCTTCTATTTTTCCATTACATTGTAATGAATGTGATAATTTTCCCCAGAGCAAATTTGCTGCGCGCCTGCAAATGTGGGTTTTGGTTGTTTGTTTTTTGTGTTTTTTTTTTTGTGTTTTTGTTGTTTTTTTTTGTTTGTTTTTTTTGTTGGGGTGGTTTTGTTTGGTTGTTGTTTTTGTTTTGTTGTGTTGAACCACAAAGCGATGGAGTGTAATTGATGTGTAATCGCTGATTATATTGCATAATTTAACAACATCAATAATATCGGAGCTTCACATGCATTTATTGATTGTGGTGTGTTTTGTGTGTTGCTGCAAGAAGACGAGGAGAGAAGAAGAGAGGCACAAAAATTATGATATGGAGTACAAAACAATTACTAAAGCGAGAAAGTGAGAAATTATGTAACATCAGCGTCTCGTGTTTTACCTGCATTTTTGCGTTTTCTGTGTCAGAATTGCTCTCATTCGATGGTTTTCTCGAAGATTATCAAAATGCAATGTAATTTTAGATAGATTTGGATGTCTTCGACGTCGTTTGAAAATATTAGAAATGCAAGAAATCAAATTTATCTTGAAAAATTCGTGGGTAGAAATTTCAAAAGTCGATTTTTGATAGTTTTCGCCATCATTTTCGTTCTGCTGGTATTGAAAATCGATATTTCATTAATTATATTTAATTAAAATTCATTTTAAAAGCCATTTTTATTTGTTGGGCATAATTTTGTGTGGTAAAAAATATGAAATATGAAAGCAAATCTTAGCGAATAATTCTAAATTCTGAATAGAATTATTGAAATTACATGAAATATTCATTATTAGCAGAAAAATCTCATAATTAGGAACGATTGAGCAAAAAAGCACAAAGAAGACTCTAAAAAACCTTCTTTTTGCACTTATTATCATGAGTTTTTCAATCATTTTAGTTAATATTTCAATAACTGACCACTGAAATCAACTGAAAGTTGCAGAAAATAATTGCAATTGATCAATGTTATGAATTTAATGGAAGATTTAAAGGGGATTCCTTTCCGTGTGTTTAGGATACGGTCGTCGGGAGATTGTGGAGTATTTGCTGGCCAATGGCGGGTCGATTCAGGCGCGCGACGAGGGAGGACTTCATCCGCTGCACAATTGCTGCAGCTTCGGGCATGTGGACGTCGTGCGGGTGCTGCTGGAGGCCGGAGCGAATCCCAACATCAAGGACAACTGGAACTACACGCCGCTGCACGAGGCGGCGTGCAAGGGGAAGGTGGACGTGTGCATTGCGCTGCTGCAGCACGGCGCGGATCCGAACATAAGGAATTCAGAGAACAAGACTCCGCTGGACTTGGCGGACGCCGTCACGCGGCCCGTGCTGACGGGTGAGCATCGCAAGGATGAGCTGCTGGAGGCGGCGCGATCGGGCAATGAGGAGACTCTCCTCGCCCTGCTCACGCCGCTCAACGTCAACTGCCACGCGAGTGACGGACGCAAGTCGACGCCGCTGCATCTGGCGAGCGGCTACAACAGGATCCGCATTGTGAAGATTCTGCTGCAGAATGGAGCGGATGTCCATGCGAAAGATAAAGGGTGGGCAAATGTGATAAGCCATCGTGAGATATTGGCTGACAAATTGTCTCTCCTTCCAGTGCTCTCGTGCCGTTGCACAATTCCAGCTCTTATGGCCACTTCGAGGTGACGGAGTTGCTGCTGAAGCACGGCGCGCACGTGAATGCAAATGACCTGTGGGCTTTCACGCCACTCCACGAGGCCGCGTCCAAGAGTCGCGTGGAAGTGTGCAGTCTGCTGCTGAGCGAAGGAGCCGATCCGACGCTCCACAATTGTCACAGCAAGTCGGCGATTGATTCAGCGCCAACGAGGGAATTGCAAAACAAAATTGCCTGTGAGTCCATTTATTGTCTGTATTTTTGGCTCACTTGTGGGTGGTTTTTTTCCTTATCTTACCGCGAAGAGGCAATTGTAACTGTATACACAGAGAGTTTTGCGGTGAAAATATGGGAGAACTTTCATTGCAAATGACCAGCAGAAAATGTTGAATTAATTGGCTATTTTCACTCTGTATTTCTGTATTTCTTGCAGATGAATACAAGGGGCATTGTTTGCTCGACGCTTGTCGCCAATCGGATATTTTGCGCATAAAGAAGAACCTCAATTCCGACACTGTGAATTTTGCACATCCATATTTGGGCGAGACGCCTCTCCATGCCGCTGTGCGGTCGGTGTCGCCGAAGCGGAAGCAGGTCATTGAGTTGCTCATCAAGAAAGGTGCCCTCTTGAATGAGCGCAACACAGAGTATCTCACGCCTCTGCACGTGGCCACGGAATTGTCGCACTACGATGTGATGGATTGCCTTCTGAAATATGGTGCCAAAGTGAATGCTCTGGATGGATTGGGTCAGGTAATGGTTGATTGCTCTCTTTGGTGGCTTCATCTCTTCATAATTCAAGCATTTGTTGATTGTTGCTCTCTTCCAGACTGCGCTGCATTTGTGTGCCAAGCAGGGAAATATTCAAGCGTGCCGGATACTCTTCACATACTCAGTGGATGCAACGATAGTGTCACTACAGGGATTTACTGCTGCCCAGCTGGCGCCTGAGTGCATGGCCAACATCCTGCGTGATCCGCCGTCCACGGATTTGGAGATTGAATTGCTGGAAGCGGCCAAGACCGGTGATCTCATGACTGTTCGTCGAATTATAATCTCCCATCCGGAGATGGTGAATTGCCGTGATCTGGATGGGAGGAACTCCAGTCCACTCCACTTTGCGAGTGGCTTCAATCGAGTTCCTGTTGTTGAATTCCTCCTCAAGCACGGCGCAGAGGTTCATGCATCTGACAAAGGGTGAGAAAGTTTTGTTGATTTCAATGAAGAATTCCTCTCTTTAATGCTCTTTGTGCGCTTCTTCTCCAGTGGTTTGGTGCCATTGCATAATAGTTGCTCTTATGGGCACATCGAAGTGACTGAGCTGCTGCTGAAGCACGGCGCCAATGTGAATGTGGCGGATTTGTGGAAATTCACGCCACTTCACGAGGCCGCGGCGAAGGGGAAGTATGAGATTGTGAAGCTACTGCTGAAGCACGGTGCTGATCCCAATAAGCGCAATCGTGACGGAGCCACTCCGTTGGATCTCGTGCGTGAGGGTGATCAGGATGTGGCTGATCTGTTGCGTGGCAATGCGGCACTCCTGGATGCGGCGAAGAAGGGCAATTTGGCGCGTCTTCAGCGTCTCGTCACGCCGGAGAATATCAATTGTCGTGACTCTCAAGGGAGAAATTCATCGCCGCTGCATTTGGCGGCGGGATACAATAATTTCGAGGTGGCGGAGTATCTGTTGGAAAATGGGGCTGATGTGAATGCTCAGGACAAGGGTGGATTGATTCCACTGCACAATGCTTCCAGCTTCGGGCACATGGACATTGCGGCTCTGCTGATAAAGCACAACACCAAAGTCAATGCCACGGACAAGTGGGGCTTCACGCCATTGCACGAGGCGGCGCAGAAGGGGCGCACGCAACTCTGTGCACTGTTGCTGGCTCACGGGGCGGATTCCTATGTGAAGAATCAGGAGGGACAGACGCCCATTGAATTGGCCACGGCGGAGGATGTGAAGTGTCTGCTGCAGGACGCCATGACGGCCTCAATTGCCACTCAACCATCGCAATCCAGCGTTTCTGCCGTCGCGCCCATGACAAATGTCGCCAGCAATCAGGCCACAATGATTTCGCCCATCACGGAGACTGTGACTCTGCCCACTGGCGCGTCGATGACACTGTCGATTCCCGTGCCACAGATGGCGAGCAGGGGATCACTGAGTCCGCCACAGGGAGCGGAGAACAACGCTGATCCCGATCTGGATGTTCCTGAGCAGTCTGTGCAGGAGTCGATCAACACAGTGGCGGGATTCCTGTCGGGTCTGCAGCTCGATCATCTGGTGGATTTGTTCGAGAGGGAGCAAATCACGCTGGAGATACTCGTGGAGATGGGTCATGAGGATCTTAAGCAGATTGGCGTGTCTGCGTATGGATTCCGCCACAAGATCATCAGAGGGATTGCCAAGTTGAGAGCGACGACAGGTGAGAAGAATTTGTCAGTTGTTTGTTGAATTCTGCTCACGCGCACGTTTTCTTTGCAGGATTGGGACTCACGCCGAGTCCCTTCACACTCCTGGTGGATCTCCTGCCGGACGACAAGGAGTTCTTGGCTGTGGAGGAGGAGATGCAGGCCACAATTCGTGAGCATCGTGATAATGGTCAGTCCGGCGGATACTTCAATCGCTACAACATCATCAGGATCCAGAAGGTGCAGAACAGAAAGCTGTGGGAGCGCTATGCTCATCGGCGGCAGGAGATTGGCGAGGAGAACTCCCATCAGGCGTGCGAAAGGATGCTCTTCCACGGCAGTCCCTTCATTAATGCCATCGTGCAGAAGGGCTTCGATGAGCGTCACGCGTACATTGGCGGCATGTTCGGCGCGGGCATTTACTTCGCCGAGCACAGCTCGAAGAGCAATCAGTACGTCTATGGCATCGGCGGTGGGATTGGATGCCCGACGCACAAGGACAAATCCTGCTACTTGTGCTCCAGACAATTGCTGCTGTGTCGCGTGGCGCTGGGTAAATCTTTTCTGCAATTCAGCGCCATGAAGATGGCTCACGCGCCTCCTGGTCATCACTCAGTCATCGGAAGGCCGTCCGCTGGTGGTCTGCACTTTCCCGAGTACGTGGTTTATCGCGGAGAGCAGGTGAGTCACTGAAGAGTTGTTCTTAAGCATTCTCTGCTCACAATCCGTCCTTCTCTGCTCTCTCTCTCTCTTCAGGCTTATCCGGAGTACTTGGTGACATATCAGATTGTGAAGCCGGAGGACACGTCGAGTGGCACGGAGGAGGCGACGAGTTGATGGACAGTGAAGCCAGTGCAAGCGGCGGCGGCGGACAGGAGAACCACGACGATTAATCTGTGTCGCAACAAGCTCAACCACTTTCTCGTCGTCACGCCGGCCGTGTCAATTGAGCCGTACACGAAGGGTCACGCGCACGTGTGCGACACGCAGCTCATCTCCACGGACGCGATGGACAATCGGGAGAACAACAATGTGTCCCCGAAGCGCTGGTGCTCGTTCATCTGCGCCGCCGTGCGCTGCTTCGGCGACGCGCCGCACACGCAAACGCGCCTGGCGAGGCCGCATCGCTATCGCCTGGCCGCGCCCGAGGGCAACGGCTTCTACGTGGCCAAGTCGCGCGACAAGAACCTCAACATCACGTATCAGTTGTGACGCCTGACATCTTGCCCAGACGCTCCCGCCCGCAGTGATTGGACGTGATTCCGGGACACGCGAGCGTGCGTGTTTCGGTTACTCTAAGATTTTACTTTGTCTGTAATTTAGCTGTACTTCCCCATGAATGTAGGATTGCAATTCACCGATTACACGTCATTGCCGAGTTCTGCATTAAAAGAATGGCCGTAAAAAGAGGATTTTCTCATTTTTTCTCCTTCGCTCTGGCGGCGGGGAAATTCAATCAAATTCATCGCGAGTCGATTTGAATTTGTCTATGAATTTCGCCCGAATTCGCCGCGCACTGCGTTTTTGCTGCAATTCTCGTGACATTTCGGCATGGCGACAGTTTTGTGGTGACCATGAAATGATATACTCTGTTTTCTCCGCAAATACTCACTCTTATCCTGAAGAATCTCACTTTCTACCTGTTCAACGACACTTCTCCACATTTGGGGTGAGTTTTTGCATAGAATTGATTGCTAAACACTTCGCCATACTTGTTGTATTTCTTGTTAGTAAATCGGGTGATTTTTTGCGAAATCCCCTGAAGAATTGCACACACACACAAAGTGACTAATCCTTGAATGTGCGGCTTAATTGTTGGCAGGGAAACTTTATGAATTGCCGATGTGGAAAATGTGTGAAAATTGGAATGCCACTTATGTGGAAATCAAGAAGAAGCACGATGAGGCCTACAACATCGTCCAGGATGCCTGCAATGAGGATGTTAAGGAGAATCTCGAGGTGGTGAGTGGGAAAATTGCTTTTCTAATTGAGTTAAAAGCGAAAGGAGAAACCCTTTTTCTCAGAACTCATCAGGTAATTACAGAGAGGGATTTTAAGAGACAAAATGCCTTGTTTCAGGCACTGGAGAAGTACAGAATCGGACTTGAGGCTATAAATGCCGTGTTGAGTATCATCGTCTGTTGCCCTGAACCGGCTGACAACACCTGGAAGGATGCCATGAAGATGATTAGGAATGTGAGACAGGCAAAACCGGCAGTTGAGAAGCGCATAGACTCGCTCGTGAGGTATTTCGATGAGAAGAGGCTGAAGGAGGGACACCCGACGGTGTATTCTGAGCTCGTGAGGACTCTGAAGGAGCTGAAGAGTTCTCCCGAGGACACAGAGATGATCCGCGAGCTGGTGTTCTGCTGTGAAAATGTCAAGTTCTACACCATCAAGCAAGATGGCACAGTGACACTCACGATGGACAACACTGTGCTGGAGATCTGGAAGTACACGAAAGTCACGCCGGAGGCGAGCTCCAATCACGGCACATTCTGCCTGCAGGTCATGAAGACTGCGGCGCCTGTTCTTGCCACTGTGATGAATGGACAGGAGATCGCCGACAATCCACACCACACAGACATTCTCCTCACTTATCCTCTCCTTCCTGGCGTTTCTCCGTGCTTCCGGACACGCTTTGGTGCTATAATCCTTCCGGACTTGGGGGCGCCGCCAAGTGCAGACGCCACAGTGGGAATTGAAGTTGAAGGACCACCGGATGAGGTGTTGCTGGAGATTCTCGATGAGATCCTCAAGTGTGTCTACAGACAGCCGGAAGATGAGCCGAGCAAGCGCGCGCCACGATCGCTGGCGATGACGGAGAAGATGACCAAAGGCGCTTTCTACATCTCCCAAGGCCTCATTCGCGGCTCCCAGAAGACGGGCGAGCTCATCACCTACACCACACCGTATCTCATCTCGCGCATGGCCAAGGCGCCCCTCAGCGCCCCGCCAGTGTCCACGGGCGTCCGCACGAGCGTGGAAGTGGCCAAGACTGTCACCGGCACGGCGGCCTCCGTCACGGGCTTCATGGCGCAGAAGCTGGGCTCCGCCACGATGGCGCTGGGGCGCTTCATTGCGCCGCGTCTGCAGGAGCAGGGCTCGCGCCTGCTGTCGCACAGCCTGGGCATGAGCCAGGCCGACGCCACGGAGAAGGTCTCCGACGCCCTCACGGTGGCCGCGGGCGCCGTGGAGGCGTTCAGCACGGTCTATCTGGGCCTCGAGGAGTCCGCCTCGATCCTCGGACGGAGTCTCAGCAGCAACTCCGTCAAAGTGATTGAGCACAAGTACGGCCCGAGCGCCGCCAATCTCGCTTCCAGCACCTTCGAGACGGCGGGAAATATGTTCGCGCTGAGCCAGAATGTGAAGCTGATGACGCCCAAAGGATTGGCCAAGAAGACGGCCAAGAGTGCCGGCAAGGCGCTGGTCGAGGACTTCCAGCCCCAGAGCGGTCCATCGCGAGTGGATTAACGTCTGAATCTCAGCATCGGAAATCTCACAGGGAAGCTTATGTTAAAAGGCTGTTTAAGAAGGTGTTTGTGGAAAGTTTCAAGAGGAAATATATTTTTGCAGCCATTCTGGAAACTTTAGAGACAGAAAAAATTTCGTTTTTCATTGAAAAGTTCCTTCCTTGATCCATTAAATTGGCAAAATTCCACATTGACGGATGAATTGAAAAGTATGGAAAGTCAAAATCGCCATTAAAATCATTTCGAAATTTGTTAAATTCATTCAATGGAGAATATTACTTTCCAAAATCGACTTTTCATGAGTTTTCGCGTAGATTTTATCAACTTTTCATACTTTACATAATTTTTTTTTCAAAGTTTTCAAGCGGAAAAATTAAAAAATATGCCAAATATTATATTCATTCAAAATCTAAGAACATTTTAGGAAGTTTGTCATAATTTTCCTTTAAAAAATCACGTTGAATAGTAGATTTTTGGTAGTTTCCGATTCCATCGTCGATAATTAACGGTTTTGGCTGACAAAAGGTAACACAAATTTCGCTATAATTCTTCTTATGTGTGTTTTGTGATGTATATATTTAAAATAATCGTTTATTTTGTAACAGAATTACACTGGGTGCGAATAAAAGTCCCTAAAATTCTTTTCATGTTCTTCTCAAAAGTATGTTTTCTTCTTCTTTTTCGTGCACTTTTCGCTCACCTAAATAAATGCCGAACAATTTTACATTTTATCTCCTTTCAAAATGTTATAAATAAATGTTGTGTTCCATTTTCCAAGATAATCAAATAGCTTCTTTTTGTTTTATCTCAAATTGAATGTCACACGAAGAAATCAATTAATTTTTACTCAGTTTTTTTCCATCTTTTATATATAATGAACTACCTACATGAACCTTTTTTTCTGTACATATTCAATGATTCTCCTTGTCTTCCTTATCAATATAGTTTCAACATTGGATGACGCCTAAGAATCTTCCTTCCAATTATCAATTTGTGTATAATTGTTTTCCAAATTTCATACGCCTTTTTCTCACTCTAAAAACGCCCTAAAACACTAAGTGTGTGTGTGTTTGTGTGTTGCTAAATTCCTGTTTCTGCTGCTTGCAAATCTCCTGAAATGCCTTCTTATTTATAAATAACGCTTGAGAGGGAAGTTTTCACAATTTTTTTTCTCTTTTTACGGAATTCAATTAATCTTCGTGATGAAACATTGACAGCTTTTTCTCTTTTTTTTGAACATTTTTCTCCACAAAAAACTCTTTCATTCTAACAAGTATTTAATGTTTTACTTCTATTACATTTTTTTTAGTTATGATTGAAATATCTGGCAAATCTGCTTTTGGAATCAAGTTCTCTACTTTTTTTTCTTAAGATTTACATTATTTCGCGCTTTCTCAAATTTGTCGCGAAAACATCTACCAAGAAAAAAACGACCATTTATTTTCTTTTCTTCTCTCAATTTTCCTGCGTGTGTGTGTTTTGAAATAATCTTCATCAGTGCGCGATTTACTTCTTTTTTTTTTCACTCTGCTTGGCACTAATTTATACAACTTTTTGCGTCAACAGAAGAGAAAAACAGAAAGAGACGGAAAAATAAATGATGTACAAAAGAGGGAAAAAAATCATTATCAGGAAAGCAAACAAGGACTTAAACTTCTAATGTGAATTTTCGTGGAAAAAAAGAGACTCACACAATTACTGTAAAAGAAACTCTCATCGGAATTTATTACAGGGCTTCACTTAATGAGATAATGCAATTATTATATAAATATATATTTATAGAAAATTACCTAAAGATGAGACAACCCAGAAATGTGTTTTCTTTATCCTCCAAAATCACTATCATTTGCATCCATAAACTGTACAAAATTGGGAAACTTAATGGATTATTTAGTCGTTCTTCAAAGTTCGTTTGCTAAATGTGTAAAAATCTACTGGGAAAAAAGATTTATTATAATTTTCTTTTGCATTCCGACGACAATCTTTCATGCGTCTTAACATCAAACTTTTCTGTTTTCTTTTTTAAGAGTATATAAAAGCATTGTGTGGTTGGAAAAGATAATATATAAAAACAAAGATCACTAGAAAAATTGGGATTTAGAATTAAAAGTAAACTATTAAACTTTCGTTTCTCTAAGATTTCTACCCTAAAGAAATAAAAGAAGCTCTCCTATTGATTACGAATTTTCACAAATTTCCTGCTTCATCGACAATCCACTCTTTTATCCCATAATTTAGAAGATAGAGAGAGAGAGAGAGAGAAAGAACTTATACTAAAACGAACGCTATCGTAAAAGCGACTATTGTATTGTTAAAATTAGTAGAGCGCTCTGAGGTGAAATGATTTCTCACACTCTTATTCATCAATTACAATTCTCAATTTCGTCGGTGCACATCGAATATTTTTGCTTTTCCTCCTCTTCTTCTTCTTTTTGTCCATCGCGCGCTAATTCGTGTGTCTCCTTTTCCAGAGTGCGAGAGAGACGACAGAGGAGTAAAATGGATGTAAGAGATCATTCCCAGATGTCAACGCTGATTAACGCTAATGCTCCATGAGAGATGCTGCGGAGAGAAGAGTCAGAATGTCAGCAAACAGTTCATAATTACACACTCTTTCCACACTCAGAGAGACAAAGAAGACATTCTCGAACCAAGAAATGAATATTCTTGTAATTAATCCCCAAAAGAGGTCGAGAAATTATCGTCAAGCGTCGTTGCAACTTTACTTTCATAACATTTTAAATAAACTGTCAAGAATATGATTTCACATAAGATGTTGCAAGATTTACGATTTATATCATCTACTAATGTCTTGTGAAGACAAGAAAAGGCACAAAATTAACGTGAAAACCGAGAAAATAAACAATATTGATCTTTTTAGGTTAATTAGAACAATTTGATAGGATTTTTCGAGTAATTTGTGCACTTTTCAATGCACAAGATTGAGTTTATGTATTTCCAAATATCCTTCAACCCTTTTCAAAAGCAAACTAATTGGTTTTCCAAAGCATTTTCAAGTACATAAAAAGCTATATTTTATTTCATTCCATTCCAGATGTTTTGGCAGCTGAAATTCGTATTAAATAAACTCCCAAATTTGTCTTGCAACGCCTTATCAACTGAAATACGAAATCTGTAATGTTGCAACGACCAAAAATCAAGTCGATTTCGGTGTGAAAACATATTAAGAAGAGGTTATTTTAATAATTAGTCCATTTTCAGCCTTCTCTGCTTAAAATCAAGACGAAAATCTTCCTTAATCGGTTTCTAACGTCGAAATCAACTCAATTTAAGCGCGATTTATCTCTCAGTGTTCACAAAAAAAGGCTAAACTCACGTGATGGACTCCTATTGGAAGTGCTTTCCGGCGGTGTGTAGTTGAGGAAATCCCATATGAGAATGGTGTCATCATGAGAACTACTCACTATTTGGAATTCATCAAATTGCAGTCGAAAGACGCGACCAGTGTGTTCCTGCAAAGCATCGGAGGATCATAAATTGGAGATAAACATGAATTTGAAGAGGAAAAAACATACCACGAGTGTCTTCAAGCACAATGAACTTGTCTGAGCACGTGGATCTAAGGCCGCCACCAAATCCCACACTTTTATCTTGCCATCGTAAGCTCCACTCACAATCCGCTTCGAATCAAATCGAATGCAGCGCACCAACTCTTCGTGTCCCTCCAGGACGCGCAGACAAGCTCCGCACTCAATATCCCACAATCTAACCATAGAGAAAGCAACACCAGGATTACAAATCACGCACTCTTTTCGCCCTTTCACATTCGCTCACCTTATAGAATTGTCCGAACTGCCGCTGACCACCAATCTATCACGATACTGCAGACACGCAATGCCCCTCTTGTGACCATTCAGCGTGCGCACGAATTCACACGTCGACGTGTTCCACACTTTGATCGTACGATCGCCAGACGCCGACACGATGTACTTCTCATCGAAGTCCACCACATTCACGGCGGCGCGATGTCCAACCAGAACACGACGAAGAGTGATTTCGCCCGGTGATGTCATATCCCAAACCGCTATTGATCGATCCTGCAAGACAGAAAAACACTCAATTTACCATGGAATCAAATATCCAGCTTTCGCTTTCTGGCATATAATGTTGTCAAATTTACACCGCAAACTATCGAATTTCTCGCCCAAAAAAGTGATTTATCAAGCACAATTTGTGCTAATATTTTGACAAGTGAATTGAAAACTCTAAAAAGCCAAAATCGCAATTTTTCAGCACAGCGAGTTCAAAATTTAACACAAATACAGTAGCAAAATTTGCCAAATTTACTTCAAAACCCTCAAAACGTCCTTTAAATCGTTCGTTAGAGTACAAATATTGCTCAGTATTAATTATTTCAGTTGATTTTATTGGTATTTCTTAAAATTTCTGACTAAAATAAGTCAAAATAAATAGAAAAACTGAAAATATTATATTCCAAAGTCGATTTTATCCAAAAAAAGTTCTAAAAAATCAACTTTTCATACTTTATTTGAACTTTTCTTTAAAGTTTCAAGTGAAAAGAATTTAAAATATATGAGAAATATTCATTCAAGGTCTAAAAAACATTTTAGGATCATTCTGAAAATTTAAGATAATTTTCTGTAAAGACATTTTATACATTTGACTGCAATTTGGCATAAACAAAGAGTAGTCGACTTTTCTTTTGTAAAACATGATAATTTTTTTCAAAATTTTCGTACAGGAAGAACAAATAAAAAGGCTTTTCAAAAATACATAAAGAGAAAAACTATGATTAATTGACTTTTCATAGTTTTCGATTAACTCGTTGATTTTCAAACAGAATTTGAAGTAAATTTTACTGCAAAAGCAATAAAAAAAAGTCTTAAATTATACTAAAATGTCACTTTTTTGCTTCAATGATTACTGAATTCTATAAAGATCACAAGAATTGAGTGAAAATAGTGTGATTTTAATAACCACAGCACAAAAAAAAGAACACAATTGCGCTATTTATCGATCAAAGCGCAATAAAGGTCAAGAATTCAATTAAAGCTAAATGGCAAATTGTATTGCAGTCTCCACACAATTTTTTCATGATTTAATAATAGTCACAGAGTCACGCGTCAGTGAAAGAACTCTCGCGCTCGCGAGATGAATGAATTCCTAATATTTTATCCATTTATTTATTTATTTGTTGCTTACGCATGGCGTGAGATGCGTGATGTGGCAAAATGTGTGCTCAAAAAGCCTTTCTGTGATGAGATGTGCAATGCAATTCACTCTCCCTTCATCAACTTGTTGACTTACCTTGGAGCATGTGACCATCATGCCATTGTTGAATCGCAAATGTAAGACAGCTTCGCAGTGATGAATGAGCGTATTGACCATTTCACCGGAATTGACATCCCACACACGGACGGTAGAATCACTTGATCCACTTATAATGACTTTATCATCGTACTGAAGGCATAGCACAGATCCTGTATGGCCTGTTAGAGTCTATAAATAGAGCAAAATGGAGCGACATTAGCATTTTGTGTGGAAAAAAGTCATCATCGAAACGCACCTTTACACATTTCAGATCACTTCTGTCCCATATCTTAATCGTATTGTCCCTCAAGCCAGACACTATTTTGTTGTCGTCATACTGCAGGCAGTAGACGCCCTTGGAGTTCTCCGAGCGACAGTTGATGCGCCTCAGCATGTGCCGTCCAGAGCGCCAATTGCTCTCTATGCTCTCGATGTCATTCATGATCTTGGGAAACAGCGCCCTGTAGAATGAGTGCTGCCGATGCGTTGTGCCCGGCCTGGGCTTGAACAGATATTGAATCCATCCGCGTCTCTCGGCCAAACCGCGCCACAGTGAATCCGTTCGCACCTTGCGCTCAATCAGCTTCTTCCACAGCATTCCCTCAGAGATGACACGCAGCCACTCTTTGCACACCAACTCGGCCGCCTTCAGCGAATCCGCATCCAAGTACGATAAGATGTTCTCCGCAATGTGATCCAGTCCCTTTTCTGCAAAATCATTATTTAATGTGATTATTAATTTCACTCTTCAACCATTTGGCGAATCTTGAATAAACTCACTTGGCAACAAAGAAATGAAGTCCCTCTGGAGCATCGGCTTGAGAAATGCATTGATATGCCCATGCTGATAGTGACACATTCGGGACAGCAGTTGTTCGACGAAATCCACTTGATCTGCTTCGTTCCATTTCAAGAAGTACGTTAGGCAGGTTTCTCGTTCACTCTGAAATGTCGGTGATGGTTCTTTTTTCCTCGCCGGATCATACAGAATCATCGAAGTGTACTGAAAAAAAAGAAAGAAAAGTAAATAGCAAAAGACAATTAGCCTCCTTTCTTTCTCTCTTTCTCTCTCTCTCTGTCTTCCGCCAAATTCTACACACTCTTCTTCACACCACCTCTCAATATCTACTCTTTTCCTCTCTTTCTCTCTTTCTTTCTTCTGTGCTTGCACAAAGAAAAAGACACAATTTAAGTCTTCTAGTCGAATGACAGGGAAAAAGTTAAGAATGTCATTTTCATGATAATATTAAGTCGAATTTCTATTCACTGTTCTTACAGAATAGGGGAGAGAGGGGCAGAATGAGACAAGGATAAATTCAACACTTGAAATGCCGAGGAATAAAACAACCACACAATCAAAGGTCTTTTCAGACTACATTAGCATAGAAAATTGAACTTGATTTACGTATTTTCATGCTTTTCTTACAAGAATTGAAGAAAATGAGTTTTCTCCCCTCAAAGTGTCCCTGCTAATGTGTCTTTGCTACAGAAACCAAAGAAAACCCGTAAGTTTTCTTATGGTGAAAACACAGCATTTGTCATTTGTAATTTGTTCACGAACGTCTCTTTCTTCCCCACGCGAATCGTGTATTTTTCTTCCTGTTCACGACATTTCTATGTCGAGTGTGTGCCTGCAGTTTTCACGTTGGGCAACCCGCGCTGAATTTGAGTTTGACGTGTCTGACAATGCGCTTGCTGTCAAAATGGTCAAAATAGACAAATTTCATATGGAAAATCGAGAAAATCGTCAAGGAAATGAATTTTAGTGGGGAAAAAAACTCAAAAATTAATTGATTTCGTCCATAATGAGCCATAATTGTGGAGAAAATCGGATTGTGTGAAGGCGCCAAAAGTTGATCTGCAGACCAAAATTCTGAAGGGAATCTGACGGGACCGAGCCGAGATGGTATGAGCAAAATGCTGTGTTTTCACAGCACACACATGAAATAATGTTCTTCAGTCATTGAAAGACTTTCCTTTGTTATTTTCTCAGGATTACACTTTAAAAATGACTCAAAATTGCAGGGAAAATGTGCCCCAAAGTGGGGCAGTTTTGTACAAAATGCAGTGAAATGGAAAACCCTTGGAATTTTCTATGCTTCGTCAATTTTCATACCAAACTGCCCCGATCTCCTCTATATATTGACTTTGTCACTCAAGATTCACACAAACACACATTAATATTATTGCTCTCAAAATCTCTGTAGCAGAATTAAATTACACAATTTAATCCTCTCAGATAAGAATTGCATTTTGACCAACACATTCAACTCAATTTCGATGCATCGCGTCACATATTTTATCATGATATTCATTACTATTTTGTGTCCCTTGAGCAAATCCACGTCCACGGAGATTTGTAATAGAAAGAAAAGCTCCTCTTTGCGCGTCTTTCTTCCATTATCGCGCAATGTAGAAGTCAGACATCATCATGTCTCTGGCATGTGCATGACTAATGCGCGACTTCAATGAACTGTAAAGCGACAGTCCATGAAGAATTAACATGTGTTAGCTTCGCATTAAAGTGGTTGTAGTGACAAAAATGATTTTTCACCAAAATATTTCACGTATTTTATCATGAGAGAGTAAAAAAAAAGAGGAATCCAAATTCTCTCTGTGTTCATCATTAAAATGCGCAAGTGAATTTTTTGGCACACGTACAGTTAATATAGAAAGCGAACAACACATCAAAATGTAATTCAACACAATGTATTTAGGAGACTTTAACCCTAATTAGAGGCTTTGATATGAAAATAATTGTCCATCACAGTTTAATGATATTTATGACTTTATAGAATCACCCAAATTACACACATTTAACTGTCATTTTCTGCCCCTTTTCTTGCTCCATTGATGTGATTTATAATCGCTCCGTCAAAATAACATCTTGAAATCTTCATGCACAAATCTGAACAATAGAATTGCTATTTTACCGAGTTATTGCAAGATCACTTCATGCACAAAATTCATTTAGTTATTTCAACAAAAATCTATTACAAGGTTGTGAACCTTTACCAACAGCATTTAAGTGCGCTTCTCTCTTACGAAAGGCTGATAAATAAAAACTTATGATGTTGAGTTGTGTAAAATATCGCCAATGAGACGTAAACAGCAGTGTTAAAATTGCAGCATTACTTTGTGCCTTCATATCCGGTCAGTTTTGTGGACTTAAAGCTCTTCTGTCGCCATGCAATTTCCATTATTTCCCCCCTCTTTTTCATCAATTATTACTTATTGCCAATCAATTCTACACACAAATTCATCAAACTCTCTGTGTGATCCACTTTCAAGCTATGCTAATCACCGGAAGATTACTTCCTCTTCTTCATCTTTTGCTCTCCATTTCAAATCCTCAGCAAGAAATCAGTGGCAAATCTCAAGTAAATAAGACTGTTTTCATTACTCTTTCACTTTACAGATTAACATCGTCTCTGTGGTGGTAATTTATAACACATTGGCGCAGTCTGCAAATCGATCTTGGCGAATTGCAACTAAACACTCGTGTTTTGGTCACCACAAGTCAGTAGCTGACCTCTGACTTTCCCTCTCATCCCTCTCTCACTTCGCACCCAAAGGGCAACTCAATCTTGTTGCAGAGGAATAAACACAGAGAGAGAGAGAGAAGAAATGAAGAAAATTCATTCACATAATCCACCCATTTGTGGGCATTAACATCAACTCTAAAAACCCTCAATGATTGCAAACTCTTTCACAACATCTCTCAAACAAAACGTAAATGAATTTATTTATAAAATAAAAAAACTCTTTCGCTCTTTTCCATTTTATTTATATGTTATTATTTCCCTTGAAGAAGCTTATTTACCTCACCTTCATCATTCTCATTGTGTGTGTGTGTGTATCTTTGCGAGCCCAGCAAGACCATTAAAATGAAGTGAAATAATAGAGGGGTAAATAGCATTGAGTCAACGCTGCTGTGCGCCATGCGGTTTGTTGCACCTTGCAGGTCTTGTGAGCGCTTTGTGTACAATTAAAAAATAATTTGACTTTGCGAGAAAATTGAGAAGAAAAAAAATTAAAAACCCTGAATTATGCATTAAGAGTTTTTCTTCACTATGGCGAATTATTTGCCACAGTAAAGCACAGAATAATTTCAGCAAATTGAACATTTCTTCACACTTCCCACAATTCCCTCTGCTTAATGTCCGGAAAGGTGCCACAAATATTGTTCTCATTCTTCCTCGGCCTTCGCATGAAGACACAGAGAGACAAGTTGACGATGAATCTCATCGACAGCAACACAATTGATAGTAAAAATTACGTCCAATAGGAATATCTCGAAGGACAGCGAGTTGGAATCTCACGTGATTTACCGGAGAATAAGAAAGCTGGAATTGCAGAGACAGTTTCACGTGTGTGGAGATCAAAGAACTGTTGATAGAAAACCGTCGAAAACCTGCTGCGGATTCTGAGTAAATTAACGGATCATCGGTCTGGACAGAGAGAAGTTGTCGATCTCACTGCCAAGAGACTCATCGAGAGGCGCGAGAATCTCTTGCCCAATGTTCGATTGATTGCGGTGGCGTTTTTTTTCATTGTGTGTCGGAGCAACAAAGAAGCGACGCTCGACACCTTCGGGCCAGCGAGAGCGTCAATGGGTCGCTCTCTGGCCGACTCGCCCCAGATGCCATCGCCCGGAGCCTCGGCTGGGCGGACAACGGGGGCGCCGAGGGGGTGAGACGATGCTGTGCCAAATATCGAGGGTCACCCACACTCCGAAATCACGGGTGTCCCAATTAAAATGTGATGCACGAATTGCGCCAACTGCAATCGCCCATCGGCCACTTTGGCCCCGTTTCCGTGGCAATTTCGCTCATGGATTTTTGTGGATAGAAGAGAGGCGCCCCACAAATTGCAGGCGGACAAGAGCGCGAGAGAGTTGGGAAAAGGCTGAGGAGGAAAAAACAGAGCGAGAGAGGACAAGAGTAGTCGAACAAAAATGGCGTATGCGAGAGTGCCACAGCTGAAGTGCCACCTCTTGCACACCCTCCACTTTCACAGCCCCTGGCTTCACCATTACCTGTGAATTGCTGTTCGAATCGTCCATTATTTTGTCCGTCTCCATTTTCATCATCTCTCGTGTCACACTGGTGAGCAGAGGGAATGGATTTCAACGTCTCTTTTTCACCTCCGCCACTGAGGGCAGCGCTCTGCCCAAGAAATGTCTCCGCGGTGTCTTCTTGCACAATTTTCACCACTTTCTCCACGTCCACGCACTCACCAGCACCCACACTGACCGTTGGGCACCCCTTCCGGCTGACTTTCAGCACTTTTTCACGCTTCCACCAGCCTTTTTCCAGCACAAAACGACATGATTTGCGAAATCCTGCTCTGCGTGCGCTGCGCGACTACTCAACCTCCACTGCGCTACGTCAGCCCACCTGAACGTCAGCCGAAGTGTTATACGCCGCCAGCGCCACTCATTTCCCGATTCACCCGGTACAGCTGAATGCGAGAAGCGAATTTGATAAATGTGATTATCTCCAGATTTATCTTGCGTCAATTAAGAACATTTCTCAGAATCCAGTTGCTATCTGTGTCACAATTGGGATCAAAACCTATTTTTCAGGTATTTTGCAAACCAAAACACTGCATGCAGCGCCACCTGGCACAGAGATGTCACTTCTGTTATACAGATGATTGTGTAAATGGCGTCTGAGGAAGTCAGACAGTTTGCTCTGTTTATTGAAAAGCAAGTTCACTAGGTAAGTGAGAGGAATCCCACTACAATACCAGCTTTTATAGACGCACAGCACGACAAGCTTCAACGTTCTGGACAAATAGGAGAAGGAGTTGAAGGGTTCTTGGAGATTTTTTGCTGCTTTCAATCCGCTTGCAAACTTCACTCCGCCATCGAAGATGGGCGATGAAGAGAAAAACATTTGGCCAGACGATCTCAAGCAGCGCGAAGGTAGAGTATTTCATATGCAGTTTGTGCCGTGGTATTAGCTAATGTTTTGGGTGATTTGCAGAGCAATGGCATAGAAACGGAGCCTCTCCTGCGTCTCCGAGCAGGCACTTTGACAGAAAGCCGCCGTCGCCGCCAAATCCGCCGCCCACCGAGGGCGGCAGGGCGCGCAGCCGGAGTCCCAGTCGAGAGCACAGGAGGAGCAGGAGCTACAGTCCTGACCGCTATCGTCGGCGCCAGGACTCCTACGACTACCGGCGCAGATCAAGTCGACGCAGTCCGGAGAGACGGCGAGTCGGCCGGGATCGCTCGAGAGAGAGGAATCGGAGCCGCTCTCGCGGCAGGCGCGACAGGAGCCACTCTCGTGGGCGGAACAGGCGTGATTGGAGCCCCAAGGGGAGACGCTCTCCCCTTCGGCGACCCACCACGCCGCCGCCGCCCAACATCAACCAGGCTCCGCCGCCGCCTTACATCCCTCAGCCGCTCTACACTGACGGCTACAGCTACACGGCGCCAGTGCAGTACGGCCAGGCGATGCCTCAGCAGTTCGGCGGATATGATTTTCCCGGACAAGCGCCGCCGCAGCCGTACGTGCCGCCGTATCCGCCGCCGCCGCCCGTGCTGATGCAGCCCGGCACGCCGGGCGACAGCTTCGGCAACAATCCCTGGGGCGTGCCGCCGCCCATGTCCCGTCCGACAATGGCGCCCCAAATGCCCGCGCCGGAGTCTGAGGAGGACAAATCCAAGCGCGAAGGTGAGTTTGGCGAAGATTGTTTATTCCGTGTGTGAATTCTCTAATTGTCTTGTCTTGTCTTTCAGCTGCTGTTGTGCAGGAGATGAAGAATCAACGTGCGACGCTGAAGAAACAGCGTGAAGACTATCAGCGACGTGCAAATGCACTCACGCGTGAATTGAAGATTCTGAGAGAGCAAAGAAGCAAATTGGCGGCCGTCAATCAGCCTCACAGTCCAACATCGAGGAATTTCCTCAAGGAAAATGATCGTCTTCAGGTAAATACACAAAATGTGGCTTATTCAAGCTCTGTCCTTGCAAAAGGTATCAAACATTTACAGAGAATGGTCGATATTTTGTCGTGTTTTTAGTGAATTTTTTAATGAAATCGAAAGAAAATGAGCTGAAAAATGTTTGATGCCTTTTTGCCAAAAAGAAATTCCATAAGAATGCAATATCTTATCACTGAATCTTTTCTTTTTCTTGACAAAATAACCTTTTTTATTATTCACGACAAAGTGTGAATCAATTCTCAACTTTTTCACAGCATCACTGGTCATTTAAAGACTTTTCTTACAATAGTTGCAAATTAAAAGAAATCCCAGTGTTTCGCTATGTCGCGACATTGAATGGTCTCTTGGCGGTTGGATGATGAGAAATGGCGTGGAAAGAAAGAAGGTGTAGAAGATGAGATTGTGGGATTGAGACCCTCCATCGCTGGTGTGCGCACAGATGGCGAGATTCTTAGTTGTTAAGGACAATTTGTATGAGAAAAACTTTATGCGGCAATTGAGCATGTGACTTCAGCGGAAGCGCGCACAAATGATCTCCGATTTGAGGGGGGTTTTTGATGGTAAATCCGAATGGAATCTCTGTGCGTGTGTGTCGGCTGAAGACACATGAGCGTTGCCGGTGAAATTGTTCTTAGATGTTAAGGCAATAGATTGTAAGGATTTCTTCTGCCGATGGACACTCACGTCTGAATTGTGTGCAGTTTTGTCTGTAAATCCCTTCTCCTGGCCAGACGCGCATCATCACAGATGGTCTTCTCGAAGCTGCTGATCATCCGATTCTTTCTGTCCAATGTTCTCGTGTGTGCGTGAGTGTAGAAAATTACACCATGTCACGCACGTGGTAGAAAAGAGAACATCAAGAATCGTCTTCTTCTTCTTCTTCTTCTTCTTCTTCTCTTGGTGAAAGAGAGAAAAGTGTTGAAATGGCAAAATGGTTTGTCATTGCCGAAAAAAGGAGAGCCAATAAGTTACTATTCATTGCAATACACCAAATGAATTATTGTTTGATCTCTACTGATTTTATCTCTTTCTCTCTCTCTCTCTTTCTTCTCTCTCTTCGACGGTCATCGACACGCCAATGATAAAAAAAAACCATAAATATTGATAGTCCCAGATTCAGAATAAGCTAAGCACGATTGAGAATGTGATCGATATGCTGACGGGAATTATTGGTGTGGAGAAAACGCCATCGCCGCCATCATTGAGTATTTCATCAAAAGCTCCTTCAGCACGGGACAACGATTCCGATGAGAGTGAGCCGGAGAAGCTCAAGAGCAAGTTGATACAGAGTATGAAGAAGAATAGGAAAGAGAAGATTCCAGAGACAAATGTGTAAGTTTGTGTTTCTTTTCCATTTGCAAGGAGAAAAAAATGGAATTCAATCTCTGTCTTCCTTCACAGCTCTCGAGATAAGCTCGTTGATCCGGAGAAGAAGGTGAACTACGTGTTCTACGATCCTGAGATGCACTGGTGCGTCATGTGCAATGTCTTCCCGAAGACGGCGAAGGATTATCTGAATCATCTGCACAGCAAGGAACACATGGCGATAGCAAAGAACCAGGATTCACCGTGGCACGATATGCAACAAGCGGATGTGAGTGGAAAAAGACACATTTCCGTGTGATGAATTGAAGTTTTCACAAAGTATAATTGCAGGAATTCCCAAGCTATCCAAATGCCCCAACGAAGAGGACTCCAATTCGTGGTTTGCAGTTCTTTTCCGCCTCCACTGCGTGGTATTGCAAACTCTGTGCAATCTGGATGGGAGATCTTCACTGCGCCTCCACGCACTTGAAATCCAAGATGCACTCTGACAACTACACTGTGAGTTTCAACCCTAAATCCTCCCTGTTCATGGTGTCCTGATGCGCTTCCTTTCTCTCTCTCTCTCGTCAGGCTTATGCCGAGCAGAATCCTCACTTTGACATGGATTGGATGGCGGATCGTCAGAAGGCGTATAATGCATATCGGGAGAAGGTGACGTCGGGAAAGGCATCGCCGCTGATGCACGTGATTGCTCTGCAGCCGGACGATGATGCGGAGAGGATGGGGAAGAAGAAGAAGAAGAGCGATGGGAAGAAGGACAAGAAGAAGAAGAGTCGCAAGAAGCGTCGTCGTCAATCGACATCGTCATCATCGAGCTCGACTTCTTCGGACACGGAAACGGACTCAAAGTTGTCTCTGATGGATGCGAGTCTGGATGGTGTGACGGCGAATTCCATTCGTGTGTCGATGAGGAACATGAACAAGCCGGCAATGGCAATTCCCGATGATGACAATGCTGTTGGGAAGTGGACAATGGTGCAGCCGGCACAGATATCATCACAGACGCCCTTCGCGCCGCCGGCGCCGTCGATTTCCACTGAGGCGAAGAAGCGCGATGAGCTGATCATCTCACAGTGGACACCGGGACCGGTGATAAGTGACTCGGAGCGCAAATTGCTGGACGATTTGAAGGGGAAGCTGAAGAAGAGGTCAGAAACGGAGGTGAATGACGAGAGGCGTCGCTCGAAGAGTCCAGATCGACGGACGAGGCGTCGCTCGAGGTCACGCGGAAGGTATTCACGCAGCCGATCGCGATCCAGGAGTCCTTACTACAGAGGATACAATCGCGGCAGGCGCTCGGGCTCGCGTGGGCGGCGTGTGATTGAGAAGCCGGTGGTGAATTATCCGCCGGAGCCAAAGCGAAGTGTGGAGAAGAAGTCCAAGGGGAAGTCGGAGGGGAATGGCGAGCGCAAGAAGTCGCCACCGAAGAAGAAGCCAGTGACGAAGGGCAAACTGCCCTTCATCGGTCGAATGCCGGTGTTCAAGAAGCAAGTGGCGGCTGAGGATGCCGCCAAGCTGAAGGAGATTGAGGCCGAAGATGCTGCGGCTCTGAGTGTGCCAGAGACCAAGAAGACACCCGCTCAGGCGAATCTGGGCATGTCTCAGAGTGGCTCCACGATGGATGACGAGCTGATGCCGGATCCGACGCAGTTTATGGCTCTGATTGGGGCTGCGCCGATGCCGCCGATGCGTCAGCAGATGGAGAAGAGTGAGGAGGTTCTGCCGCCGGGAATTGACGAGGCGGAGGCCGATCAGGTGCCTAAGCCCATAAGTGATGCGCCGCGTCCGCGCAAGGGACCGCTGCCGAAGGATTTCCAGGATGCGCTGGACTTGATTTTCCCGGATGAGAATAAGAAAGTGGCGCCGAAACCCGCGGCGGACGCAAATCGTGAGATTGTGGACATGGACAGTGTGGCGGTGGAGAGTTCTGTGCCTGAAGTCACAGCTGAGGAGGCGAATCAGCCGGCCATCGGCATGTACGGGGCGTACGCCACGGCGTTTCCGGGCACTTCGGCGTATGCCGTGTACGAGGGACTTTCGGGTGCCATTCAGCAGGAGGGAATTGAGCCGCCGCCGCCGCCGATTGACATGGACACGGGCGATTCGCCAGACAACAGCATTCCTCATGTGGAGATGACCATCGATGAGAGCAAGACGTCGTCCACGAACAATATCGAATTGGACGATCTGGCGCTCCTGGGCATCGATGCCGACGACATGGCCGCGCAGTGTATGTAGGCGGGCGTCATTCAATAAAAAAAGAATACTTACTCGAATGCGCAGGACTTAATACCCATAATTGTAGGAAAAAAACTAGGTCTTCCAGTGCATTTTCATATTTCCATTCCGCGCAGAACGCCAGACGGGTTGCCGGGGTGACCCGATTGGGACATGCCTGTGGGACGGGCGTGGGACACGGCGGGTTGTCAGAAGTGACAGCAAGGTCACAGCAAAGGTGCCAACTTCATTCTGATTCAGTGGGAAAGAGTAGGCGGCCATGTTTAGAGTTCTGGGTGGAAATTGAGGAAAAAAGTGTGTTTTCCGGACGGAAAAATTGCCCAAAAGTGTCCATTTCTCCGCAAATTTGTTGGAAAGCGTGCGAAAGTGACGATGGTTGACTTCGATCTCAACGTGGACAGCCTCATCAAGAGGCTGCTCGAAGGTAAGCGCGGCCGTCGAGTTGGAAATATTGCGTGAAGATTTTTTCACTCGCCCAATCATCCTCATTCTCGAGATATTTCCAATAAAAATAGTCCACTCTCGCGTCTCCCACATAATCACGCTTTATTTTCGGGTGAGACGATTGGGTCGCGCGGTTGTGGGCTAAGTTGACTTGTCAACATGAGAAAATCCATTCCCCATCAAGCCCCAGAAGGCTTGTCCGTATGTCCAGGAAAAAAGTGGCTCTTGAGAAAGAGTTGCGGTGAGAAAAAGGAGAAAATATGTGCTGAAGGGAAAAATATACGGCGACTGGTTTTCTCTCTTTGCTGCGCGCCTCGAGCATGATGAGATAGTTAAACTGCTTACTTTAGTGTGCATGGCTTCGCGATTGGGCAGTGGCAATAAATTCCCAGGCGATTCCTCCGGAACCAGTCGCGCTCCGGGTGACTCACGCTCGAGTGCGGGTCACGGAAGCCGGCCGCGGGGAGTTGGTGCATCGCGGCCGATGCTCAGCATGCATAATTGATGGTCAGATGCGGTGTGGAGAGGCCCAAAATAGCCCCAGATTACAGAGCAAAATCAATAGGTTCCGGGCTCGCGCCCGCGAAGCTCATTATTTCGCCCAGTTGCGCCTTATTTTTTCTTCTTCTCCATGGAAAACAAATTTGCTCTCTCTCTCTCTCCCTCTCTCTCGCTCTCTCTCTCGCACACGCTGCGCCGCCGAGTCCTCTTCCGTCGCATGCATTTTCTATTCTCTAGTTGAGTGACTCTCGCCAGAGTCTCAACCATCATCGCCAAGCCACTTCCACAGCTCAATCGAGCATCGAGAAGAGGCCGCGCGGCCCGCGAGAGATGCTCCGCGGCGGAGAGAGAGAAAGAGGAAAGCGAGAAGCGGCGGAGGAGAGAGAGAGATGAGAAACGAGTTGAGGGAAATGGTGATGTGGATTACTTGATAGAGAAACAAGAAATTATAACTTCATGAATGCAAATTGGCTATTCTTACGGAAACGCCGTGCACAACTTTGTTTTCTCTCTTCTGTTGCTCAGTTAGAACATAGAATGAAAAATGTTGGCCTCTCCGGAAGGCTATATTTAGTGACGCAAAATCTCGCCCAAATTTATATCCGAAATGACTATATTTATGAAATACAACAACAGCGATGAATGAATTTCCCATGAAGACTAAATGAGTCAAGAACGCCGAGAGTCCAATGACTGTTATTATTAATGGGATTCGGATTTAGCAAAATATCTCAAGAGTTAAACATCGCCGAGCGCTTAAGCCGAATCATGGGGAAGATTTTGCTCACCTGAAGCGAACATTTCGTGTCATTTTCATTGCAGAAAACAGTGAAATTCAGAATCATTTTCTGTCTTTACACGCACAATATTTGCTGAATTATTGAGTGTCTCATGAAATATTCTTCAAATTTCATTCTACTACAATTGAAGAACAGATGCCGCTCTATTTTTTCTCCCCATTGAAAATCCTTATAAATAATACATTCGACCGATTACGTATTAAATGCTCTTGGCCATCAAGTATTGATTATCGTGGTCTCATGAAAAATTTAATTCCGTATGTTTTAATGCTCAGCGAACAGACTTTAGCTTGAGAATTTCACCGGAGCCTGAAAATGTGCTCGCAAAAGCACTTGTTTGAGATCAAAATATTAGCATAACTCGCGATCACAGCGGCAAATCAACATTTGAGCAAATTATACAAATTTCAGAACACGAATTCACTTGAAATCAAAGAAATTTTAAGAGAATTTCTACTCTTAGGTTCCTTATTGGCTTAGTTTAATGAGATGTTTATTGAATATGCTGAGGAAAGTGCTTTTATCTGATCAAAATTGTGCGCTGAAGAGACGATAAATCAGCTAAATGAATGCTGATTTCTGAACAATGCTTCGCTGGGATGATTTTAATCCAAACTCTGGAGTTTTATTGCGCAATCCAGAATATTTGCTGTGTGGAGAAACCATTCAATTATTCCTCTTTTTCTTACACTATCAACTTGATTATCAGTGCTATTTTTTTTGTCAGCGTCGTCTTCTATCAAGAGAGTCGCACAAACGTGAAAAACACGGACACTGATAAAATTCTCAAGATGAAAGTGAATCAGCACGGAAGCGATATCAATTATTGCTGGTGTGATATTGTGTGTCTTTGACGGAGTTGAGAGAAAAAGCGACGCTCAGTTGCTGGCTTTTCACGATCTATATTTCACTGATGAGGGCGCAAAGGTCAATTGGTGTGTCCCTTTGTATTGTGTGTGTTTGTGGATTCACTGTGCAATGTGGCCAATGCGAAGACTGCGCGTCTATAGATTTATCTATGACTTCTTTCACTCTGTTTGACTGTCGCTGAACTTCACTTGTTCTCTTCCTCATCGTCAGCCGAGGAGAGACAGAGAGAGAAATGCTTTGCGGCGAATAGAATGGTGAAATTGTAATTGAAAGCATTCGCAGAGAGACAGAATTGCACGTGTGAAGAGTACAATTTTCCGCCACTTTGTGCGATTGTAACACAGAAAAAGTGTTGATATCAATTTGCAATGCGGCATGATTGTGTTTTACTCTCTCTCTCTATTTGAGAGTATTTCTCTTGATAAAGTCGATGGCGTTCGATGTCCTCTTGTTCTTTTATATTTCTTGGCTCAATTCAATTTGTCACACACTTTTTTTCTTCTTCTTCACGAAAAACACGTGCAAAAGGCATAATTTCCTATTAACATTTTTGCAGCACTTTCAAGAGTCCCGACAATATTGTCACAGAGTGGCTAAAAATAGTTGTGGATAATTTTAGGTTTAGACAAGAAGAAGATTTCCCCGATCATCATCATGTTGTAGAAGAAGAAAACATGTGGCAGTTGAAAGATGATGTGAAAATCCGGCAACAGAATGAAATGCGAGTTCTCATTTTGCTTCTTGTCTGTTCGACAATGTTTCTTTGTAATTTTATCGCGGCTTCTTCAACATGCTTTCAGTGTTAATTAATGAAATTGAAAAAATATGTTTTTTTTTGGGGGGGTTTGAAAATCGATCATCAGAAATTGGAGGAAAATGAGATTGAAAATAAGTGGGAAATATTTTGTATTATGTTTTAACTAAACTGTTCTTGACAATTTTTTTTATTATTATCATTGAATCTCTTCTATGTGCGTCTCTTCCTCATCTCTTTACTGGCTTCCTTCACATTCACGTGCGTCTCTGTCAGTCTTAATTTATTCTTTCCCATTGTTTCTCTCTCTGGCAATCACTAATTTGTGTGTTACTCCGTGTTTATTGTGTTTTCTTAGTTGTTTTTTAATTTTTTCCTTATTGATTGACCGACGACGTAGAAAATATGGACAATTCATATGTGAGAACACATAATAGAGATGATGATATTGAATTATTATTGGACGCAATTAAATGTATACCTAAATGAATATAGAGACAATGTGAATCATTTCACATATGAACTGTCGTGAATTCGTTCTTTTTTTTCCTTTTCAATCAGCGAAAAGAGCTTTTTTTTGTTCGCAAAACACTTGAACACAGCGTGATTTCTTACATTAAAGACTCTGAATCATCGTGATTAGGCATGTTAGTTGAGAAAATATTGATAAAATACTAGAAAATGAATTAACTCATGATTTATATACACAAAAAACACACAATTTTTCAATTCATTCAGTCTGTTGAACATTTTAAATATATTTTTCAATTTGTAGGCTGTTTTATTAACATTTTATTTTTCTCTATTCTTTTTCTCCTTCCACAACTACGGTCAAAAAAAAACACAACAAAATTCTGAAATAAAAATGACTTTCTTCGTCAAAATTACCAAAAAAAAAATACGACAACAACAAACTATTCAATCCACACTGAGTTTAAAATGTGCTTTTGAATTTCTACAATTAACAAACAAATTGAAAATAAAATAAAATTGTGCAACAACGACGATTTAATACAAAAAAAATAATGTACAAGTCAGCAAAATTCATCATCAACAGCAAACGATGGAACACGGCAGGAAAAAGGGGAAATTCAAAGAAATGTTTTCGACTGATTTTGGTATCAAAAAAAAACAGAAAAAATATTGAGAGAAAGATTTATTATTAAGTCCAAATCTTTATCACAGAAATACAATTTTTTATATGCTTCTTTCTTTGCGTAGTTGCATTTTATTTCCTCTTTAATCTCTCTTCATGTTTTGGATTGATTTATATGCATAATTTAGACATTAGAAATGTGAATTTCTAACCAGAAGATGTAAAATTCTATTCGTAGTGCAAAAGTTTCTGCTTTTATGCAAAATCGCAATAAAATATCCTCTAGTTTACCTTAGTTTGTCAATTGCTTTTCTTCATCTTTCGTGTAAATAATTTTCAGTGAAAAGTGAACTCATCTTGAGAAGAGAGAGATGAGAAAATGTGAATAAATTAGAATTTTGTGATAGAATTTGAAGAAGAGGGTTTTTTTTTCTCTTTGTATTTAAGGATGATTTACGCATAGCAAAAGAGAGAAAGATTTCTATTCGTTTGCGGTTCTTTTTCTATTTGGTCGAGTGAAGAGAAAGAAGTAGAGTTATAAAACGATCAAATGATTGGTCATTTAAAATTACAACTCATATGAAATGCTTGAGAGCGAATCTTATGAATGTTTTCTTACATATTGAAGTTCTATAAATAGTTTTTGTTCATCTGCACACAACTTCTCTCTCTCTCTTTCTCTGTCTCTTCACTCATCAATTTTATTTATTCTCAGACACTTCAATTTATAAACTGGAGTAAAACTTGAAGGGGGAATTTTTTTTCAATAAGAATTTCTGTGGTGGAAAAATATTTCAGGGTTAATAGAAAATCGATAAAAATTACTTAAAAAAAAATCTCATGAAACTTCTCAATTTGTAAGTGTTTAGCGGGATTTTGATTGAATTCTCATTGATTTGCTAACTTTTCTGTGTACATTTTTTATATTTAAACTCTCCTGACCAACAACAGTCTGAGAAAGAAGATTGAAAAACCGATATTTTGCTCTGTTCTGATTGCGGATGTAATTGAAAGATGTTGTGCATATGTGAGGTGTGAAAAACATCATGGACAAATAATTGCGATGAGAGGCATCAAGATGAGATGTAGAGTATAAAGTCATTGACGATGACGACGATGATGATGATGATCTTGAATTGCAAACTGGACATTTGTGGATTTTACTAGTTTTTCGCGCGCGCAAAGCGTCTCGAATTTGAAAAATTGCGGTCAAGTGTATTCGAATTTGGCGCAAATTTTATTTTTACAGACAAGAATCATGAGCCACATTGTCGGTTTTAGTTTTTTTTATTGCTGTTTTTCACGCAGAACCTTTGTTAATTGTGGGCTTTGTGATGAACCTTTTTGAAAATAGATCAAAAACCAGTGATTTATCGAATAATAGACTCACCTTAAACTGTCCAATATAGCGTGTCAAGAGTAGTCTTTTCTGCAATTTGAGGAATTTCAATGTGAGGCGCTTTGAGGTGTTTGTTTATCGATTTTGTGCCGCAATCTGATAACATGCGCCCAAGAGAGGAGAACAATAAAGTCTCGATGGGAATATGTTGAGGTGTTTTTTAAACGGCACGACACGCACCATCAGCTATGCGTAAATTAGCTACGTTTTAATTAATCGATTGTCTTGGAAGAGACTTCAAAAAGGGGCGGAGCATTCAAGTGGGCGTGGCTTTAGGGAAAAAAAATCAGTTTCAAATAGAATAAAATTGTGACACAGTGAAATAATGTAAATGAAAATGTACTTTATGACGGAAAACACGCTCGGAAAAATGTACAGAGAATCAGGAAAAATGCTTTTGATGTAGAAATATTTTTCTGCTACTCTTTGATTCCATTTTGTCTGTCTTTTGTGTGCTCTCAATCTGAAAAAATGGAAATTTTATGCACAAAATCACCCTCATATTCTATCCATATAGAAAAGAATAACTAGATTCTCTTTCTCACATCTTTTACCCTATATTTTATAATTTTCTTGTGCTTGACAGAAATTGAGTAATTCAATTGCGAGTGTGTTTGTGTGTGTGTCGAAAGAGCGGAAAAGATGCAAAGAGATGCAAAATATAGCAGCATTTTCCCTCCCACAACATATTTGTATTTTGTGTCTCCTTTGAAATTGTCTTGTGTAAAAACGCCTCCCATTGTTGTGTTTGAAAATGAAATATAATTAATAGGCAATTAAGTGAAGATGAAATTGATGCCTGTGCAATTAATGGAATATAATTTTTGTGCTAATTTTCCCGCGACCTTCCCTTTTTTATTCAATCTCTCTCTCTCTCCGTGTTTGTGTAGACCTGATAATATGGCAGGAAAATGACCATTGATGGGCTGTTAGAATTAATTTTTCACTAATATCGATCCTCTCTCTCTCACTCTCTCTCTCTTCGTCCCAATGTCCAGTCCGAGGATGCCGCCCGGGGAAGTCGGTGCTGATGACGGAGGCAGAAGTGCGGGGCTTGTGCCTCAAGTCCCGGGAAATATTTCTGCAGCAGCCAATATTGTTGGAACTCGAGGCACCGCTGAAAATATGTGGTAAGTGTTTAACTTCATTAAGTATCAGAAGCATTAACTCTTCTCTCTCTCTCTCTTTTGTGCCATTTCACGGTGCATTATAGACATACCGACGCTGAAATGAAGAGAAGAGAGACCTTTTTAAAACAACATCACACATGAAAAATTGTGCACGTCTGCCGGCTTTTGCTCTGCGCGGTGCTCAATTAAAAATTCCCAGACACTTATTTATTATGCGACCTATTTTTGCTTTTTGACACAATCAACACACACTTTTTTCCATTTTGCCAAAAGAGAAGACGAAAAATGACACAGAAATGCTTCATATCCTTGTCCTCTCGTTGACTATGTGTGTTCTATGTGTAATTTATGGACAATATCTGTGAGCAACAGTGGCGAAAATCATATTAAGACACTTTGTTTTAGCTTCTTAGCTTCTTATTCTACACTTCACTTCACAAGAAATGTAGAAAAATGCAGAATTTAAGCTAAAACCAAAAAATTGAGTTCAAATCGTCCCTACAGAGATCTTGTATGAAGTAAATTTCGTCTATTCAGAACTCAAGGAGTCGTTGCAACTTTATTTTCACGACATTTTAAATAAGCTGTCAAAGTTATGAATTCGTAAAATTGCGTTGCAAAAAATACTTCACTGACACTGAAGAACATTTCCTTACGTCAACGTGGAGGAAAATTGACAGAAATTGGGCGGAAGTTGATATATTGTGCGCTAAAAACTCTGAAAACCGCTAAAAATTACATTTTGACAGCTGAAATTTATATTAAATAAACCTCCAACTTCGCATTGCATCGCCATATTTCTTTCCTATTTCATTCTTACTGTACACAAGCGCCACCAGGCGGCCGTCAATAAAAGCTTAAAGTTGCAATCCAAAATCGTAGCTTTTATAAGATAAAATACGAAATTGTAAAGTTGCAACGACACTTAAACATCGCTAAATTGAGGGTTTTTCTTAAGAAAAAGAAAAGAAAATGTCTTAATGTGTTTTTCCCTACAGTAAATTCGCACGGAATTAAGGAGAGGGAAGAGGATAATATGAAATGGAAATTGAGCGCGCCTACAAATGAGGTCTAATGATTCTCTGGATCTTAATCTCTTTCTCTCTTCTCTGTTTCTCCTTCTCAGGCGACATTCACGGACAATACACAGATATGCTGAGACTATTCGAATACGGTGGATTTCCACCGGAGGCGAATTATCTCTTCCTCGGCGATTATGTTGACAGAGGAAAGCAATCTCTGGAGACAATTTGCCTATTGCTCGCTTACAAAATTAAGTATCCAGAGAATTTCTTCTTGCTCCGTGGAAATCACGAGTGTGCCAGCATCAATAGAATTTACGGTGAGTTTCTCTTCATTCTTCATTCAAATTCTGCACTGCAACTCATGCTCTATATACTATATATATCTTCGCAAATTGACAGGATTTTATGATGAATGCAAACGGCGATATAACGTAAAGTTGTGGAAGACCTTCACGGATTGCTTCAATTGCCTCCCCATTGCTGCAATAATTGATGAGAAAATCTTCTGCTGTCACGGCGGACTGAGTCCCGATTTGCAAGGCATGGAGCAGATTCGGAGGATTATGAGACCCACCGATGTTCCTGACACAGGACTCCTCTGCGATTTGCTCTGGAGTGATCCTGACAAAGATGTGCAAGTGAGCGAAATGACCTCAAAATTATTATTATTATTATTCTGTGTATTTTGAAATTATCTCAAGTATTCGCCGCATTTTTTGATATTTATGCCATTTTGCAATTGATTTCTCACTGTCGCCACGCGGTAGTGCCGCGTCATGCGGTGAAAAACTCTGTGTTTCTGTGTGTGTTTGTGTGCTATTTGATTTCAAGGTTCTATTGGGAAAATCGCTTTCCAATGAACTCCACAATGTTTTTCTTGCAAGGTCAATTCGGTCGTCGAAAGAATTGATCCAGTAAATACAAGTTAATTTTCCATTGATTTTTGCAATTTGATGAAAAGATCTTTTTAAAATGCTTGCAAATCGATTGATAAGGGAGAAATGCTTGGGAGTATATTTTGAGGAAATGTTGTAAATAAGCTGAATAGTCAGTCAAAACTGACACATTTTGACATTTCAGATCAAGATTTGACCTCGTTAATATGTAGGTTTTTATTGTTTTCTCAATCTTTTGCTGAATTGCATTGATTTCTGAATGTGATTACAGTAGCGACAATTTGTTTAGGACACTTTCTTTCATGTTTTGAGACACTTGAAGACAGAAAAATGATCAGGATTTTATGATTTTTCATTAACATTCAATTAAATGATGATTTTGGAATATCTAGAAGACATTTTATATCATAAATCGCCTTGATTTTGACTTGTCAATTTGCTTTTTGTGTGTTTCTGGGCTTCCGTTTAACGTTTTGTTGCATTTTTTACGCTCAATCGCGGTCTAAATACTATTCACAGATTTTTTCTATTGAAAATACAGTATTTTGCTCATTAAAAGTATGATTTTTAATCAATTTCTTCTCTTTAATGTCCAGAAAATCAGTGAATTTTCTCTTCTGAGATTCCGATAAAGTCTTGCTGAGATTACTGAAAGATAGTAAATCCTAATCAGTTTTATTATTGGCTTTGGGGAATTCCAAGATATCGCTGGTCAATGTTTTAGTCTTTTTTTATTGTCAATTATGACAACGTATAAGAAGTTTGCATTCTTAGCATTTTTTTTCCTGTGTTTATCGTTAATTGAACAACTGATGGTTTGAAGTGAACTTCTTAATCAATTGGCAAAGATATTCTTGATGAAATGAAGAGAGACTTGTGTGTGTTTGTGTGTGAGAATGATGAAATTGTCTACAGAACTTTAATGGCTTCAAGCAGAGAGACCTTTTCAGTCTTCATCATCCCTTAAAACCACGAGAATAATAAAATGTTCCAAAAATATCTTGTCCAATTTCTCACACTTTCTTTCTCTCTTTTCCCTTTTCTGCTACTCTTTGACACTGTTGAAATTCCACGAAAAGTAGCGCAGAAAGGCCAAAGAGAGTGTGTGAGTGAGAGAAGGTGTAATTTGATTACTAATCCATGTCTTCTATTTTAATTTCTCGTGTGCGCAACACAACAACAACATCAGGGCTGGGGTGAGAACGACCGTGGCGTGAGCTTTACGTTCGGGGCGGACATTGTGACGAAATTCTTGGGTCGACATGACTTGGATCTAATTTGTCGCGCCCATCAAGTGGTTGAGGATGGCTATGAGTTCTTTGCGAAGCGACAACTCGTCACACTCTTCTCTGCGCCCAACTATTGTGGCGAATTCGACAATGCCGGCGGCATGATGTCTGTCGATGATCAGCTGATGTGTTCATTCCAGGTGAGAGATAAAAACCGCTCGTTGCCACTTTACTGATTTCCTCTTTCAGTTTGTAAAAGCTACGAATTTGGTGTTGCAATTTTAGCTTATATTAACGACCGCTCGGCGGCGCTAGTGAACAGTAAAAATGAAATACGAACAAGAAGGCGTTGCAAGGGAAATTTGGAAGTTTATTTAATATGAATTTCAGCTGTCAGAAAAACCATTTCATTGCAGCTACTTTTGAGCTTCTATAAAGTGCAAGATTTGATCTTTGAGTGTGTTTTTAGGACAGTTTCTGGCCATTTTTTGCCACGTGAAATGAAGCACATTTTTCCGTGTTTCTTCGAAACTAATTTCAAGGAAATTCTAGGAGTTTTCGGCGATTGCCAAGGGATGTTTTCAACACAAAGAATGTGAAATAGTGAATTCCAGTGTTCATCCGCGACTGTTCTTAACATTGGACGTATTTCCGGTGGGTTTCTGGAGAATTCTGCTAATCAGATGTGTTGGAAAACCAATTAATTTCCTTGGAAAGGGTCAAAGGATGCTTCGAAACACATAATCTCAATCTGATGCATTGAAATGTGCATAAATGGCCAGAAAAATCCAATAAATATGTGACTTCTTACGTAAAAACATCATTATTGTCTTTTTCCTTGATTTTCACGTGAATTTTCTGGCTTTTCTTGCGTCAGGCGGAAACGTTGAAAAAGTTTTAAGCTTCGCAGAAGATAAATTCAGCACATTAGTAAATAATATGAATCGTAATATTGCAACACCTTTTAGTGAAATCATATTAATGATAGCTTAATGAATGTAAAGTTGCAACGAGCTGTTATCTGTTAACTCTCTTATGCTTAAGGACTTGATACATTGCGTTGTTTCCTTTGCAGATCTTGAAGCCAGGCGAGAAGAAGGCGAAATATCAATACAGTGGAATGAACTCGGGCAGACCGTCGACGCCGCAGCGTATACCACCGCCTCCATCGGTTGCGTCCAACAAGAAGAAATAATATCACTTAGTTGCATATTCATATTCATGATAAAAAAAGAATATTAATGTTATAAAGAGAGGGAGAGAAAGAGTGTGTGGAAGGGAGCAAGAGGGAGGATGGAAATACAAAACAACACAACATTACATAAAGAAAGCGAGGAGTTTGAGGAAAATATGAACTTGTGGATTAGAGAGAAAACACTAAACAAGAAGAAGAAAAAAAAACTTGTAGAAATGTAATTTTTAACGATGACAGAGCTCTCGTCTTGTCTTTCTTATTAGCTAAACCAAGAGGAAGAAACTTATTTAAAAACAAAACCCTAAAAAAATGTTTGGATATGGCAAAAGAAGCTTTATTTTTCGATGTGAAAAAACACGTATGATTAAAAGAAAATTCACATCACGAGAGTATAATATTTAATAATAAATCACGGTATGAAGGAAAAAAATGAGTGAAAAGAACGCGAAAGCTCTGAAATAGTGAAAAAATGCATGTCTGAAGGCATGAAATGAAGAGATTTGGATGGAAAGGAAGATGTGAATAAAAGGATTTTGCACCTTCTTAATAGAGAAAGAGAAGAAAAAACACAGAAACAACACAACAAATGGAATCATTGGACATTTTTCAATCAATTCTAACCTGTAAATTGAACTTTTTTCCTATTTAGGCAATAGTTGAAAGTATAAGTCTTCGTATTTCTAAGATTTTTTCAGTTATTTAGCCTTTATATAGTCCCATTTTCTTCGTATATAAGAGAGAGAAAAAAACACGATTCATAAATTTAAAACAAATAAAAATAACAATGAGAGAAGATTTGTAGTTTAAGCCACTTTTTCCTATTGGCTATTTTTTTCAAAAACGAAAAATAAAACCACTGAAAACCACTGGTTTAACAACAATAAAAAAAAACGTATTTAAGCTCTAGAAATTGATGAGAAGTAAAAGAAAGAAAGAAAAAGAGTGAAAGGAGATTTTAAAGAAATTTTATTCTTGATGACAAATGTTTAAACAAAGAAAAGAAAAAAAGAAAATGAAACTAAACTATTTAAAATAAAGTCTTGTAGAAAGCAACAAAAAAAGGGAGAAGAAGAAAAACTTCTCGAGAGTAAGATTTAGAGATTCTTAAACATTTTTTTCGGTATAAAATGAAATATTGACAAACATTCTTAAACTCTTCATAAACATTGGAAATTAACACACGGGAAAAAAGTGAGTCACGTAAAGAAGGCGAAAAGAGTATTTTTTCTGTATTCATTTTCATCATTGCCGTGATATTCGCTGAAAAGGGATTTGATTTTACACGTATTTTTTGGGCTTTTGGCATCTCAATTCGTTGGTATAATTTTTTTTTAGTAGTTTAATTCGCCCAAAAGAAGGCCTAGAAAAGAGGGAGGAAAAATTTTACGCCAAAGACCAATTGGAAATTCCTTTAATTTTTCATTCATTCTAAAGAAAAAAAATCCCTCGCGAAAAGGTTTGTTAAAAACACATGGAAAAGAATTGTCTTATGAGCGTGAAGAAAATAAAGAGTTACTTTAGGGTTTAATCACCGTTAAGATTCATTTTAGCTTTGATTCTTGTCATTATTTTTTTTTTGTAACACTCGCGGAAGATGATTTTCTTTTTTGAAATAATATAACAACTAAAGATTATTCGTAATGCTTGAATAAAGAAAGAAAGAAAAAAATGGAAAAATTGTCAGCAGTTTGAAAAAATGTGAAATTTCTTTCATCTATCGCTTAAACTTTATAAGTTTTCTGATTTTCTTTCCAATGCAGACTTTTTTTCCACCCCCAAAAGGCGGAGAATCTGCACTTGAGGGTTAATTTAACCGATTAAAAGTGTGTGAGAGAGAAGAAAAGGTAATTAATAGGGCATGAAAATTCAGAATAAGAGAAAGAAGGTCCATAGAAGATAATCAATACTAAAAAGGAAGGATGAGAAACTGACAGAAAACTGGAAGAATTATGAATATTTAACAAAGAGAGAAAATAAATAAATGAAACACAGCAATTTGATTTTTCACTCGTGATTTATTACGCTGATCAATTCACTATTCCTTGGTCAGGAGATGGACAATCGTGCCGATGAGTCTGCTGCCATTCTCGTGGTGCAGCAAATTGAGGCACGGATCGCGGATTTTCTGCTCCAGCAGCTGCACAAGTTCCTTCCTCAGGCACTTCACCATTTCCGCCACAGCCAAATTCGCCGCCTGAAGCATAATCCATCCGTCCTCCAGCAGGATAATGAAATCCCCGCCGTGGAGCTCAATGGTCACGTCGGAGCCCGAGAAGAGCACCAGCGGCAGGAGAGGCACCATTGTGCTCTCCCGCACGAAGATCCTCGAGGTCTTGACCTTCTCCTGGAACACCAGGAAGGGGAAGCTGAAGTGTCCCACGACGGAATTGACAGAGGACGGATGAATGGCCACATAGCCGTCATCGCGTGTCTTGAAGCGCAACTCCGACGGCTGAGCGACTCTGGGCACAGCGCCGCCCATGCTCATGATGAAGTTCTTCTCCGGCGTCAACACCTTGATGACATTGGGATACAGAGCGGCGCAGAGAATTCCCGTGAGCAGACGAAAATTGTCCCCATTGGCATTCATCTCCGCGCCTGTCAACTCCAGCACGTTGTCCTGCAACTTCCGCCCGCGACTGCCCGACAGATGGATGGGAATGAAGCCAATGGAGACGAGAAGCTCGAGAAACTGCTGCTTAATCTCCACCAGCATCTCCAGTGTGGACGTGGAGAGGAAGTTCTCCTCGGCGAAGCATCTGCCAGAGTATTTGCTGCGCTTGTTCGCCTCTCGCCAGCGCTGATAAGCGCGCAACACCGTCAGATGATCACTGTTCAGCACGGCAAGCTCACGCTTCCGGCTGTCGGCTTCGGCCTTCTTGCTGAACGGCGCCACGAAGGGGGATTTGTGACTGAGACAGGCCGCTATGGTCAGAACACTGTCCACACACTGGAAGATCGCGCCGAAGAGCATCAACTTGCCTATTCGCACATCCACCGGAAGAGTGGCCAAGTGATGTCCCAGAGCCGTTAGATTCTGCTCAGCGTCCAGCGCTCCAACGTCCTGAAGACGCTTGATGGCCGACAAGATGCCCTCCTCCGTGGGCGGTTCAATGGTCGCCTTAATCACTCCCTCAACTGTGCGACTGGCGAAATTGGGCAGCGTCTTGATGCGCAGCAGAAGCTGCTCCAGCGGCACACGATGAATCTCCGGCACAGGTTGACTCAGCATGTGATTCCTGTAGCGATGCTGCGTGAAGAGATGAATCGCCACGCCGCTCATCACTCGCCCAGCGCGTCCCTTCCGCTGCAGCGCATTCGCCCGCGACACCCAGACCAGCTCCAGGGATTCCATGTTCCTGTTCGAGTCGAAGCGCTTCTCCTTCATGTGTCCACAATCGATCACAAACACGCAATCGTCGATGGTCACGGAAGTCTCTGCGATATTTGTGCTCAGCACGATCTTCCGGCGCGGCGGCTTCAGTCGCTGGAACACCATCGATTGCTCCTCATTCGTGAGCGTCGAGTGGAGGGGCACCAGGACGCAATTGCCCGCTCGTGGGCTGAAGAGCGCGTGATCGCTCAGGTAGTTGAAGACCGCCTGAATCTCCGCCAAGCCCGGCAAGAAGATGAGAATTGTGCCCTCGCGCGGCCAACTGTGATCACCCTTCACGATGTGCACCAGCACAGACTCAATCAGCTCCGGATTCACCTTCAGCACATCCATGAGAAACATCGTATTGCACGTCCTCTTGGAGTAATCGCGATAGCGCGAATAGAAGTCCGCCAGGCGGAGATTCTCATCCCTTATTGACCGCGGAGGATCAGCATTGGAGGCAATCACATCGGCATACTCAAGTTCACTCATGAGATCCTGCTCATCGGACTTCCTCAGCTTGCGACAGTGCTGTGAATCCGCTTCCAACACATAATTGCACTGCTCCACAATGTCCTCCAGGAAGAGCTGTTCCACGGGAAAAGTTCTGCCTGGAATGTCCAAAACAGGCGCTCCGCTAAAGTATTCCGAGAAGATCTTGGCATTCAGTGTGGCTGACATGAGAATCACCCTCAAATCTGAGCGTCTCTCCAGCAATTCCTTCAGGATGAGCAGCAGAAAGTCTGACTCTTCGCTCCTCTCGTGCACCTCATCGACAATCACGTGAGAGACATTGGCCAGGACTGGGTCAGATTGCAGGCGTCTCAGAAGGATTCCTGTGGTGCAAAATGTCAGACGCGTGGCTGAAGAGATCTTATTCTCCAGGCGAATTTGATATCCAACTGTGTTCCCAATTCTCTCCACTCTTTCATCAGCCACACGCTGAGCCACTCCAATTGCCGACAATCTCCTGGGCTGTGTGCAGATGATCTCCACATGAGACACTCTCTTGCCATCCTTTGCCGCCGTCGAGAGCCACTCGTCCAGAATCAATTGAGGCACTTGCGTACTCTTGCCGCATCCCGTCTCACCGCTAATCACCACCACTTGACTCTTCTCCAGCAGCTTCAGGATGTCTTTCCGCTTGTCCCACACCGGCAGCGACTCCCGAATCTTCATCATGCTCTGATACGCTGGATTCGACTGCTTCTCCTCATATTTCCGCACCAGACGTGCATTTTCCCTGCGCAATTCCTCACGGGAAACTATGTCCTTGTTCGACTTCCCCGTGGAGCCTTTCTCATAGTGCGTGGGAAGATTCTTCCTCTCCTCCACACCATTTTCCACCTTGTCAGGCACATGGAATATCGACAGTTTGGGATCTGGGAAGCTCGTCAAGTTGTTCCTCAGGAATTCCTCCACTTGATCCTTCGCTTGCAGCATCTCTGAGAGTGTGTAGAAGCTGGGCATCATGTCCTCAGCGATCTTCCTCGCCTCCAAGGCGAGCATTCGCATCAGACGAAGGCACAGGATGACAGGAAAGTCAGGATATGTCGTCTTGAGCAGCACAAGAGGCGCTTCATAAGGATATTGACAATCTTCTGGGAATCTCACCTCGAGATAGAACCATTTTTCCTGCTCCTCCAAGTGCTTGTCCATCGGTTTGTCCGCAGGTTTCTCCACTTCGTGCGAAAACCGACATTTTTCCCCATATTTGCACTTTCCTCGAGCGAAATTCCGACACTTTTCCGCACTCTTCTTCACTTTCACCTCACTCTTGCTCCTCTCCAGCTCCTGATCGAGTTTCCGCTTCTCAGACGGACTGTAGATCATCAAGTGTTCGATCTTCAGTCGCAATTGCCATATTCTGTTCTTCTCCTTTTCCTCAAAGTTCCTCTCGTAGATCGATTCCAGGGCAGATTTCTCGTCCTCGCGCATCTCAAGCAATTCATTTGGCGAGGCGGAATTGCCGGCGAGATTCTCAGAAATGGGCGGAGGAAAGTACTTGTCGTAGAGAAGTTTTAGAGCAGAATCAATCTCCCATTTCGTGTGCTCCAGCGCCTCTTGGCAGTGATTCTTGTGGAAGCCGTAACTCTCAATCTTCCGGATGGCGTAGAATCTCATCATGTCCTCGGCGGAAGAGCCCGTCTTTGGCACATTGGAGTAGTCACAGATGCCCTGAATGACCAGGTTGCCTCTCTCCTCCCAGTACGTCTTCTTCAGCTTGCTGCCCTTGTCGCGATACGCGCTCTCGTTGCCCAACTCAAAGTCCGGACCGTGAATCTTGCGCAGCGTCTCCATCACCAACTCCTGCGAGTTCTCACTCATCCGCAACACCTGCAGCTCAACCTTCACTGGCGCCTTGGGCGGCGGAGGCTTCACGCCGGCATTCCTGGTGGGAAAAAAGCAGGGATTTCAGTCAGGAAAACACACACGTGCGGGAGATGAAAACTTACGAAGCACTCGCATTCACCACCGGCCGCAGGAAGCAATCGTCAATCATCTGCTTCGTGTCTTCGTCCATCTCAGGGGGTAAATTCACACACGTGGGAAGATTCTAAAGCCACACTTGGCGATAAATAGAAAAATATATTTCACAATTTCTCACAACCTGTCAGATCAGCTGTTTCTCCCCTCCATAAAAGAAATCTCCCACTAGCGCCGCCACACGAGAAAATCACCTGAAATGCGCCCAATGCGCACCTGGTCGGAAGGTGGCGCTGATGGCAAAACTCACGTTGAATTTTGCGTGGAACAAGTTTGTTGTGTGTCCTTTTGGAATTGTGAGATTTTCCGCGATATAAAAGTATTATCACGCGAATAAAACACTGAATTCCTTTATAGGGAATGTGCTACATCTGATTCAAGTGAAGTTGCGTGAGGAAGAGAATTTCGATGGCGGAAATTTATCAAGGTAGAAAAAATCAATATGGAGGATTTTTCTAAAGCAAAACTTGTGATGTAATTGCGATTAATTTGCAGCTTCAAAGATGCCTGATTCATCGTTAATGGCTGATTATCTGGAGGAGAGATTTGACTCTATTGACTTGATGGCAATGGAGGTTTTGATTGGCCAGGAAGTTGATGTGGATTCAATTGTCGAGGACTTCAATATTGCAGAGATGAATGTTGATGCTTCGGATTTTGGTACGTAATTTACCTCAATTTCACTATCAAGAGCGATCAAAGCGTCTTTTGAGTGACACAATGACGTGTTTATTAGATTTCCTGGACAACTATCAAGAGGTTGCGATGCTTCCTGACGCTGCGCCAGTGAAATCTCCTGAGCAAGTCCGCGAACCGCTTTATTTCTCTATTCCTGCGGAGGATAATGCAGAGGCGCCGGCGCAAGTTGCGGAGCCCGAAGCGCCGGCGGACGTTGTTGAGATCCCGAAGTTTGTGATCTTGAAACCTCCGCTGCAGATTGTGGCGATGGAATCTTCGGAGGACGAGCAGGAAATCGATCTGAGATCTGATGATGTTGAGGAAATGTCAAAGGCTGAGATCACAATTCCTGTCATTCCCACAACATGGACAAAAGCCAGGCTTAGAAAGCAGATCTTCAAGAAGCACCCAGCGAATCGCCAGGAACGTCCAATGTTCACTCCAATCGTGACAACGCCCAAGAAGAAGAGGAAGAAATCTGCTGCTGAAGTGAAGAGACAACTCTTCCCGGCTGACGAGAAGGAAAACATCCTTCCGGAGGATTCGAGTTGCGCAGAGTCACCAAATGTGTCCACAAAGATCATCATTGCCACACGCCGAAGTCTTCGCATCAACAATTCCGCCCGGCGCGTGAGCAACAAGGAGATTTACTTCTCCTGCGACGTTTGTCCGAAGATCTTCAAGGAGCGGAAGATGTTTGAGAAGCACCGCAAGAGTCACGCCGCAAAGTCGCCGCAGTGAGTAGAGATTTGAGAACTTGATTGACGTGAATTCCAGTTAAAATTTAGCCTTTCAAGATGAAATTTGTCATGTGAAATAATACATTTATGGTGTATTTCTTAGCGTTAAAACACAGGTTTTAGAATTAAATTACATTTCCTGTCAAATTCCCATTGGATAAGTTAATAATTTTCAGTAAAAGTCAAAGTGATTTCAAAAGATATACATTTTAGAGAAAATCTAGCAATACTTTGGTGGTAATTTCCGCCAGACGCTCGAAGAGTTGAAGAAGATTGAGTGGATTTTAATAGTTTTGTCACGTTAAAGACATTATTTTCACATCAGATAAATCAATTTATAAGTGAGTGGAATGCTAGAGTCGCGGCTAGAAGAAGAAGCAAAAAGTTAATTTACAATGCATTGATTTATTTGATAAGTTTATGGATTTTTTTTTGGTGTTTCCTCTTCGACAAATTAATTCAGTTGAACAAGTCAATTAAAGGGCAGTTTGAAGCAAATTTCATTCTGACGTCACTGAAAGAAGATATTTAAGTATGAAGTGATAGAAATAAACCACATCGATTCGCAATATTTGGTCTTATTTGTATGAAAAAAGTTTAAATAATATTCTATAAGAGTGAAATTGACGTGTTACGAAACTGCTTCGTTATCACGTGATGACAAAGTCTTGAGAATGAGAAGAGAGAGAGAGTCTGTTTGAGAGAACACACTTCTAGAACGCGTTGAATTTAACGCCATGGCTTTAATTTGATTGTCGAAAAGTCACGCTTAAGAAGGAGAAGAAATCTCTTGAAGACCCTGACCATGATTTTCTTGCCACTTAGATGTGTGATAATTAGTAATTAATTAATATTTTGGTGTTTGGCTGGCGTGTCATTTAAATTCTGTTCACTTTGTGGGTGTGCGGAATGTGCGCGACAGAAGGAGAATCCTTTAATTTTCCTCAAATGCTGTCAAAGAGTGATTTAGTGGCTGTTTTTTCTTGATCTCCTCCTCCTCTCTATGTCTCTCCCTCTATTCTGAAAATCCCCACTTTTCGGGGTTGATTTGAATGCTCTGCAGGTGTTTTTTGAGCGAACGTTCCCCAATGAGATTTCCACACTTAAGAATTCTGGGCTGGCGCAAGAAGAGTGTTTGTTGAGAAAAATTGCCAGTGGGTTTTTTTGGTGGGGAGAGAATTTCACTGGGATATAAAATTGTGATCTGTCGCTGAGTGTCAATTGCATTTGCTAATCTATCGCCTCGCCAGTGAGAGTGTTGTTGCCACAGTGATCAAGTCGCGTTGTGTTCGTCAAAACACAGTGAAAATATAAAGACATTGTTTGAATTTGTACGTCAATTAACTAAATAAGAGTTTTTTTTCTTCTTCTCCTTTATGTGTGTCTTTGAGTGAAAAGACTCAAAGATTGTGAGTCTATTTGATCATTTGGCGAATGTGAAAAGTTTGCGTGGAAAAAAGGAAGACAATAAGTGCAAAAAGAAGTGACGATGAAGATTCGCGGATCACATCAATTGTGCCATTTGCTCAGCTTATTTGTTCTTGTTCAGGTGTTTGAAGGTAAGACTTGTGTTTTTCCTCGCTAAATATATATTTGATCTAGAATTGCACATCACGTGAATTGCACAAATTTGATGATAAACGCAAGAGAGAGAGAGAAAAAAATGCTAAATTGCTTGGCTCGTTAAGGGAAAATATCTTGTCGCCTAGATTTAAATCTCATGCTAATTCGTCTCCATTTGGTCATTTTATATAATGCATGTCTGAAGAAGTCTGGCGTCAATATTGTGTGTTTTGAGAGGTGATTTTCCCCAGATGTAAACTGTGTAAATTTAATATTGAAATCATTTTTTTGACTGCTATATTTGCTCTCAAATTTTACTGCAAATAAACGTGATGTGCTCATGTTCACGCGTGCAAATTGACTTGTATTGAAATTGATCGTCAGGCGATTTTCATGTGCTCTTCATGTGCTTTTTTCAGGTGATTGCCATCGCTTTGGATACACTCAAGCTGAGCAGAGAAGATGGTCGAGAAAACATGGAACGTGCTCCGGAAAGTATCAATCGCCGATTGCCATCAATTCCAGAAGGGTAATTATTAAAGCAATTTGACGGATTTCTCGAAAATTATCAAGATTAGAGCGATTTTGAGATTTTTTATTGAATTAGAGGAAAAATTCATACAAATTGATATTTTTCTGAGCCTTTTTAGTAATTTTACGCCCTTTAATCCGCTTTTCAAATCATTTACATTGATGAACAGTCAATAATTGTAAATTCTAAAAAGAATTATTGAAATTACAACAAGTCACAGATTTATTAAGCAGAAAAATCTCATAATTGCAGTTAGAAAGTTGCTTTTTTACGAACTGTCGAGGAAAAAAGCACAAAGAAAGATAAAATTAATCAATTAAATCAATTGAAAGTTGTAGAAAATAATTGCAATTGATTAATATTGTCGATTTAAGGAAAAAATTTGCTAGTTTTCGAGGCACTCATTGTAATTCTTCCTTCACTTTAGTTGCTACACTAACAGAGAAAATTCTTTCTTTCTCTCTTCCTTTTAGGCCTTCCACTTACCAATGCCAGCACTGGAATTGGTGGGTTATCACAATTTACTTCCAGGACCAATTTTGATCCACAACAACGGCCATTCGGTGTCTTTGACGATTCCCAAGCCCACAAGTGTGCAGCTTGAGCAGGGAATTAAGCATCCCTACATCTTCGGTGGGAAGCTGAAGAGTGAATATGAACTGGAAGGTCTGCATTTTCACTGGGGCGACAAGAATAATCGCGGTGCTGAGCATGTGCTCAATGATATTCGCTATCCGATGGAAATGCACATAATTCATCGCAATCGGAAGTACAAAGATGTTGCGGAGGCGCTGAATTATGGTGATGGATTGACAGTGTTGGGATTCTTTTATCAAATTCAAGAGCACGATGGCGGAGAATTGGCGACAATTGTGAGAAATTTGAGTCCTGTGTCGGACTTTGATCGCACTTATTCGCTGAATTTCACCTTTTCGCTGTCTTCGCTCATCTCAACGGTGGACACGGAATTGTTCTACACGTACAAAGGATCACTCACGACACCGCCGTGCTCTGAAGCTGTCACGTGGATCCTCTTCCCGGATCCGCTGCCCGTTTCTGTGTCGCAGATGAACAAATTCAGACACTTGTCGAATGGCATTGAAGGATCTGTGCTCGTGGACAACTATCGAGCGCTGCAACCGCTGGGAAATCGCAGAGTTTTCGTCCGGAAGGTGAATGAGAGAAACACTCACTTGAATACAATTGATAAGAATCTGCACTACAACAAGTGGGATTGGTTGTATTAATTTTGATAGAATGCTTAGAAGTTTTGTGCTGATTTCTTCTATGGCTGAAATGCGCCCCAGAATTGTGTAGATAATGATATTACTTGTTATATATAAAAAAGGGTGGGAAAATGTGCAATGACGAGACAGAAAGGTGGCAAAACTCCATTGAATACTTTTGACCTCTCAATGAAATTATGGCTTATCTTTATGATTTTTCGGGCTCCATCAGACTAATAAAGTTTCGTCTGCGCGTGCAAATGTGAGCATTTTACAGTCTCACAGTGCTAAAAAAAAGATTACTTGAGTGATAGAGCAGCAAATTGAGCATGCATGAGTTGTTTCTATGCATTTTCGACAATTTAAACAGATTTCAGATGGAGTTTATTGAGTGCATAAAATGAAGGATTTTTTCTTTGCTGCTGCGAAAAAAGTCATCAATTCACAGTTACTAATATTTATTAATAATTATAATAGGTATTAGAAATGTTGTTGCTTCAAATCTTGTTAGAGAGAGCATTTATGATTAGAAATATAAATGAGTTTGTGTTCAAAACTTGATTTGATTTCAAAGATCTGCGTGTCCTAAAGTCAAACACTGCGGATCATCCTTGAATTCACCGACATTTTGAAGGATTCCATGCGGTGCACACTGCCAAGGATCATTTGTGTCTTGCAGCCACTTCTGCAGGCGCTCCTGGAGTTCCGTCTTGACCTTCTCCATGGCTTTGTTGCCGAAGAGATTTCTCAATTCTCCCGGATCTTGCTTCAAATCAAACAATTCCCATTCGTCTCGCTGATAGTATCGCTTGAGGCTCTTGTACCACGGCAGAGGCTGCTTCGCCATGGTCCTGTTGAGGATGTCCTGAAATGTGGGCGACACGTAGAAGTCCTGATCGATTGGGAAGGGCGCTTGGTAGTTTAGATTGTGAATCAACTTGTAGCGTCTCGTCCTGATGGCTCTCATTGGGTAATTCATCGTGACTTCGTGATAAGATTGACTGGCGAAAATGGCAGCGTCAGGATCATTGGGTGGTTCAGCGGTGAGAATTGGCAAAAGGGACTTTCCGCTTAACTTTGTCTTGGCTTTCTTGGGATACTGCACGCCGTACCAGTCCAGGAAGGTGGGAAGCAAGTCCAGAAGGCTGGTCAGAGTGTAGCTAACTTCATTCTTACGGGCTTCTGGTGCCGGCGATCGGATGAACAATGGCTCAGCAATGCCGGGATCGTAGAAGTTCGTCCTTCCGGACGGCAGAGGAGGACCATTGTCCGATGTGTAGACGACGAGGGTGTTGGAATCGAAGCCAGCGTCTTGGAGCTCCTTCAGCACGAGTCCGACGCCTTGATCAAGGCGTGATATTGTGGTGTACTGCGCAGCGACGTCTCTTCGAGCTGGTTCGGTGTCTGGAACGTAGAAAGGCAGGTCAATCTCATCCCAGACGTAGTAGATTGGATGCCAGTCGGGAATGAGGCCCATTCCTTCCTCTCCGCTTCCCCAGCGTTCGCAGAAGCTGCCATACTGAGGCGTCACGTGGCCACAGCGATGAGGATCGTGGAAGGAGACCATGAGGAAGAATGGTCGAGTGTCGTTGGACGAGAGGAATTCCTTCACGAGATTCTTAATATTGGTGATATTTCTGCCCACTTGATTAATTGGAAATTGCTCTTCTGTTCGCTCAAAATCGAATTTGTACACTTCAGACGGCCCAACATGCTTCTTTCCAATGATTCCAGTGCGAATATTGCCCTTGTTTCCCAGCAGATTCGGCAGACTTACAATGGAATCGAAGGTGTTGAAGTGATGAACACCCTGGTGAAGACCATACATTCCATTCTGATGACTCGGCAAGCCGGTGAGCAGAGCTGCTCGGCTTGGAGAGCAGCTGCTGACTGAAGTGTATGCGTTGTTGAATATCACACTCTGCTTCGCCAAAGCGTCGAGATTCGGGGTTTGGCAGATGCGATTCCTATAAGCGCCCATCTCGAAGCCACCATCATCGGCTGAAACGGAATAAAAGTGTCTTTAGCGCCTCTATCGATCAAAGTTAGAGAACTTTTAATTAAAGACGATCTGAGACATGTTTTTTGGTGAAGATATGATGAAAATCGGTTGGTAAACAGCGGAGATACAGACCGATAAAGGTATGAACTTTGACCTTCCATATCTCCGCTCCTAAAACATCAGACCCAATAAGAAGGGTATCATTGGAAAGGTCTCGGTATCAGCTATAAAATACTAAAATTTGGGGCCGATCCTTGCCACAGGGACTGAGCAAATGAGGAAAAGGAGGTTAAGGAGTATTCAAAATGGCGGACTGTGCCATTGAACAACGCCATATTTTGAATTTGAATCATCTTTTTCGTCAAATTTCGCCGTATTTAGCCTTCTTTGCGAGATTTAATGAATTCGCTGTGATGCAAAACAGTTAGATAATTTCAAACAAGCTCCTTAGCCGAGACTCTTAGTTTGTCGGCGAATGGCGAGACAGTCGAGACACTCACCGAGGAGCAGCAGAACATTTTGCTTCGAAGGTGGCTCTAGTCGTATTGGACGTGGCACCTCAAGAATCGCCGGCTGTGCAGCCGATGACAGTGGCACAGAAGCGATAAGGAAAAGTAAATATTTCACTATCATTTCATCAGAAAATTTCACGCACATCCACAACGAATTGCCCAGAGACTCTCAAGCGAGCGTCACAGAGAGGAAGAAATAATCTCTCTATTCGGTGGATTCTGTGATGAGAAATGTACTGAGCAAGACACGTAGTGAAAGCTTTCAGCGAAAGTAACTGAGAGACACTGAAGGCGTCTTTGGATATTCTGTCAATCTTCACGTGATCCAGAAGGCGGGGTAAAAAACTGTGATTTTATTCTCTTTTTTGCCAGTGTATTTTATTTGTGGTTTTTATTTCAGTTCATCATGACAAATCTCAAGCGAGACGAGATTCTTCTGCTCTTCGACGTGGATGGCACTCTCACAGGGCCCAGGATGAGAATAACTCCTGAAATGGAGGATTTCCTGTACCTCAAAGTCCTCCCAAAGGCCACACTTGGCGTCGTGAGTGGATCGGATTTGGAGAAGTTGTTTGAGCAAATTAGTCGCGATAGAATTCAGGAGTTGGACTATGTTTTCCCGGAAAATGGACTTGTTCACATTGAGCGTGGTCAGGAGAAGAGTCGACAATCGCTGCAGAATCACTTGGGCGAGGAGAAGATTCAGGAGTTTGTGAATTTCAATCTTCAGCATCTCTCGACGATCAAATTGCCACTCAAACGTGGCACGTTCATTGAGTTCCGGAGTGGAATGATTAATATCTCGCCCATTGGGAGGAATTGCACGCGTGAGGAGAGAAATGCCTTTGCGGAGTACGACAAGGAGCACGAAGTGCGGAAAGGAATGATTGAGGTGCTGAAGAAGCAATTTCCCAATATTGATCTCACTTACAGTATTGGTGGGCAAATTAGCTTTGATGTCTTCCCGAAAGGATGGGACAAATCCTACTGCCTTAACCATGTCACGAAAGGTGGAAACTTCAAGGAGATTCACTTCTTCGGCGATAAAACCGATCCAGGTGGAAATGATCATGAAATCTTTGCTGATGCACGAACTGTTGGACACACTGTCACATCTCCGGAGGATACGAAAAGAAAGTTGCAAGAACTCCTGGGAGTTTAATGTGAAACTATTAAGCCTTTCTACTAATATCTCTGATTGTAAATGCACTTTATCACATAAATTCGTGTTGTTACTGTGTACAGAAGACTCCTATTCACCCTTGTAGACTGGCTTTCTCTTCTCGGCGAACGCCTTCAGGCCCTCAAGACGATCAGTTGTGGGCATTACTTGGGCATAGCAAGCCTCTTCGATGGCAAATCCCGTGTTGATATCCACCTGGATACCATTGTTGATGGCTTTCTTGGCCATTCGCACGCCAACTGGTCCGTTGGGGAGGATTTCTGTGGCAATCTGCAAGGCTCTCTGGTATGCGGCGTCTTTGGTGTCATTCTGAGGCACAGTGTGAGTGCAGATTCCCATTTCCTTGGCCTCCGTGCCATTGAATACCTTCGCTGTGAAGATAAGTTCCTTGGCCAGACTCGGACTGACAGTTCTGGGGAGTCGTTGAGTTCCTCCGGCGCCGGGAATAATGGCTAAGCGTGTCTCAACGAGACCCATCTTGGCGTCGGCGGAAGCACAGCGAATGTCACACGCCAGAGCCATCTCCAGACCGCCTCCCAGGGCGAATCCGTCAACGGCAGCGATCACGGGCATTGGCAGCTGCTCAATCTGCGTCAGCATCCCGCGGAGCTTCTTCACGAACCTCACCACCTCCTCGGGGGTCATCTTGGAGCGCTCCTTGAGGTCGGCGCCAGTGCAGAAGGCTCCAGGAACGAGACTCCTGAGGACAACGACGCGGCAGTTCTTGTCATGCCACAGCGCATCCACGGAGTCGATCAGCTTATTCACCAGGGATTGTGAGAAAGCATTCTTGGCACTTGGCCGGTTGAGAGCAACCACGGCGATTCCTTCCTTGTCTCCCTTGAGATACTCCAACTGGAATTACAGGAGAAGCGATCAAGTCTCGATCAGGATGATGAGTTTGGGGAGATTCTCACCTCAATCTCCGTCTCCTTGGCGGCACTGAAGTGTCTGCTGATGGGCAGGGAGAAGGTTCTGAGGCCGCGGAAGTTCCTGAGGAGTTGAGCCATGTTTACGTAATCACAGCCAGAAGACTGATAAGTCGCGCTGTCAAGCCAAATCGGTCGTAATCAGACCTCGAGCGCCCTCAATCAACATGCGTGGAAATTACATTCATGTTGATTCAATTTTCAGAACTTCAAGTGCATCAGAATTAGGGTCATCGTGTAATAACACATAAGAATACCTTGTGTGGTCAAGATTTGCTTCTTAGAAATCAATTAATAAAGTGATGAAGAAGATGCGATGTGAGGTTATTTTTATGCTCTCAATTCTACAGAATATTTTCATACTTGATTTCACACCTTATCTATGAATGTTGTTTTGAATATATGTCGATCAATTTCCTTGGGTTTCCACATCATCAGAAATATCAGTGAACGATGATATCGAGTAATGGAGCTGCCCATATATCATTGCACACTTCTTTGTCATCAACTGACCCAGTGTATTAAAAAACCAATCATAAATTTCCTTTCAATGACGCACATGAAGAGTTGAAAGGTCAATAAAATGTAAAATCATCACACTATCAATACATTAACAGCATTTGAGGTGGCAAACGAGGTTTTATAATAAATTAGATGTAGTCGTGGAAATGCTTTTAGAGATTGTTATCAGATTGCGGGGGAATTTTCCATATTTTATTTTTGGAATTATCGTTGGCTTATTTATTTAACTTATGTATTTTACAATTCATCCTCTTGATAATACAAATAATATTCTTTTATCATTGATAATCTATACCTGAAGAGAACTATACAATTTTGGTTTCTGCAACTAAATCATTCACACATATTTACTTAATAGAAAAAAGGTCCTTCAAAACCATTTTAAATTAATTTATAGAAATTGAACTCAATGTTCAAGAATATATGTTCATTTAAAAAAAAACTGTTGATGCATATCAACACATTTTGTTCGTTGGTTTTTTTTTAATAATATAATTGTGACTATTAACCTTATTATTTACACACTTTTGGTAAAAGAAATCTTCCGCACTACCTTTTCTGCTAACACTTTTTTTTATCCTGTGGCTCTTTTGTGTCTTTACATATAAAATTCTTAAATTCGATTTCACATCCTTCTGAACGAAGGAAAGCGCTTCTTTTGCAGTGCGATCTTAACATCTGTGACTAGCCTATCTTGTTCAGTGGCACCTCTTCGGCTGGTCTCACTTGATCTGTCGGCGCTGGTCTTCTGGTTCGCGTTCGGCACATTTTAGTCTTAATACCGCAGCAATCTCGTCTGCAGATGACGCCAATTGCCAGTCCAACGACGGCTATTATTATGATTCCTGCGAAAGTGGAGAATAAGGTGTTATTGAGGACTTGCAAGATAAGGTTTTGTATTGTCGATGGGATTACCTATGAGGATGTTGTTGATAGTTTCAGCTGAGAGTTCAACAACGCCTCTGGAATCGATTCCTTTGGCTGGCGTGTTTGCCACGCTGTCCTCTGTTGTTGTCATATTGCTGATCTCTGTGCTGTTGTCCATAGATATGATCCTAACTTCGCTGGATATTGAACTGAGGTCCTTTCGATTTTCGGGTGCAGCGGTTGTCGATGATGTGGATTCAGAGGACTCTGCGCTGACTGATTTGGTGGTTGACGGAGTGTGTGGCGTTGTGGATGTCGGTGGCGGTGACACTGTTGATGGTGGATGCGTGGCGATGCTCTCCTCAAATGTCGATCCCGATGCCAATTCGAAGCAACTCAGGATGAATGTGGGAAAGCGTATTTCATCTATGGACACGAGATTGTCACATAACTCTGGAATGTTGTCCTGATGCAATGTGATGCTCTGGAAGTGCTGCAGACTCTCCAGTGGCTTGAACACGTCGACATTCAAGTTCTGCAGAGAGGAGAGAATGGAGAGAGATTGTCAGGGGGATTGGATGGAATGTGTGAGGATGTCAATTCACCTCATCGATGGGATTGTTGTAGAGATTGAGTGCCACCAAACCACTCAGATTTGTGAAGGTGGTGAGATGGAGATTGCTGATATTGCAGTCACTCAAGTCGAGCTCCTCCAGACTCGGTGCATTCAGCAGTGATGCGTCTGCTGGAATCTCCAGTGGATTTCCACTCAGGTTCACCTTCTTCACGTCTGGCGAATGGGCCAGAGTGTCCGGATCGATGTGCTTGAGATGATTGTGTGACAGGTCGACACTATCGAGCCGGTCTAGTTGGGCAAATGCCTTTTAAAATATGACAATTATCTCTCCAACGAGGTGTCTCTTTGGGTCGCGGGGACATGGACTTACCATTTTATCAATGCTGGCCAGCTGATTGCCACGCAGGTGGATTTCTCTGAGGTGCGTCGCATTGCTGAAATCATCAATGTGCACTGTGGTGATGAGGTTGTGATTGAGATCGATAAATGTGGTGTTTGGCGGCAGATTTGCGGGCACTTGTGTCAAATTTCGCCGACTGCAGTCAACAAAGGAGTGCGGAAGACAAGAACACTCCGTTGGGCATTCTTGCGCAGGAATTTCCCCATCCGCATCACTCTCCTCGTCGTCAAGCACTTCCCCTGCAGTTGACTCAACGGATTTTTCGCTAAACGCCTCTTTCACCTTTTCCGCCAATTCGGTAATGTTGAATCTCTCCAGCGACTTATCAGGCGCTTTATCAGTTTGATTTTCACTCTCTTCCATATAATCTTCATCCTCATACTCTTCATACTCCTCGTCCGTGGCATTTGCCTTTACTATGCTACATCTGCAACAGGGAGTTGAGAATTCATTAGAAAAAAAACATTTATCTTTCGTTGCGCAATTCGGCACACATCTTATTTGTGAGATTGTTAAATGTTAATTCAAATATTGTTCTTAGGATTTACTTGGACTCTTTGTCTCATTTTCCAGCGACTGATAAAAACCCCCTTTTTCTTTTCATCCAATCCAATTTGGCAAAAGATAATTTCACGCGTTTAATGATGAAACAGCACCCATGAAAGCCCAGACACTTTATGGATATACAGCATCATTGTGTGTTTGTTGGTGGAAAAAGCATTCCTACCTTTTTTCGTCTCTAATATTCATCACTTGATGGTACTTTTGAGCTCAAGAATATTATTTATAACACCCAGTGTCTCCTACAGTGGGAATATGTTTTTTTTTGGAGGCGATGAGGTGCGGAAAAAAATTGTCACGAAAGTCGCGTGGTTTTCGTGAAACATATGGTGAGTGTTGGACATTCACGCAATGTTATGGAGAATTTAATTATACATGGAAATATTTGAAATAATAGCATTTTTACGCGCTTAAAGTCTCTGCAATCAGGAATGAATTTTGCATTTTGCAGCACAATTCTATTGATTTTCTCACACGATCATTCTGTCCTTGACCTCCGGGCAATTTATACATTGAAGTCAACGTCAAATACTGTGATTTGATGAACTATTGAAACACATTGTGCTAATAATAACGAGATAAGTTTAGAAATTTGAATATCCTATTTTCTATGGAATGAAAAAAGAAATTTGGTGATTCGCTGATTATGATGAATTGAAAAAAATAATCTGCCACGCCTCCATCAATTCAAAGATTTCTCACCAAGGAGAAGAGTAATCTATTGAAAATGTTCCGCTTTTGATTTCTTATCGTGAAAATGAGGAGAAGAAGAAAAAATCTGACCATAAATTACCTGTGGCAAAACTTGCGATTTCAACACTGTATCAATGAACCTTATTGTATTTACTTCCTTTAGGCTCACAGTGTACATAAGGAATTTGCTAAAGACATGCTTTCAATCAAAATTTAAATTTCGAATTTTTGAGTGTGTTTAAAGTAAAGAAAATCCGAAGTCAGTGAATCATAAATGAAGTGAAAGAGAGTCAGTGTATAATTTTATGGGTTCATGTGAGGTTATCGAGTAAATTGTCGCTCTAACTATTGCTTGAGGTCCTTTTTTCAAATTGACTAATGGAAATCTCTGGATTTCATTAAATATTGAATTGAAAAATCGTGTGTAGAATTTCTCATGATGCATAAATATTGAGTCATGGTTGTTTGATAGGTAATTTGATGTGGTTGGAATGTGCTTAGCTTATTACTCACCTCATTGATAAAATTCCTACAAATACAATCAGTCCAAGTGTTAATTTGTAATCCATTTTTGCTGGTGGAACAAAAAATGCAGCTTCTTCAATATTTGCTATTTCTTTTCACAATTCTTTTTATTTCGTCTCGCCGTGAATTGGTTCAATTTATTCTCCACTGTCTTCTTGTATGTTTGTGTGTGTGTTTTAGTTGAGAAATTGAATTAGATCAATTTAATTGATACACACGCAAAGATTGAAGTTCACTGATGAATTGGCTATTTTGTCACGCTGATGAACTGTTTTCTGGGCCGATGATGAAGAGTGGTTTTTTGTGCGCCAAAGCCATCCGGCAGCAGTCAACTTCACGGAATCACTGAATTTCATGTGCGATATCGAAGATTGTCTGAGCCACAAAAATGTTGCCTTTTCCTTATCATATTACTCGGTGTAAAGGTTCTGGATTTTCTCCCACTCTTTTTTACGTGTTATACTGCGTGTCTCATTTGGGTTGCATAGCGTTTCTCTGTGTTTTTTTTTGTTCGTTAATAATTTGCTATTAACTTTTATTGTGACTATGGCTGAGGAGATTATTCGGGGGGCCGTTTTTATCTTATCAAATTAATTTGCTGAGCCACTTTCTGACCACTCCTCTCCACTCTCTCCGGCAAACTCACGGTGAATTCCTGGCGCAAATGTTGTTGCTGTTCACCTGCGATTCTAAGCATTCTACACCGGCGATTGAGTGTTTTATTTTCTCTTGATATTACGTGTGTTCACTTGTGGTGTGGTGAAAATTGTATCACACACATTTTACTGAACAGCAACACAAACACACTGCTAAAAATAGGTAATTAGAGAGTATATCTGAGATAAATTACCGGTTTTTTTTTGTGCACACTCGTGGTCTGTCTTTGCCGGCAAAAATGCTCAAGAACTCAGCATGATGAGTGTCTTTTTTGAGCCGGTTCTTGCAAAATATACTTCACGACTTTGGCCACTTTCTCACCTGTTTGAATTGGTAGGTAATCGTGAATGAGTCTCTCTTGAGCACAATACGTTGCTATTTTTGCTGGTGATGAGTCTTGTGCAACACGTGGAGAATATGATTACTTAACACGCTTTTACTGTTGGGAGTTTGTTTTATCACATTCGGGCTGATGAGTGCACAATTTGAGTGGGGGGGGGGGGAAATATACTTATGGCAATTTCATTCCAGGATTCTTTCTCTCACTTCTCAACTTTCCCACAGAGGCACTGAACAATTTTAATCAATCGTTTTTGAATGAAACTAAACACACAATGAGGGTATCGGTTCAATGGCTGTTATTTTTGTATATGAGAAATAGTCGTGCTGATGATGAGAGTGTTGTAGAGCTAAAAAGCACGCACGAGAGATAGTAAAATTACGTATTTATAGACAATTTCTCACTACATATCACTTTGTGAAGAAGTGTATATATTCACCCCGATTCAACACAACTCACAAACGAGAGACTTTCAATCTCATATTTCGAATTTTAGAGACACAAACGATGGACATTCTTTGAACCTTGTCCGGTGTGTGGCTCTGTTGGTGATTTGATGTGTATCGGTTTTGAGAAGTGAAATTATATATTGAGTGCGCTGCTGCTGAATGGGATCCTCTGGCGATGGTCCACACTGAGTAATCACTTTTGGCGAAGGGAAGAGATGCAGATAAGAGTGTAATCTCTCTCTTGAGGCGTTGGTCTCTCAGCACTCCATTCTCTCGTGGCCTCAGTGACTGACTGACGGACGGCAACTATTCGACGGTCGAAGGCGATCCGATAATAATTCTGTACGCTGTGTGTACTTTTGATGATGTGTTGTGTGTACAACATATAATATTCCCTGAGTGTTTTCCTCCCGAGCGTGTGAGAGCGACTGAGAAATGCGCGCCAAAGCGAAAGAGACGATCCAACACAAAACCATCGCGTGGAATACAATGGGAAGGAAAGATGATGAGAGGTGGATAGAAAGAGAGAAGGAAGGAAGAAGTTCGCTGAAAGAATTCTATAGAGAACACTGTGAAATTCTACGAGACAGAGAGAAAAGTGTAAGAGAAAAATGAGATGAAGTGCAATTTTTTTGTAGGATTTGTTACTCAGAGTGACTCTTTCGGGTGAGTATGGTAAATGTGAGAAAAATGCATCTTAAGTTAAAGAATGTCCAAAAATATTCATGTGTGTGTATTGCAAAGTTAAAACATGTTCTTTTTGCGGTATTGACAATTTTTAAAGCACAACTTTTCACATGCAACACACCAAAGAAAGAAATTGCAGTGAGTTTGTTGCTTTTTCTCCATGATTTCCATGCAATAGCTGATGAACCTTTGAATTTGCCCCGAGCAATAATAATAGTATTTACTGTTTTGTTGGTCAAGAGTGCAGTTTTTGCCTAGTGTGTTAATGATTTGTTATGGCAGTTTTTATATAATCAGTAAAATATTCCATTCTGTGGTAGTTTGTAACAATGGAAAAGTCAATTCCTTAAGTTAATCATGTCTTTTTCCAAGAACGTCTCTCTCTCTCTCTTTTGCAATTACCAAGAGTTGTATGGCTTTGACTCATCCCAACTGTCTACATTGTTGGCTATTGTGCGAAAGGGAAATTGGTCAAGTGGTGAGGAAAACGACCGGAACTGGAGAATTGCCCTTGAGGCTTTTTAATACCGTTCGAATCCTGGGCGAAGCTGAGCTTCATCCTTCGCTCTCGAGTCAGTGAGATGAAATACTTGGCATAGTTTGAGCCAACACGAATCATTGATTATTTTGCTGTGAGTTTGTGTGGCATCATGTGTAGAATTTCAATTTGTTTAATTCTGTTTGATGTTGAGGGAAAGAGTACATATATAGATTTTCTGCAAATTAGATATATTTTTTGATTATGAAGAGAGAAAAACGAATCGGTTATGGTATGAATTTCAATGCAAATTAGCAGACAAATACGTTGTGTTGAGAGGAGAGAGACATTGAGTTGATATTGTTCTACTCATTGACCTGTGACGCGTGGTTGTTTATTTAATAGTTCAATAACAGTGTTGTATTTCCATTCATGAATAAAACAGGGTGCAGAAATATATAATTCAGCAAGAAGAGAGGTGTTAAAATGCAGTGGAAACACACACTTGTGTGTGAAAATTCACAAATGCTGGAGAGCCAGAGCATTGGCAATGCTGCACTTCTCGCATCATTGAGTCGTAATTATTTGAAATGTCGATTTTTGAGTGGCAAACTAAAGCTGTATGTTGTGTTGCAGAAAAAAACTGCGGTGAAGAGAGGTGAAAAGACAGAGAGAGAAAACGTGGCATAAAAAGAAATGTTTGCCGGCCGGCTGGTGGTCGAAATGACGCGCCAAGAATCGTACGATTATTTTGGGGATCTTCCAAGAAAGTGGGAAAGAGACGGCGTGTGTGGCAGAGAAACCCAAGAAGCGTGTAATAAAGTGAAGGAAAAACAGCATGAAAGAGTGGAAGGTAGAGGAGGAATGAAGGAAAGACGAGTGATAGAGGAATGAATAAATGAATTTACCTGGCATTCAGCCAGTTCATAATAATTTATGTATTTCATTTTTCAACACACATAATTCTCACTTTATGTCATACAATGGCAGAGATGCAAAATGCAAGTAAAAAAAAGCCTTGAAGATTGATCACATTTTTTGCAAATTTGCTGGATATTAAATTACCTATTGATATGTGTTCACAGAAATGAGATTAATAAGCTGTTGTAGCGTGAGTTTTTTTTTCGTGTGTGTGCAAAACTCCTTCCTCGCATATTAACGGCTTTTTGGCGGCAAACATTAAATGAAGGGAGAAAGAATTTTTCTCAACATTTGGCCAAAGTTTACCGGAATGATTTGTAAAATGAAATAAACGCTTTAATTCTTTATTTATTCTTCACATCGCCCCGACCTTTCTGGGCTCTGATGCAGAGTGTGGAAGACATAAATACCAGAAGGCAGTGGTTTGGGGAGGATGAAGGCATCTCTGAGTGTGTTACTTGAGTCGTCAATTCATAATTTTCATACGACTTGCATGTGGTTAATGTGGCGAAATCACACCGCAAACGAGGAGGTGTGCAAAGACGAGGGGTTAAGAGCCAAAAATGTTGGTGAAAGATTAGGGGACTCGTGAGTTATGGATTTGGCATTGCGGATCATCAATAAGCACAGTTCGATGTGATATTGAATCATGCAGCAAATAGCCATTTAATGGCATTGCAGTACAAAATTGGCTGCCAAGTTGTTGATCAATTTGAGAGTGTAAAAAATTCCAACTAATTCCTCCACTGAAAGCTTGTTTGAGTGAAACTTTTCGACTTTATCATTTCAAAAAGTTGCTAATACTTTTTGGAGAAGCACTCGAGAGGAGATGGGATAATTGTTGGAGTGTGTTTTGGGGAGTCAGTCTTGGGAAATTCATTGGAGTGTGGCTGGAAAGTTGAGTGTGATGGCTAAAGTGCACGCACAAACGCAGGGACGTCTGCATGGCGGAGATGTCTTGAGAACAAGGGGGAGGTGCTCTTTGATAGTCGTCCAACTTTCCGATGGAATTTATTGCAGCAGGAAATGTGAAACACTGAACAATATTTCTCATGGTCTCTTGTGGCGCGTCTCGGGGTATCAAAGGAAGTTTGGGCGGGTTGAAGGGATGCGTTGAGTTGTGTCTTGGCGTGGGGGTTGTTTTTGGCATAAACCACCATTTCACCCACTCCCCTCGCCCAGGTTTGTCTTCGCATCAGAGGATTTGGCGAGTCTTGAGAGGGGTTGAAGTGAGTCTCCGTTTCAACTTCACTCTCTTCAGTAATTCTTACACCCTGTGTTCATCAATAATGTTATACATTTAAAATTCTGTTTCGGATATTAATTTTCATGTCTCTTTTTTCGCAAGCCAAAGTGCCATTAAGTAACGATAATGGGGACGCACCGGAGGGTGAGGACTTGTCGTGTGATTGAAGGATGTCTGGGGCTGGAAATGATGATGGGAAGTGAAAGGGAAATTTGCACGATGTCGATGGACAAATGAAGAGAGAGAATGGATGGATGCACTTGTGTATGTGTGTTTTTCCCATGGGAAACAATTAAATGTATATGAAAAATCATCAACTGAATCCTCCAAATGGTGCGCGCCAGGAAGAAGAATGGACCCGACACTGGTGGGAGACAGAATCAGACACGGAATGGCATCACGAGAGATGGAGCAGGAGTGATAACAGATGAATAGAGTTTCCAGCTAATGGAAATCATATTGAAAAGGGCGAAATGGAGGGAGAGATGCTGCGGATGGGTGGCTAGAGAGTCCTAATGGAATTTCTGTCAGGAGAGCGAGAGAGGGAAAAAAATGAGATCATATCAACTGACGATTATTATCATTAGAATACAAGTGAAAGAGACAAGCGAGAGAATTTAATAAATTGCATCGAGAGTCTTTGCGCGAATCGTGGGCCAACGAATCATCACGGATGGGCTTTTTTCCTTTGGCGTAATGAAATTTTTCACGCAACAACAGGAGAATTATGTTATTTAATTCAATTAAGGTGTTACTTTGCTCCCAATATCTCTCGGCTTATTTCATTATCCTTCCTAGTGAAGTGGCTCTCTAGGCGAGGTAATTAATCATATTTTTAAGGGGAATATATGTAGTTGAATGTTGAAGTGTTATTTTTAGAAGATCAGCGAGTGAGAAAACTGAAATCTTTCATTTAAGATAATAAATAGTTTGGCTGTTGCTTCGTGTGAAGTGTTTGCGGAATTCCGTGTGTACTTTTTAGTGCTTAAATTGTGGGAAAAGCGTGCTACAGAAAGATGTTTTAGTATAGAAAATTCATTTTTCCTCTGTCTTATTTGATGAATTGTAGTCAATTGTTGTAGTCAAAAATTACTCAATTTACGTACAAAGATGAATTTACTTTGAAAATTGACTAAAAATCTTATGGCGAAAAGAATTTAGCCTTTTAATAATAATAACTTTAGCCAACAACATTGTAAGATGAGCGTCTTGTTCACGGGTTTTCATCAAATTCAGGGGGATTTTCCATTTAAATCGGCATGTTGCTCAGTGGAGTGAAAGAACAGCAAATTGGTAAATGTGTGCTTCATTCTGTGACGGAGAGAAATTTGCGTGGTGAAAAGAGGACCAAATGCTCAGCGAATAAGAATCAATTGAGTAGGGTGGAACATAAGACTTTTCCTCATTTCTCCCCTTCCTTTTAACGATGCTCAAGGATGCGCGCGGGGATTTGGCGCGGAAAGGGCAACGGAAAAATCGTGCCTCACTTTTGACCAGAAGAGATTACATTTTCCTCACTTTTATGTGTGTGTGAATGAGTTCGGGTGGAACGATAAAAAAGGAATTCTTGATTGAGTGAGATTTGTTTAGAGATGATTTAATGGTTTGGAAGTTATGTCACACTTTTATGATTATATCTCCAGTTTTATGTTGCTCACTGTCAAGATCAATGCTTAACTTTATCGGGTGATTTCCTGAATGCGTGTGTTTTTTTTCTGCCGGCAAATTGTGCTCAAAAGGAGGGTGTGAAATTGTACATTTCCCCAGTTGTGTCCAAGGGGAAGATAATATGCATTAAATCTGTGCATCACTTTAGAATGCTTCTAAATATGTCACAATCTTCCTTCTTATTGACATTTCTATATCACGATAAGAAGATGTGCAGAGCCTCCAATGCATCTAGTTTCTCTTTATTGTGGAAGCTTTCTAGATCACAATGTCGCTTGTTATCAATTGCTAAAGAACCAAAAATTGCTGATTCTGAGCCAAAATTGTTCTAAAAGTTTCCTAATAAAACATTTTCCAAGTTCAAATTATTCTTTTTGAGGTTATGTTCGGACTCAACAAGATTTGCAGTATGTCTTGGCATCATATGCATGCAAATGCGGTCTCTCGGACTTAAGCATAAGAATTGTTACATTTCTGTTGAGCTGTACACCACTTCTGCTTGCATTTTCTCCTCCTTGGTTGTGCCCTTCCCAAAGACGCTCCAGACAATTTCTCCTCTTGCTCTGATGTGTTGCATTGTTATGCCAGTCTGGAGATAAGTTTGTTTGATGAGAGATAAATTAATTTTCATTGACAGACAATTCAAATCGATGCATCGACAAGATTCCGATTAATTCGTGAGAATGCATGCGCAAAATGGTTAATAAATGCTGCAATTGCCAATTGAAATTTCTCTCTCTATCTCGCATTTTGTTGGTCACACAGTGAATCAACTTTATCAGATTGATTAAGTTCCAATGCGTTTTTTTGCGGACCGCTTTTTGTCGCGAATTCCCCAAGAAAAAGGCGGGGAGGAGGACAAAGTCCTCCCGCCAATTGAACAGTCCATGGTTGAGTAATCGCTGAAATCGTCATTCCAAAGGCTCACCAGCGAAAATACAGTCATTAATCTTTTACTGTTTTTGGTGTTTGTAAATCGCGTGTTTCTGACGCCATGCGATCAAATTCCAATTGTTATATTGGTTCCACATTCACCGCACTGATAAGACACTTTCAGTGTTGTTCACCGGATGAAGTAAGAAAAAAGTGCTGCTTGATTGATTAACATTTGAGGGGATAATTTATTAAATGTAGTATTTATTTCTTTAATCGGCTAAACTCGGAGAGACACTCAATTCAATTCTGCCTTCCTTCCTGAATTTTCTCTCCTTCTTCTCTGGTGTTTTTGTGTGTCCTAATGTTTGGAGAGGATTTAGACACGAAGCCAATACATTGACGATCGAATGCGATTGTATTCTGGCAGATTCTCCACAGGACCAACAGCTGCAACCGCCGGACAGCGATCGTAGATATACTTCATGGCCACATCGCGAACATTCTGCGCGTCGACACTCTGCAAAGAGGAAAAAACAGCCTTCATTTAAGCATTCATTCCAGCGAATTGCACTGAATTTCCCGTACATCAATGCGCTTCTCCAGTTCATGAAGGGGAATTCGTCGATTGTAGCACAGCAATTGCCGTCCAATGTCTTCACACACTGGCGTTGTGCCTGAAAATGTGTCAATTGTCAGTCATTTCATCCTTGAACAATCCTCCGTTCTCTCTCTCACCGTCCAACTGCAGCAGCATGTTTGTCTTCAGGAGGTTCTTCGCCCTGTCCACCTCGCTGTCCGTGATCATCGTGCACAGCCTCATCCACTCGCTCTGGACATTGAACAGCATGTCGTCGCACTGCAGCGGATCGCAGACGAAGTAGATGCCCCAGAGGCCGGTGTCCTTGTAGCAGGTGTTGAAGGACTGGAAGCTGTGGCAGAGACCCTCCTCGGCGCTGATGCGCGCCAGATGGGAGGCGTTGTTCACGCCACCGCCCTGGGAGCGATCCCACGTGCCGATAAGAGTGTTAGCCACCATCAAGGGTACATTGTCCTGATCGGTCCAGCCGCATCCCTCCACAGCGATGGCCACATGAGCCAGAGGAATCGAATCGTCGCGCACACGAACCTCAGAACCTGACCAACAGAGACAGCAAGGAATCACAAAGATCTCAGAGAAATCCCACAATTGCACTTCATCTCACCGGTGAATCTGCACGGATGCAGCTTGGGAATCTGCCCATCGTACGTGTTCTCCAGCTTTCCCAGCTCCTTCTGGGCCAAATTCACGAGATCCTCGTGACGAACACCGCCAGCGCCGGCCAGGACAACTCTGGCCGCCTTGTAGTGCGTGGCAATGTAGTCCTGCAGATCCTGTCGACCAATCGACTTGATGTTCTTCGTGGGGCCCAAGATGGTGTTGCCCAGCGGAGTGCCCTGGAACGCAGTGGCGTGCAGATGATCGAACACCACTTCCTGCAAATTGCTCTCCACTTCTTGCATCTCCCGCAGAATCACGCCGCGCTCGCGCTCAATCTCGCTCTCGCCCAGCTTCGAGTTCTGGATGATGTCAGCCAGGATCTCAACGGCCTTCGGCACATCCTTGGACAGGCATTTGGCGTAGAAGACAGTCTGCTCGCGCGACGTGTAGGCATTCAAGTGGGCGCCCAGGTTCTCAACCTCGAGCTCCAGGTCGGTCTGGGAGCGCTTGGAGGTGCCCTTGAAAGCCATGTGCTCCAGGAAGTGCGCCACGCCGTTGTTGCTGTCGCTCTCATAGCGAGATCCGGCGTCAATCCAGAGACCGATTGTGGCTGTCGGAGCGCCAGAATCCTCCGTGGCCACGCGCAGGCCATTGTCGATCGTCGTGACGTTCGTGGCGGGAAGATTGACCAGAGCAGCGTGCAGATTGGATGCCGAGGTGGCGCGTCCTCGCCGGAACTGTGGGAAAAAACGAGAAAACTCTTGTTCAACATAACCTCAAACACAACAGCAAGACTTTGTCCGCAATTCCATCACTTCCTGAGCATGTTTCTTGCAGAAAATAACAGCTCCTTCTCACTTTAATACCCATGAATCAGGACTGAATGTCCCTTCTGACAATTTAACGTGTTTTTCACAATTTTCCTGACCATTACGTAATGGAAGAAAAGTGGAGTGTTTTGCCTGGATTTCAAGGCATTCCTGAACCACTTGGAGTCTTACCTGCAGCAACTGAGGACACTGCTGTGTAGCGCGGATCACATTGGACAACCTGAGCAATCGTGATGCCATTTTTGGGGCGCTATTTTATGGAAAAAACTCTTTCGATGTGTCTCGAGTTTTTGTAATGGATTGACAGATCGGTCTGGTGTGAAGTGTGGCGCAAATCGCAGGGGAAAATCGATATTTTGGGCGGCGGCGCGTGATTTTGCTTCGGCTCAGTCCTCGCGATTCGATATTTAGGAGACATCCGGCGATATTTGCATGTTTTGCTCGGTTTGTGTTGTTAATTTGAGGTCCACTAAATCATGTCCAGCACGTTTTATTCGAGTGATGCCGCGATCGAGGAGGACGCAGAGACGACATCGCTCACGCAGGACTACCTGCCAACGCTGGAGGAGACGTGGAGTGAGCAGGAGCTGCAGAGATGCAAGAAGTGGATTGTGGAGAGTGGCTTCAAGAGGATTAGTTTGCAGTTTCCTGACTCACTTCTGCGGCACAGTGTGACCATTTATGGGCAGCTGAATGGGGAGATTGAGGCGGAGTTCTTCATCCTGGGCGACACGAGCTACGGCAGCTGTTGTGTGGACGAAGTGGCGGCTTCTCATGTGGACTCAGACGCTCTGATTCACTTTGGCCAGGCGTGTCTCAGTCGGAACACGAGACTCCCGGTTCTCTATGTCTTCCTGCACTTGTGCGTCAAGTGGGAAGACTACCAGGTGAAGATGATGAGCACATTTCCCTGTGGAGATGAGAAAGTGATTATCTTTCCGGACACTGCCTTCTATCACGCCAAGGAGGAGCTTTTGCAGCAACTGGCGGAGAGGACAAATGTCAGAGTCGCCTCTCTGGCTGTTGACGATAGCGTGAAGGCAAACTACTTATGTTGGCATGTCCAGGATTTGGAGAGTATCGACATAACGCAGTGGAATTGCCTGTTCATTGGCGAGGATGATCAGACTTTCTTCAATCTCTCCCTGGCAATTCCCGCCGCCAAGTGGTTCATCTACGATCCCAAGAGGGAGACGCTCTGCCCTGCGACTCCCAGGACATCCTCGTGGTTCCGTCGAAGATACTACTACGTGGAAGTGTGCAAAGACGCCCAGATGATTGGGATTGTCATGGGAACACTCACGTCTTCGGGTTACCTGGACATTGCCAAACGGATTCAGACGCTGGCCAAGGAGCGCGGCTTGAGGAGCATCCTGATCTCTGTGGGAAAGATAAATCCAGCCAAGCTGGCCAATTTCTCAGATGTGGACTGTTTCGTGCTGATCGGATGTCCGCAGAACAACGTCTTCAATTCCAGGGACTTCTACAAGCCAATCCTCACGACATTCGAGGTGGAGCTGGCGCTGAATCCTGCCTGGAAGGACACCATTCCGGACACTTATTGCGTGGACTTTCAGGAATTGCTGCCCAATGGGAAATTTCACAGAGAACACGATCCGGAGGAGAATCTCGAGAGTGACGTGAGTCTCATCACTGGTCGTGTTCGTGAGCGCAATCAGCGGCCAAATGGGGCGCCGGCGGAGGCTGAATCGGCGCTGCTGGAGCGAGAAAGTGGCGCTCTTGTTAGCAATCGAGTGACTGAAGCTTTCCGGGAGCGCTCGTGGCGCGGTCTGGATCCGGCCTTGGGACAGGACGAGCCGGCGCGCATTGTCGAGGGACGTTCCGGCATTCCGGTGGCCTATGAGGAGCACAAGGACGAGAGGAAGTGAATTTGCGCATTAAATTTATTCGCCAAATGATCATTTCACCAATTTCTTCACGTAACAATTTGCTGTGGCATTTTCGTGGGGCGCCGGCGGCCTCAGTTCCACTTCTCCCTGCCAATCTCGGTAGGCCTGGGTGTGCACGAGCGTCATTCCCAGCTTCTCGGCGATTCGGGCGGAGAAGATGCTCGTGCAGACCGCTCCAATGGCTCCAAATCCCTTCTCCAGGGCATTTTCAGAGGCTTTCTGCATCAGCTTCTGTCCAATGGACTTCCCGCGGTGGCCGGAATGGACGGAAAGGACGCTGAATTGAACGCCTTTCGGGACATCGAGCCGACGACAGATGGCTGAGTGCTCTTCCAGGTCATGCAAGAAGGTGAGAATTGCGCGCCACTTGCAGTCTGTGATTTGGGACGTTTGGATCTTGCGCTCTGGCAAGGTGGAGTTGTCCACCTCGTGGCACAGAAGCACGCCAACGAAGTCCCCACTGGAATTCTCAGCCACAATACTCAATCCGGTGGGAATGCAGGACAAGGAGAACTCCTCGTCAGCTTTTGTGGGCTCTTTTGGTGCAATTGAGAGCGTCAGGAGCTCTTCTGGATAGTAAAACTCCCGGATAAACTTCAGCACTCTTTCCTCGTCTTTCGTGACGGCAACACGGAAGGTGAATTCAGTTATTCCGAGCTTCTTCACATCTGCAATTTAACTGATCGCTTTGGGAAACTTCCACGAACATATAATCATAAATCCTCTTCTAAAAATACTTTTTGTGCTCTTGACTTTACGCACACTTGCGCAAAAACCGCTAGAGAATAGTTTTTCGAATAGTTCTTTTTCGTTATCTTCGGTATTGTGTGAAAATTAAGACTTGATAAGATTGCTGCTTCTCGGATATTTAATACAAAGTTCAGACTTTGCACAGAACGATCATTTCTCATAAGTTGCGCCATTTTTCCTCCTGGAACAAGATTTCGGAGATCTTTTGCTTCATGAGGAATGTTCTTGCTCGCTCGGAGGATTCCTCTTTGTCTTTGGCACACGGTTCAGCCTGGTGTCAATTTGGATCTCAATATTCTCCTGAAAATCTTGAAACTGAGGAAAAATAGAAGGAATTCGAATAAACTATCAGAAGGAGGGATTCGCAAATTTCCGATATTAATCGATTATCGCGACCCGAAATCGGCGCCACGGAACTGATTTTACAAATACAAGATTTATAGGAAGATACCCAGCTCTTACGCTAATCTGCTCCTCCTTTAGGTATCGAGTCTTATCAGTCTTATCGTCGATGTCAATTTTCAATAGAAATTGGCCTTATTTCCAGGGTATTAAAGTGGTTCCTGGCGATGACTGTTCTTTCTCATATTTTACGAAATAAATCGCACTTTGCCGTCTTCTCATCAATCTTTGTGAGGAAGACAGTAAAGGTTGAAAGTTTTCCCATCATTTTCGTGGAGATTTAGAAAAAAGGGGGTTTTTTACAGGAAAAAATAACCGTTTGGATTTGGATCTTAAAAATCAGCTGTTTTTTGATACCTTCAAAGCCTTCAAATGCGTGACGTCAGTGAAAATTGTAAACAAAACGAGGTTTTGCAGTCAATTCTTCGTCACGCGTTTCCAGTGAGTATTTCGCAACAAAATGAAGAAGAACCAGCGAAAGATGACCAAGGAGTTCCGGAAGATGAAGGTTCGCTGCCCGGACAAGCAAAGCAAGGCGGAAAACTCTGCCGAAACTGCATCAGAACTGCACGAGGATTCGGACGAATCTTCCGCTGGTTCTGGCAGTGATTCGACATCCGAGAGTTCAGGTGGGGAGGATTTGGGCTCTCCGCCCACCTTCAAAGTGGCCATGTGGGATCTCAACCACTGCGATCCGCGGAAGTGTTCCGGACGGAAGCTCGCCAGGCACAGGCTGATCCGGAATCTCAAGCTTGGCCAGAGGTTTGTGTCTTCATTGAGAATGTCTTTTCCACTTGAGCTGCGCTAATGTGAGTTTCTTAGATTTCCCGGACTCGTTCTCACGCCCATGGGCACGAAAACTGTGAGTCCCGAGGATCGTGAAATTGTGCAGAACGCCGGAATCGCCGTTGTCGACTGTTCCTGGGCGAAACTCGATCAGACGCCCTTCGGCAAGATGAAGTCTCCCCATCCGCGCCTGCTGCCCTTCTTCGTGGCTGCGAATCCCATCAATTACGGGAAGCCCTGCCAGCTGAGCTGCGTCGAAGCCATCGCGGCCACGATGTTCATCACGGGATTCAAGGCGGAAGCCAACTGGTACTTGAGCAAATTCAGCTGGGGACACTCCTTCGTCTCCCTGAACGCCGAGCTGCTGGAGAAGTACGAGAAGTGCACGACGGCGGCGGAAATCGTGGCCGCCCAGAATGATTATCTGGAGAATGCGCAGAAAGAACAGGCACAGAAGGCGCCGGATTGGCCAGTTGTGGCATCTTCGGATTCAGAGGAGTGAAAGTGTGTCTTGTTTGCTTGTTTTTACACCCAAATATACACAATTATTGTGGAAATCGCGGCTTTTTCTCCTTGGCTAAATGTGAGGTTAGGACGTTTTGTTTTGTTTTTGATCAGGAGGAAAATCCCTGGGCGTGGGAATTTCGCCTTTTCCTGGGCTTTTCACACTGAAAATGTCTGGCAACGAACAATCCAACACTTTTTCTAGTCAGCTCAGTGATGAAAGAGTTCGAGATAATCTCATGTGGGCGGTAAATCGGCATTTTTCCAGTCAATCCCGACAATCTCTAACCTCACTCTTCTTCCAGAGTCGTCCCTGCTTCCTCTATAAGCACGAATTCAAGGATTGCAAGAGCTACAAGGCCAGATTCAATCAGTACTTCATCTACGGAGAGTCCATAGATTGCTCACAGTGGGGAAAGGATTACGAGGATTGCCTGAAGTATGAGGAGCATGATGATTTGGCTGCTGCGCGGCGACTTCTGGACAGCGAGGCTGAGCGGAGGCAGAAGAGGATGGAGGCTCACAAAGCCAATGACGTGTGGAAGAAGAGATCAACTCCGCCAACGGAATGGAACGCTCCACTGCCAGAATGGTTCACGAAGACCAACGAGAACACATTTCTCGCCCTGAAATCCAAGGAATTGCAGGATGGCGTCGAGATGCCGGCGAAAGAAAGCTCCTTCTGCTCTATAATGTAGCCGGGAATTGACAAAGACAGCTTCTAGTGTAACTTCAATGAGGGAATTTAGTGAAAAAGTCGAGAAAATGCAGGAATTTAAGCGTCTTTCTGGATCGACACCAGAGTCTTTCCCGGCCGCTTCGCCTTTGTCGCCCGCTTGCGCGGACTCGCGTCCTGGGAATCAGCGATGCACTCGTCGTCGCTGGCGGGCTTGGGCGTGGAAACTATCGCTCTGGGACTCTTCCGCGTGGCGACAGACTTCGGCTTGCGCTGCACATTCACCACAACGTCC